CGCGTGGAAGGACCAGAAAGAGTTGAAGGTTGATGTGGGCCAATGGTGGTAGATGTATGACGTCCGAAATTGGAAGAAGAGATGCTCCAAGGTCCAGATGGTTTGGATATAAACACGGCCCTGACGCGTCGACGAGCGGCCAATGGAGCCCAATGATGCAGGAAAAGAAGCTCGTGCAAGAGCCTCGGCCGGTCACCAGGATATCCTCGCTCTAGCTGCAGGAAGACGACTGCAATGCAATGCTCTGGCGTCCGGGATTGGTCCTCCCGATGCGGTAATGTTGGAGAAAATGTGTGCGTAGCGTGGATCAGCTAAACACGTAGCCACTAGATGACAGCGAAATTGTCCGGTAACTGCAGGCGTGGAGAACCCTGTGTGCGATGGGCTGGTGGTGAGGCGACGCTTATGCGTGAGATGTTTGAAGGGTAGTCCTTGCACACAGATCAGTGTTCCAGCGAGTCGGACGGAGTAGAGGCCGGCCTAGGAGATGGTCTCAAACAATCTAACGTCTGCGTTGCGGTAGCTCAACGGCCTAAACGTACGCTGGCGTTCTTCACGATACAGTGTCTTGGAGCGCACTGGGCGAGCGGGAGTACATGCAGAGACGAATGAAGCGTTCGGTCCGAGACAAGACAGAAAGTGCGACGGATGGTTAATTTGTAATCGCATGCACTGGGCCCACGGGTAGAGAACACTGAAAGACTCTACTCTATTATAAGAGTCGAGAGGAGAGGAGCAATGGCGCCAGTGTGAGCTCGACGTCAGTTCACGGCTGCCGAAGATGCTCACAAGGGTGCAAGTGGGGGTGGTGTGGTCGGCGATGCGATGGCAGCCAGGCTGTATGAGGGCAGGATGAGAGGTGGGTGGGAAGTGATGCAGAAACGCTACATTGGGAGAGCATCGGGCAGTGTGGGAAGCAAAAAGGAAGTAGTTCACAAGCCACGCCGGCGAACAGACTGTAAATACTAGGACCGGGGTGTTGAAGCTAGAGGAGAAAACAATGGTGGGTACCTGAGAAGTGGGTGTGGCTGCAGGTCGGGCGAGCGCGCGCTGACGAGTAAGACGACTTCATGAGCTCTGAATGACAGCAACCATGCGAAGTCTCCGATTTCCGATATGGCCAGGGTGGGGCTAGCGATACCCTGTCTGCCATGGTTATGGATCGCCCATGGTGGATCTGCAGGCGTCTGGGCAGCCACACTGCAGGGCATCATCGCGTTTGCTGTGCGTGACCATCACTGGACGCCGCCGAGACGACGACGCTGTCAGCAGCATATTGACAAAAGCCAGCAACTCCATCGTGGCCTCTCTCTCTCTTCTGTCCTCGGCGCAACCAGATGGCGTTTCCCGCCCCGCGGCTCCACAGCGGCCAAATGTCGCATGTTGCTGGCCCAGGAACTCCTCCTCTCACCCAGCTGGTCTTGGCAGCAGGACAGTGACCACGCGCCACATAGCATTTGTCCGCCAGTACGCGTGAAGAGCTTGATGACAAAGAGGCCCGATACACTGTGGGAAGACTAACCTTGACGAGCGCGTTTCCGAGCTGTTTCACACAGCAGGGTGTTGTTCGGTTCATGAAGCGCGTCTGCGTCGTCTCCTGCTGCCAAATCACCAAACCAATGTCGAACCTGGATAGCCCCATGGTCGGCACTGTCTGGTGTAGGTAGGTGCTGACAGGTGTGAGGGAAAGTTTAGGGGCTATCTCGGGTTCCAAACTCGATCTGTCCTTTCATCTCTGCAACGATGCAAGTTCCCGTCCAGTGGCAGGGGTCTCTCGCCTGTGGTCGATCTTGCCTTAGGCCACTTCACCCTTCAGCCTCACTCGTCGATCCTGATCCTGCGAATAGGGACCTTCCCTTTTAGATCCAACTATCGACGCAACCCATACTCAAGGCGCGACCTCGCGATGCCTTCTCCACGCTGCGACTCCTCGAATCTTACATCTGCAGTACAGTGGGGCTAGCGCCATCTCGGTCGCTCCTGCCGGCAAACCTCACTGGTTCTTGCCGTGAACCTTCCGTCATCTCCTCAGCACGGCACGCACGCTGCAAACACTAACCACCGCCGTTTATTCCAGGCTAAGAGGACGCCTTACACTGTCATTGACGCTCGGAAATGCACGCACTGGCGCGCCATACGCCCTGCCCTCCCCTGTGCCCAAACCGTCTCACCATGAATGTCCGTTCACGTGCCCTTGGAAGATTGCAACCTTCTGGAAGCTCAGCAAAGGTGCACAGCATGGCTTTGCAGGACACAGCCATCGCGTCACGAAACCAATGTCGTTCAACTTGCCCACTTCGGTGCGGTCACAGCCCAGACGAGTGCGTCATTCGGCTCGGATGGCGATCATCAGGTGGCCCTGGCTGGCGCATCAACCTCCACCACCGCGCTTCGTGAAATGATCAAGGACCACGGCGAACATGCTTCGAGAAGGTTTCACTTTGTTCGACAAACGCTTGACTCGTACCTAGCTGCAACCACTAGGGAAAGTCTCGGGCAAGTGCCGTGATGCACCGTTTGCGCGTCGCGCGGGACACACGACAAGGAGGTCAAACAAGGAGCTTCCATCACCAACGAAGATCCAAACGGCAGCGTCTTTTCTAGCGTCAATCTCCTCATATGCCTTCAGCTATGCAACGTCTTCCCGCGATATCATCCGGAGAGACCGAGATGCAAATGCGTGCGAATATAGCACAGACGTTGAGGACAAAAGATTATTGGCCGCCCTATGACCACGTCTAAAATAGAACATTGTGAAACGAGTCAGGGAGGATCCTCACACCTCTTTGCTCGCTATCTTCCGGTCATACCATCGCTTTAGTCGCATGTGACACCGGCAATAATATATGGAGCGACTTTCTCTCGTTGTTACAGGACTCACAATGCAAATCTTGACTGTCTTGAGGTACTTGTCGAAAAGCAGCCATGGACACGAATCCGAGTCCGAGCGCACACAAGCAAATCAACAATATCTCAAAGATCGCATCAATACTACGTGCTGGTGGTGGCGCAGCCATTCATGCAATCAACATTCTTTTCATCTTGGTTAGGCAGATGTCAGAAGCTGCCAGGAACGGACCGAGAAAGCAATAACAGCCAGTAGCGTGGCAAGGTTGTGCCTGGATGCTTGCTCGAGGTGATACTGAACCAGGACAGAAGCACTGTGAACAGGACAGCGGTACAAGGTTCAAGGCCTCACGCGTCCTCGGATCGAAGACATGATGGACTGAGAGGCATTGCCCTGTATAGGTAACACTGTCAGAGATGAGGATCGTATACGCACATGGCTGTCTAGGTTTGCGACGTTGACATCCAGGGCAAGATCTGGGCATCTTCCCACGTGCTGTGTCCGCAGCACCCTGTTCCATGCAAACCGGTACGCAGCATTAAAATCATTCTTAATGCGGGCGGTATGAGGCCGACATCACCTGCTTAGACATGCACGGCGAGACCGAAGAAAATCTGAGAGGTCGCTTCTTGAAGTGTCTCATTGTTCAATTGTCTATGCTAACACTGCAAACGGCCAGCGATACAAGTACAACATATGCACAAGCAGCCTCTTATCGCTTGACCCAGGTGGGCATCTTACGTGCCTTGACATGGCCCGGCTTCTTCCTCTCCACCTTCCTTGGGTCGCGTGTTATGGTTCCGGCTAAGAAGTAGTCAGCAATTGGATCCGGCATGCGCAGGCGAGACATGTTTGGGATCATCCAGGGTTGTTTTGCATCGTTTTGAGGCGTGGATGAACATGGGCATGTGTCAAAGACAAGGGCTGCATTGACAATGCCCACGGAACGACAGAAAAGGTAAAGCTAGGTTGGAAAAAAACCCACGGACAAAGAAAATATTGACTTACCTCTTCGTAGCGCGGGCTTCAGCGCAGGCTCATGGACCAGCAATGACTTCGCTACAGCCAGGGTCATTGCCTCCGCCTGACCAGTCAGGCCACCACCCTGCACCAAAGCAAAAACGTTGTACTTGTCAAGACGCTGGGTAGCCTTGAGTGCCCACACAGCGCTCTCGCGGTGATGCAGCCGTCCAAAGAACTCCGAGAGGGACTTGCCATTGACCAGCACCTCACCTTCGCCTTCTACCAACCATGCCACAGCAGAAGACGTCTTTCTCCTCCCAACACCCTTGGCACGTCCAAGCTCATCAATCACGCCAGGCTTCGGGACGATGTCACCGGGCTGGTTGGGCTTCTTGTACCGTAGCATTGCCTGCACGACCTCGTCGGGCATGAGCGCGGGGTGAATACAGTTCAGCCTCCGCAATATTTGCAACATCCTGTGATAACGCGCTGTCTTTACTGGTTCATTGGTCATGATGCGATACTGCTCGATCGTCTTCCATGCAACTTTAGGTGCTTCAGCGGGCGGTATGACGGGCAGTGTAGCGACCTTTCGGAGGAGAGCAGAGAGGGAGAGGAAGTCGTCGGTGAAAGTAGGCTTTGCGCTGAAGTAGGAAGGCGATGCTGGGACAACGCGCAGTGTTCGGAGGGAATTCTTCTTGTCGCTCTCTTTCCCGCTACCGCTGGTGCCCTCGAGGTCGATTTCCGGTGCCGCTGTGAAAGGCTCCCGCAGCTCTTCTTCTGTAACCTCTGCACGCCGTGCGGTTGTTGTCGAGATGCATCGCCGTATTGTGGTTTGAAAGCTCCGCTGAGCATGTCTGATCGTCCGTTCGCATTGGGGTCGCGGTCGGCTTCCTAGGGCGTCGACCGCCCTCCATAGACTCCGTGAAAACTCTCTGCTTGCCATTGCAACTCTGATGGGTAGAAGATGCGCCGTGGTAGCGCTTTCAGAGGTCTGCCACCTGCCGTAAACTGACGATGAGCGCCGCACGAGCCACCTGCAAATGCTTAGCGCCTAGGTTGAAATTACGGTGGACTGTGCACAGCAGATTTCCTACAGCCCCGCCTCAACCCAACCAGCCTTTTTTCTTCATTAACTCCTGCTTCCACACACTGATTGTTCTGCTCAACCACGGTTAACTCCACAATCATGTCTTTCGGAAAGCTCTACAGCTACTCGGTACGTTATCGCATCCACAAACGCGTAATCGCACTGCAATGAGTCCTAACAGCGAGCCAACAGGGTAACCCGCGTACCACCTCTCTCCTGGCCGTCGCGAAGGAGAATGGTCTCGACATCGAGTTCGTCGACACTGAGCCAGCCAAGGGTGTCTCTGAGGACTACCTGAAGCTCAACAAGCTCGGCAAGGTCCCTACCTTCGAGGGTGCTGACGGCTTTGTCCTCTCTGAGTGCATCGCCATCGCTGTCTACCGTAAGTGCTACCCCGCCTGCTTGTTCCTTCCTGCATAATATGATGTCGAATGTTATCATTCAGTTATCCCTGTCTGAAAACTATTGTTGAAAACTTACTATTCTGATTTGCGTCTATAATTATTCCTTCCTCCGTACAGATTTTGGTGGTGACTCAGAGCTGACGGATTGCAGTTGCCTCGCAAAACGAGAAGACCAGCCTTCTCGGCAAGACCAAGCAGGACTACGCCACCATCCTGCGATGGATGTCCTTCGCCAACACTGAGGTCCTCTCTCCCCTTGGTGGCTGGTTCCGCCCCATCCTCGGCCGCGACCCTTACAACAAGAAGAGCGTCGACGAGTCACAGAAGGCCGCTCTCAAGGCCGTCCACGTCATTGAGGAGCACCTTCTTACACACACCTACCTTGTTGGTGAGCGTCTGACTCTTGCCGACATCTTCGCTGCTAGCATCCTTGCCCGCGGCTTCCAATACTTCTTCGACAAGCAGTGGCGCGACTCCAACCCCAACACTACCCGTTGGTACGAGACCGTCTACAACCAGTCCAGCTACTCCGCTGTCGCGCCCAAGCTCGAGTTCATCTCCGAGGCGCTGAAGAACGTCGCACCCAAGAAGGAGGGTGGTGAGAAGAAGAAGGAGCAGCCCAAGGCTGCCCCTAAGCCCAAGCAGGAGGAGGCTGAGGAGGAGGAGGAGGCGGCACCCGCCCCCAAGCCCAAGCACCCTCTCGAGTCCCTGCCCAAGGCCACATTCGTCCTTGACGACTGGAAGCGCAAGTACTCCAACGAGGAGACCCGTGAGGTTGCCCTTCCCTGGTTCTGGGAGAACGCCAACTTCGAGGAGTACTCCATCTACAAGGTTGACTACAAGTACAACGATGAGTTGACTCTCACCTTCATGACCGCCAACCTGATCGGTAAGTTAACTCACCTATAGTATATGATTGAAATGCTAATCTATCCAGGTGGTTTCTTCACCCGTCTCGAGGCTAGCCGCAAGTACCTCTTCGGCTGCTGCTCCGTATACGGACAGTCCAACGACTCCATCGTCACTGGTGCGTTCATCGTCCGTGGCCAGGAGGCTCTCCCCGCCTTCGATGTCGCCCCCGATGTCGAGAGCTACGAGTTCACCAAGCTCGACCCCACCAAGCCCGAGGACAAGGAGTTTGTCAACGACCAGTGGTCGTGGGACAAGCCCATCGAGGTCAACGGCAAGTCCTACGAGTGGGCTGACGGCAAGGTTTTCAAGTAAACGCTTCGCTTTCTTTCTGAAGTGGTTGCTTTGATTTATGATGCGGATGATTTACGAACTGGCATGGGTATGGATAGGATGACGGATGAGGATTCATGAGATCACGCTAGGCAGCCCTTGGTGGATCAGCGATACTGCCATGGCCCGATAGAGGCTCAAAATGCTGCACAAGAAGTTCATGATACCCAACACATATTTTCGCCCCTTATGTTGTGATGCCCTTTGTGTGCTCACTTCGCTATTTGAATGGCAGACCAATATACGCATGATGCCTTCTTCTACACAGTTGCCTTGCTCATCGTGAGCTCAATTAAAGTTGAGAAGTTTGTCAACCATGACACTGCGTTGCCTAGAAGCTGTCAGGTGTTCGCCAAACCCCAGATCTGGGCTCGAACTGGGGTGGGGCCAACAACAGTCGTGGCTTATCGAACAGAGCCTATCATTGGTTGAGAGGAGGACAAGGGAAGGGAAATAGCCCTAGCCAACCGCCGAAGCCGTGGAAAGGAAAGGCTGGACAAGAGAGACGGCGCAGGCGGCGCGCACAAGAGCGCATGCATGGTCTTTGATCCTCGAGTCCCCGATCTCCATCCTCTCGATCGTTGCAACCACGAGCGCCGAAAGTTGCGGTGCTGCAGCGGTACTAATACGGTGACATTTCGCAACGCACGGCCAAACACAGCCATCATTACAGGCGCGCGTTTCTGTGCGCCATCCGCAAACAACCAGACGATCGCGTGCACGATCTTCACGCACACGAAGAAAGAGTTGGGATTGGACTTCTTGGGACTAGGTTGAAGAACGTACAACTGCGCAATCGTTGCGCAGACAACTCCGGCCTCCTGCGCTGATTGTTGGCGGATCAGGATCGGGACGGACGAACGAACGAACGGCGGCGTTCGCGCAGTATAACGTGTAATAGGACACACTGTTGCCTTTTCGGCTTTGCGCTACAGGAACGTAACGCAGGCAATTTAGCAAAGGGGAGAGAGTTGTCTAGCTTTAAAGGATTATTGCTGCTGCTATCTGAGAACGTAAACATTGTTGTTGGTTCTAGGGTGTGGTTCGGGGGCAGGTAAATTTACCATTGCGTGGCTGAGACAAGCTTTCAAAGATCCTAGCTTTTGTTGCGGTTTTAGCTTGCAGGCCTGAGTAAAAGCTTCTGAAGAGACAAGACTTGGGTGATCTGACGGACAGGTTGGAAGAAGAAGAAGAAGAAGAAGAAGAGAGGGAACGTTGAGGGAATGAAAGAAGATAATGGGAGGGTGGTGAGGAGGTCTTCCGGAAATACGGGAGAACCTGCGATTCAGGTCATTTGTCTGGTACGTTGATTGCGCGGTATTTGTGGATATCGAAATATCTAGGTGCATGGTCATCTATATATATATGGGATGTCGCAAACCATGCAATCCTGCAGCCGTAAGTATGTTCTTGCGAATCAGGCTAACATGAACAGGGCTCTGGAGGTGGACCGAGCGAAGACAATGTCACAGGCTTCCTCGTCCGGTCAACAGCAACAAACTGGGCCAAAAACTCCGTCATCACTGTAGATGCAGGCTCCCATCTTGCGTCGATAACCCGAATACTTGGGAAGGATTTTCCACTTGTTTCCGACCCAGACCCACCATTGCCGACTTCAAGGAACGGTAACAGTAACAGAAATGAAATCGACACGCATGCTGAGTCGCCGTCGCCAGGTACAGCGCATGTCTCACTATCGGATGACGACTCCGGGGCTGAGACACCAGATTCCGAGCAAGAAGTACCAGTCACTATCACCACATTGAAGAATGGTGCATTCGCGGGGTTGCCTTTCCCACATCAGAGTGCTAGGGCGAATGCACTGCATGTTGTGAGGGAGCATATCTCGACATACCTCATCACACATCCACATCTGGATCATGTTTCAGGCTTCGTCATCAACACAGCAGCCTTTCATAACACATCGCGACCGAAACGACTAGCAGCACTGCCGTTCACCGTCAACGCCATCAAAAATCACATCTTCAATAACATCATCTGGCCTAACCTTACAGACGAAGATGGAGGAGTAGGTCTGGTAACATTCCAGCGGCTTGCAGAAGGCGGGAACATCGCTCTGGGCGAAGGAAGCTCGAGAGGGTATATCGAAGTGTGTGACGGTCTAGGGGTCAAAGGCTTCAAAGTGTCTCACGGCCACTGCATGCAGGGACCAGGTCATGTACACCGCGGATCGAATGCCAATCTACTGGAAACCTCAAGTCTACAGCATCCAAACACTTCTCAACCGTACAGTCAATCAGACGGCCACGGAGGTCGTTCCATGAGCTTCTCCATGGCAACACAAAGCACACCCGGCACTCCCGGTTTCAATGGCAGCACAGAGACCGGCCGACGAGCCAGCGGCGTCACAGTCCCCCAACCCCAACAACCGGTTTCTCAAGATCACTGCGTAATCGACTCAACCGCCTACTTCATCCGCGCAGAGTCCACTCTCACGACCCCCAAACGTGAAATTCTGATCTTCGGCGATGTTGAACCAGATTCCCTTTCTCTTTCTCCACGCACCCGTCTGATCTGGAGCGAAGCAGCTCCGAAAATCGCTGCCGGCATACTAAAAGGCATATTTATAGAAGTCTCGTATACAAATGCTCAAGCCGATGCCGTCTTGTTCGGCCACCTAGCACCACGTCACCTCCTCGAGGAACTCAGCGTCCTCGCAGGCATGGTAAAGGACAGTAAAAAACAACACGAACGCGAAAAAGAAGAGATACGCCTACAAAAGAGGAAAAAGCGGAAGCGAGCCAGCGGCGGTGCGAACAACGCCCTCCAACTCGATAGCCTTACATCAGGCGAAAACGGGAGGAAAGCTAAGATGGGTGGTTTCCTGGGTGGAGTGGGCAAGGGGATTGATTCTCCAGTTTCGACGACGAATTATCACTCCCAGACGGATGACGAAATTATGAGTGACTTCCCGCTGTCGAGAGGGGATACAGGGACGAATACTCCAGTTCCCTTTCCTCCTCCACTTCAGCCTCAGCAGTCTTTACATCTTGACCAACCACAACAGCACGGACAGGAACATCAGAACGGCACGACCGAACCACAGCACTCCCACCCGTCAGCCCCGGCAGCGCTTGGTCTCTCGTCCGTCTCAGCGGAACACAACCGCGCCATGCTCTCCGCGGCTTTTGACGCTCCCCTTAAAGGTGTCAAGGTCGTTATCATTCATGTTAAGGATTCTTTTATGGATGGGCCGCTGGTTGGAGGTCAAATATTGAGGGAGTTGAAGGATGGAGAGAAGGTTTTGCAGGACACTGGGAGGGGTTTGGGGTGTCAGTTTGAGGTTAGCGCTGCAGGGGAGAGTTATTGGTTCTAAAGGGGAGTATTTTTTGTGCAAGGGAACGGGTAGATGGCACGATTGAGCTAAATTGGTTTGGCGTCTTGGGTACGGGCTTCGGCTTTTTTCTGGGCTTCAGGGTGGATCATGGGGTAAGATACATGGGTTTTGGGTGGCTGTTTTGAGCATATGAGTTTAAGCAAATTGGGCATCTGCGGGTATATGTAATATCATGGGTCTTGATATATCATCGCGTTCAACTGACACTAGACCTGTCGCGTACGTCCTTCTCTTCTACTCTACCTACTTTCTTATCTCCTATACACCAGCTTACTAGGGGTGATAAGAATTCCTGTTAAATTTAACATAGAGTAAAACCTATTTTAAAGGTGCCGCAGTACTTCCAAGGTATAAGCCAAGAAGGTAAAAGACTATATATACTTCTATGTAGAGTATAAGATATAACCTATAGAGAATACGCTTCTTTTTAGGCACCTGTCTACCTAGGTTGTTGTAAGGCGACGTGCGGCGCGAATCCTTTCCACCCCTTGTGGGCAGTCCACCACCGCCCCAAATACGTATTGGCTTTGGTCTAGCCATGCCCAAGCCGGACCGACAAGGTAAATACTAATATGCCCTGCCAGCTCGCGTTCGTAACTCTATCCATAGCACTTGAAATCGCGGATAGGGACCTCCCTGGGAAGACTTCGTGGCCTGCGCGCTGTGCCGTGTGTTTTTACAACGCAATGATGTACCTTGCAAGCTGTAGTCTTGTGTTTGCATTTCACGAGAGACACTGACTTTGTGCAGACGATTCTGATGTTTTGATTCATGGTTCTACCGCAAGTCCTCTCTCTAGTAGAGTGAGAGGAAAGGATGCAAGAAGATTACTCATCTGCTAACGTAATTCTTCGTTGTCAAAGTTATATTCGTTAGTTCGAATGTAGTAGAGGTGGGATTGATGGAGATGTGTAATGAGTAAGAAGAGCAAGAGTAGTTGTCCGACGCATAAAGGGGCATGGCTTGCATGACAAGCTTGCTGGTTAAATCATGGAATGTACTTTTCGTATTGCATTGGGTTGACTATGAAGAGTTCTAAGCGCTTTTAATACTTTCAAGCATAAGTTCGTTGCCTATCATAAGGTTAGCAATGAAGGAGGTAGAACGACATTAGCGACCAACGTACGCGTAGCATTCCTTTCCGTCATCATAAGGACGCGAAGATCCAGTATCGACCTCCTTGTTCAATGCTTCCTGCCGTGGAATACTTCGTTTCCTCTCACCATAGACCGAAGCGGAAACCCAAAGTAGCCACATTATACCAGCAATAACTCCGTACGCAATGATCTGGCCCCGGCTAGGGGCAACCCCGGTGAATGCGGGTGCATCTGATGCAAGAAGCAGGCCGAGACCACCGTTGATCATGCCCAGCGTGATCAGGATACGTCCTAGCCAGAGGTGACCGTACGACCAAACAGTTCGGCGACTATATTTCTTGAACTTGAGGTGATGTACGAAGCCAAGGATAGGTTGGAAGAAAAGAAGAACGAAGACGGTAATACCAATGATGGGATGGTAGTTGTCGAGCATGTTGACTGGGATGTTGTTGATCATCCAAACGCCGATGCCGAACGCTGCGATGTATACGACATATGCGAAGAGTTGGAATAAGCCGTGGACGAGCCAAAGACCGCGGAATGATCCTAATCGTATGAGGATCGATCCAACCGGGAAGAACAAGACGAAGGCCAGTGCTGCCAGAACACCATGCGCTACAATGATCTTGCGTCGTGATTCTGATGAGAAGCCGCCGCGGCCACCGCCAAAGGATGAGCCGAAATCATTGTCGTCGCTGTCACTACCTCCTCCAAATCCCCCGGGGCCGTATTGACCACCAGGTCCGTATTGTGCAGAAGCCGCAGTCGCTGCTGACATTCAGTTAATTTGGTCCTCAAATTCACAACTTAACTCCATACCTAAGCTAAGCAGCATAGCTCGTTTGTTAAAAGTCATGATGAAGGTGTAGGCTGTACAAAGAGCAACATTGACCCGATGTGGTAGTCTTACAGCTTAATAGAAGGAAACATTGGCTATTTAATCTATTCTTACCTGCGACCCGTGGACCGCTGATCTTACAACATCACCCACTATACAAGCCGAAAAGCCCCAAATCCATGAAGCATGTCTGAAAGTGACACGAATGACGCTGTTTAGAGCGGAGTATGGTCGAGCTTACGCGTTTCCGCAGCTTTTTCGAGTGTTTCGAGTGGTGGATATGGTCGAGCTAGTCTAACTTGGGGTCGGGGTATGCATTGGAGAGCCGGAAGTAAGATGTCGGCGAAACACAATGTGGAAGCTCCGACTCTCATGATGTGACGAGTGCCTCAGGCAAGAGACTTCGTTGACGTCGGTACAAGATTAGTAAGGCTGTCTTATGGAGGCCTGGATGGTTCAGCCGTGCTGAGCACGTGATTGCGCGACAATGTGCCTGCAGCCTTGCGCAGGGCGCACGCGTATGACTCGAGCGATGTGGCTAGCATTAGCATGATCCTTCGTTCGTGGATGTAGGCAGCGACTAGGCGACAAATCCACGAAGCTCTTCTTCCAGGTCGCTGCGAGCATGGTCGTTGGTTGGTGTTACCAGACTAATGATTAGTGAGGCAGATGACGTGGGTCATGAAGCCTGTGCAGATGTCTCTCATCAAAAACTGCCTTCCAGGTTAACACCCTTAGTATAACGTCCAGGTTCACGTTCACCGTCTAGTTGACATGGCGGTCGGCAACGTGATGTGGCATCCCCACGCAGCGCATCCCGTCGCCCTCGACCCCATGGCGGTCAGAGCGCGGTCGAGGTTTTCCATCCGCCCTCCGCGATCCTGGATCGTCGCATGGCCAGGCACATGGCCGTCGCCTAGAAGGAACAAATCCGGCATGCGCTTGTTCGCAGTCATCCGTCCCCGATGTTCGCTATGGATATTGCATAGCCCCAGCATTCAAGAGTCCCGTGGTCGTAAAGAAAGGGCAGGATAGCGCCTCGCCAGGGTTGTGCACATCACATGCGCGCCCGTTGTCCGTATGTATGTCGTCAGAAGTTGTGAGTCGAAGAAGCAAAAGAAGGTGAAACAAGGAAATTGCGATGAGTGTTGGGCAAAGAGAGGTGAGGACTCTGTGGGTTCATGAGTTGTGCATGCCCAGCACGAGGATGACTCCTGCAGGTCCCGAAGTTCGGCTTTGACCGCGTTGTCATCTGACCAATCATGCGTGAGCACGGAGGCAATAGTGGGTCTAGATTCGCTGTCATCTAGGCTATGATCTAGCATCTTCCTTCTCCCCGTCACACCATCGTGCGGCTCTGAGTCACTATGCAGCCTACTGACATCCTTGACTTAGCTTGTACCTGCATACGTGATGCGATGTCGTCCCATGTATATAAGGCCGGGTAAGTATCTTGCTCCTATGATTGACTCTCCTGAGACTATCAGCCGCCTTTGCGGCTTTTCGCCCCATCTCTCTCCATCTCCCCTCACACCTATTATTACCTCTTCACGCATCAACGAAAAACTGGAATAGACGACATGGGCAAGCGTCACAATAGAAAACGAACAAGAAGCCGTCCTCGGAACCGCAACAACAATAACGATAATTCACTGCCGCAAATCATTAATCATACTCGAAGTGAATCTGTCAGCACTACCTCTTCAACTCTCTCTGCAACTAGCTCCTGCTTCCATCCTCAAAGCTACCCGATTGCGAACGCCACTGCGAATCACTGGCAACAAACTTATACCGCATGGCAAACCCGGCTTCGACTTCAAGAGGAGCAGGAGCAAGAGTTGGAGACTCAACGACTTCGTATCTTTGGTGGACTACCGGAGGATGAAAGAACGTTAATGGAGCCGATGCTCAAGGTGGTTACGGATCTCTTCGATGGTTTCTACGATTATGAAGATCCGTGATGATTGAAGTGTTGGCTCTTTGCATCTCCGCTTTTGTGCATTGCATCCATTTCAACGGACAACGCCTGTATTTACGACGACAAACGACACGAACGAACGACACGAATTAACGACCAAATCTACGATGACTCTGGCAGCCAGCCGGAGGCGTGGGATAACAACTGGGCACGGACTCGTAGCAGATCAGACAGTACCTGCGTCGGTCCAACTGGGTCGGCCCGCAGGCGCTGTTTGTTTGGTTCAACATTTGCTCAGCCCTAGGACTCCGGCTTCACGCATAGGCGGCGGAAGCAAAGACACAGGTGGAAGAGACAGCTAGATGCACACCTGATGCCTGTACTCGCTTGAGTTCCAGACTCGCGGGTACATGTGACGGGTTTGAGCGTCGCAGTCTCTGGAAACGGCGGGAAGGAAAGACAGGCGCGCCTGCGTATTGGTGGAGGAGTCATCTTGTTTGGGAGGATTGGTGTACATTTGCAGTTTTCTGCAGGGCAAATGAATGTCCGAGTAGTTTATCCATTATTTCTTTAATAAACTTCAATTCATCTTAAATCATAACCCATCTTCATTCGTGACTCTAACTCTCGCTTTCATCCTGACTGAGACGTACTTGCCTTTGCGCTATCTCTTCACCGTCTGGGCCTTGACGTACCTCTAGCTCACTCTTAGCGCGCACATGCGAGATCTGTTGAGCGTTGGCTACTTCAGCTCCTCCCTTTCGCCTGTATCAATCACCGCAACACTACTTATGGGCAACGAACTTATAGGAAACTACTTGACACTCCGTAGCTTCGGGTCGAGTGGTTCCCATAGTACTTTGCAGTCAAGCAAATCCTATACACGTTACGCTGACAAATGGCCACCAACCAGCTCATGATGGAGGACCCTCATCTCAAATGTTCGATGCAGCTGCAGCTGTCTCAAGGCTCCTGGGAGGCAGTTTATATCGTCGCTTATGTCACGAGACTTAGTTGTGCCCCACCATGAGCGTGCCTGTGATCTTTGTTCGCGCCGTGCTCATGCATCGCTCTGGTTCTTAACAGAAGTGTGCAATATGTTTTAACGAAAAGTTAGCAGGATGCAATCGCGATCCTCCACTACCTGACATCAGCGGTCCCTCCAATCTGGGTTCGGGACGCGCAAACATGTCGCCTAAGCAGAAGCGGCGCCGACGGGACTTCGAATACAACCCTCTCCGAAATGATTTCAGATTGCTAGAGCTCGTTCCTGGACCCAGTCTGTACGCCGATATTCATTGCAAGCTGCAGGACTACCAGTTAGACTCGGCACCGCCATACGAAGCTCTATCGTATACGTGGGGCGATGGCAAGAGTGAATGTCGGATACTATTGGATGAGAAGCTCTTTTACATTCGAACAAACCTTCGGGACGCATTGCGTCGTCTGCGACAATGTCAAGGCACAAGAATTATCTGGATTGATGCGATATGCATCAACCAAGACAGCGCAGACGAGAAAAATGTTCAAGTACCTTTAATGGGAAAGATATATACTAAAGCAGAACGTGTGGTTGTTTGGCTTGGCGAAGAGGATTTCGATAATGGGACGGCTATTAACTTCATTCCATACTTGACCATGATTGCTAAAGTTGACGCCGAGTTCTTGTGGCGATGGCAACTTGAACAACACGAGTTTCTTCGGCAGATTTCGTCTCTTATCCACTTGTTCGCCCGTCCACGGTGGAGCAGGACGTGGACGATCCAAGAGGTGGCACTGGCTCCAAATGTTGTCTTTGTGTGTGGTTCTCGCGACATTACTTGGTCCACATTCCGTTCCTTCATCATAGCATGGATGGATATTGGACGTATACCGCCTTACAAGAACTTGAGCGGACTCCAAAAGACTGTGATTCGTTATCTTGGCATGCTTGTGTCTGGCTATTCAGAGGCGTTAGCGAGACTGCGTACAGCAGATCGAAACATGTCCTCGCGCCCTAAGTCATCCGCACTGTCAGAATTACTATGGTCATTCAAATACCGATCAGCAACTGATCCTAAGGATAAGATTTACGGCCTTTTAGGTCTTCTTAGTGACCACGGAGTCAAGGTCGACTATAGTAAATCATCTGAGGATACATACATATCATTCTTTTCCTCGTGTCTGTTGGAAGACGAAGGACTATCTTGGTTCCGCTGGATGACCGGAGAGTGCCAAGAGCCCAAGGGGCTATGTCTTCCGTCTTGGGTTCCCGATTTTGGTTGGAGAGCGATAATACCCATCTCATCCTTTCTGCCTGACCGATCCAAAGGAGAGTTGCAGCGAACATTCTTGGCAGCTGGGCCAAACCGGTCAATATCGCCCTCTGCTATTCAGTTTGAAGATGATGGCCGTACGTTGGTTCTTCGAGGCCGTTCATTTGACGTGGTCAGCCAATGCGGACGTACCTTTCCGTTATCCGATGATATTGCTCTTGCTGACCAACCAATCAAACCGATACTCTCCCACTGGTGGAGTATGGTAATGGATACGAAACACGGAATGTATCACTCACATTTTGCCAAAGGGAATGCCTTTTGGAGAACGATTCTGACCGACCGAGAGATCGAAGGACTCCATTTCGATGAAAATGCTGGCTAGAACCCGGCCCTGCAACTCCCGTTAGAAACCAAATACATACCTAAGCAAGAGTTGCTGCAAGCTATCAAGAATCGAGGATTATGCGTAAACGGTCGGAGATTCTGTATAACTAGCAAGGGTCATTTCTGCTTATTACCACCAACTGCTTCCGAAAGAGACTCGATCTGCGTATTGCTAGGCGGAGAGGTGCCCTACGTACTGAGGCGTATCGATTCTCAAAGCCAAGATCTCTATACAATGGTGGGGGAATGGTAAGCTGCTGCACCACTGTTTACCGATTCGGTTACTAATGGGGCCGCTAGTTATGTGCATGGAATAATGGATGGTGAAGCGATAATCGACATTTTGGAAGGCAAAGATGAGGGTGAAATTTTCAGGCTGCGGTAAGGTCGGATTTGGTTGTGAGAAACAATAATGTTGTGTGTTTAGCTTGGATTTGTGGTACACATGTATGTAGAAAATCTATCATCTCATTCAGGACGCAGGCGTCTTTCACCATAATGAGGGAAGATTACATATTATACACTTTGTAGATACTGCTACTTTGTTGGCTACAGGTAATGCCTATAAAGTGCGGACGCTACTTGGGCAAGCATACTTTTGAGTAGCTGTGCGCTGAGAATAACCTAAGTGCAAGAACCATAAACTGATTTCGGTCACTACCATACAGGCCATCACAATCCTATCATCCTCATTATCATGAATAAAGACCCCAGGAAATGCGTCAACCAGCACCTAAAGCAGGGTTCCCGTCATCACATGCGTACCAACCCGAGCGATCGGTCGCCCTACTATCGTACGACACTCGCCGACGGGTCACCCCACACGCGCAACCCGGCACATTCTCGCTCCCATGTCTCGCCACCAACCTTCCCTTCGCCATTGCCCACAGGAACATGTCAGACGATGTAGACGTATACTTGGTGAGTTTGACCAATCATCTTGTAGATATGCTATTGTGTCTCGCGATCCCAGAAGCCGGGCCTGTGTTTTTCGCGTGTTGGTGCATGTTGGCACAAGGCGCATGTCTCGATTCTGGGGTCATCGTCGGTAGGCACCGCATCGTGACTGCTGGTCTGAGGAATCTCGCTGTGTGAATATAAGCAGGTTGGTTTTTCTTGAATTGGTTATTCATCCTCCATCATCATCCAGTCACATCAGTCTTCAGCTGAGCAGTTGCATCTATTACAATCGCATCGCATCGCATATACAGCAAAGGCATATTGCATACAAATAATCACAAGCCGACCTACCTACCACAACAACAACAACAACAATCATCACCAAAGTCTAACAACCAATCCAACCCCACCCACACCATCAACCAAAATGCCAGCAGTAGCAAAGTCTTACCTCCCTTCCTTCGCCACCTTCTTGGGTACGCCATTCCCTTGTCTTCTCCAACTCCTCTCAACTAACAATTGTTTGTAGCATTTGGCATAACCTACACCACAGTTGTGGCAGCAAAAGAAGGCGCAGCCGTTGACGGGGCACGAACACGCTGGCAAGAACAACATGCACGTGCGAGGAGTGCTTTGAGTGGGGGCATGAGTTTGGCGGATATGGAGAGGAAGTAGAGGGGTGGAGTAGGAGGAGTTTTCAATTCTTGTTTGCATACTAGGGACCTGAGGCGTTTTGGAGTTGGATAGTTTAAATTCTTAGTAGAATAAAGGATAGCAGTTCGTCTGTATTCTTGTCGAAGATCAAACATAATTAGCTCTGTTACAGTAACCTCATTCCACAACACCATTTCCATGTCTCTCACCCCGTTTCCCATGACCTCCAAGCATCTCAAACACAACCCCCACTATATCTCCCTTCGCTACCAACCTTTCACCTTCTTACGTCCCCACCTACCTCCACATCCCTACCCTTCACTCATATTTTACATATTATACCACCAGGATATAGGTCTATAACACTATATATGCTATGGTTTCGGGAGTCATTCATAGTACCCGACGCATGAATAGCGCTTTAAAAAGGGTCGCGTTGTTGGAATGCGTGAATGAGAGGCATAGATGCATAGCGGAATGTGTAATGTGACGTGTATCAAAGGGAAAAATATATTGAGGTCGCCGATAGTCGGTATGCAGCTAGACAGAGAGGGAATGTTGCAGATACGGGGGACCGGGTGGGTAATATGGGTAAAGAGCGTAGGGCAGAGGACGTGGGGGGTACGCACTTCGCGGAAAGTAGGTAGAGAGAGATGTCAGCGGATGAGCGGAAGACGAGACACACTTCAGTATTTTTTTGTAGGTTTGTGGTTGATTAGTTCACATGGAGCAGGCATCACAACCAAGAACACGGAACAGTAAGTAAACTTCAACACTGTTTTCAATTCCACTTCAACTCTACATAACCTTGGTTCAGGTTCTCCTCTCTTCATCCCCGTCGACCTCGGGGTCAAATATATCTACAAGAAAATCCATTGCCGTTAAACGCCATCCAGAACGGAAGTGAAGTACGGTTGATACCGTCGCGCAGCACCGAGATAACAAAGGAAAAAAAAAGAAGGTAGCCTACTCGCTGTTTGTGGCTGGATATGATCAAACAAAGGGAATCGTTACAATCATGTAGGACCAGTCTATGAAAAAAAGTTGGTGCAGTATAGCCGCGCAAAGAAGATCAAGGAGAGAATGGCATGTTAAACCTTCAGATTTAGCTATGAGTCGAACATCGATGTGATATCAGCGATTCTTTGCATGACGGGGCTCATGGCGGCAATCTTCCTCTCTAGACGCTCGGCTAGGCGTGCTTCGTTTGACTCATCTGAGATGACTAGCGAGTAGTGTGCGAAGGCCTTCTCCGGGTTGGTGAAGAGCACCTCCTGGTCCTCAAGCGGTGCGGATGAAGCGGCTGAAGGAGAAGATGAGTAGTAAAGGTCGTACTCGGCATCCTCCTCTTCGGCCTCATCGGCAACAGCGGGCTCGGACTGGACGGGACGCTCTATGACGGGGTAGTCAGCCTTTACCTCCTCAACAGGCGAGTCGTCCTCGGCGTTCAGGATAGCACTGTATCCCTTGCCAGACATAGCCTCGATGTCAAGGGGGTTGCTAGGGCCCTCAGGTAGCTCAGTGACGGCGAAAGCGACGGGTTGCTGGAAGTTGAAGCCGTTGTTGGCACCCCAGTTGTTGCCGTTGTTGTTGTTGTTCAAGTTGAGCATGGCGAAGTCGATTTGGGGCTCGGGAACCATGGTCATACCGACGTGGGTGTTCTCGGCCTGGGACATGCCGTTAAACTGTTGTTGCTGGAACTGAGCCGGGGCAGGAGCAGTGGTAACGGGAGTTGCGGTTGACGGCATCGAGGTCATGGGCGCCTTGCTCTGGAGCGACTCATCGCGAGAGAGCTCCTCGAGGAAGGGCGTAAAGGCTTGGTGGCGGAGCAGACGCTCAATGAAAGCGCGGGAGCGGGCGTTCTCCTCCATGAGGAGGCGGTTCTGAGCGCGGAGTTCGTTGGCCTCGTTGACCTTCATGGCAACTTCGCCTTCAAGCTGGCCGATGTATTCTAGTGATGTTAGTCGGTATCGCATATGTAGTAGTGTCGTGGTTGCTTACCCTTCCTTCTTGAGCGGAACGCGCGCGCTGAGACCTTGTTGCGGAGCTGGCGGCGCTCCTTGGAGCTAAGCTTCTTGCCCTCCTCTGAAGCGAGCAGCCTCTCGTCCTCATCCATATCCTCTTCGTCCTTCTTTGCGCGGATGATATGGGGAAGGAGACCCTGGTTGTCGTTCTGCATGGAAGCAGACGCGTTCTGGCTGTCGGCACGGATCTGTGCGACAACACGGGTAATCATCTCTTCGGTGTGAGCGTCGCTGAGCGGGCTCGATGTCTTGCGGCTAGCGGAGCTAGTAGAGGGCATGCGGTTCTGTTGCTGCTGTTGCTGTTGTTGCTGCATGGCGTGCTGTTGCTTCTGGTGGGCCAGCTGTTGCGCTCGCTGCTGCTGGGCCTGCGCCTGCGCCTTGGCCATGGCAGCCTGCTGTTGATGCATACCAGGCCACACCCTGACGTTGGTGACCTCCTCTTGTGTGATGGCGCTTGGGTCCACGTAGTCGTCTGAAGCCTCGTTGAAGACGAAGCTGTTCTGGCGGTAGTCGACGCCCATGTTCATTCCAACGTCCATGGGCAGGCCGGTGTTCCAGGCGCCGTCCATGATCGAGTCGCCGCCCATCATGGCCATCTCATCCAAGCCGGTGGAAGAGAACATGGGAAAGCCGGTGTTGTATCCAGCATTCAGGCCAGCAAGGGATCCGGAGGGCAGGCCGGTCTGTTGCTTGAAGCGCTCGTACTCGTGGCTGGGCTTTGCGGGGGTCTGGAGTTCGTCGTCAATGTTTGTGCTGGTGGGACTGGCCATGGTCGACGTCGCACTGGATTCCCTCTTCAGCGTCGTGGGCTGCGTGGGCGAGGGCATCTGGCCAAAGTCGAAGAACTCATTGGGGTCGACGCATTGATTTGGGTGTTGGTTGAAGGGGGCCATGGTCATGGCAGACTGTACTGCGGTAGCCATGTCGGTGTTGATTGTTTGACCTGCTGGGGAGTCGCTGATCGCGTTTGAGCGTTCCGTGGGCAGGCGAGTGGATGTCTTGGGGGTGTTGTGTTGCGGGCACTGCGTGGGTGACTAGAGCGGTTAGGCTGCTGGAAAGTCGTCGTCAGCTCCTCTCTGGGCCGGTTCTGCCGGAAGTGTGGCTGTGCCGTTGGATCCGTGCCTCTGAATCGAGCACGTTTGGTCGCGGCGGGAATTGAGCGAGTGTTTTGGGTGGGAAAAGGCGTTGATTGAAGATGGCAGGTGTCGGGTTGGAGTGTGTAGTGAAAGTGGGAGCAGAGTGATGGCGAGGGACGGGCAATGGCCTTCTTTGCTGGGGCCCACCGTCCGTCGGGGATGCGCTCTTGCGTTTCACACTGAGGCGGAGTCCCCCTTCTCGAAATAGAAGGAAGCAGGCCAAACCCGGTTGGTCGCTCTCTGCCGCCGATCACCGCCCAGCAATCTTCGGCTGTTCCTCTCCTGAGCGCCGCCGGGACATGTCTTCGGCCTCACCATGCACAATAACGGACATCGCGATTGATGCTAATCTCTGCCATCTGTCTTTACCCCTCTCGATACCTGCCACGAGACCCAGCGACTGACGTAACCTGGCTATTTTTTAATTCATCGTACAATCACCCTACGTCCCTCAGCAGCCTCCAAGACCATGGCGAACAGCTGGGTATCCTCCGGACCTTTTCTTCCAGCTAGGCATTACGCACTTGATGCACCGTTGGCGCATACTCGCTGGGCCCGAAGGTTGGACAAGCGAATCACGGCCTGTCATGCTGCACCACCACTGAGGCTGTGCTGTCATACTTCACTTTCCTAGGCCATTTGGCGACCCCCGCTGTTATTCGTCCATTCACACCTTTTTCCTGTCCTGCGCGAATAGCCCCATGCCGTGTAGCCATTGAGCCACAACCCACCGGCTTGGTGGCTTGGGTGGCCTTTTCGGCTGCATACCAACCAACAAAGCAGGTGCAAACGAGCAAGAGTCTCGACTCACTCTCGATGCCAGCTCTAATTTTCAGCTTCTTACTACAGGCCTCGTATGAACTTGCCCGGCGCACTTGTGGCTCACCTTCTGCAGAACCATCCGCCAGTGTGGCCACTCTGTCGTGTACACCCACCACTAGCATTGTACGTCCTCTCGGACAACCTGCCGGAGCCATTTCCATCGACAAGTCTACATCTGTCGTGTATCAGCTTTGGAGGCACACCTGTCAAGCCTGTCAGCGCCAGATTCAATCAGGTCGCAAATTCTCATCTAAACACACCCGTCCCTCAGCGAAATCACTCTTGGGCCCGGCAATCTCCGTCCGAGTGCCATGGGGCGACTCAACATCACCAGCTTCCCCGAATCCACTGGCCATGATACCTTCAATTCGTGAAACACTCGTCTTGAGTCAATAACGTCACAGCTGTCACTTTCCAACGTCTGCGCGGGTCCTTCCGTCCAATGGAAACTCGCGGAAAATCGCTCATGCTCCCAGCGTAACCGGCCACCCATGGTAAGATGAGGATAGTCCCTGCCTATCAGTTCCGCATCGCCAGGTACAGAGTCAGTCTATGCGATACCAATTATCGGCAAACCTCACAGGAAGTTGAACTGCGCATCCTTCAGCAGCAGCAGCAGCAGCAGCAGAAATTTCGCGCTCGGGTAAGGCTGAGTACAAGACGCGTCATCAACACGCAGATTTAGAGAAATGATTTCCAGCCCTAGAGAACTGCAAGAGACAATTGCAAGCAGTGCCATTTGAGGCGTTGAGTGTAATACTACACGCGGGCTTACACCGGTCTTGATCGCAAGGCCATGCCTACAAGTCTTTGTCAGACATGGCATTGGCAGAGGTTATGCAAGGCAGAAAACAACTTGGCCGGCCTTATACCTCCACCATAGCCTCTGAACTTTGAAGGCATCCAGCTCGCAAAGATGAGAAATCAGCTCTACCGATATCCCCCAGTGTGCTATCTTTGGCGCCTCATCTGCGTCTTCCAGAAGGGCCGCGTCAACAAAGAGGACTTTTCTTGTAGCCAAAAATCTCCTAATCTCTTGATGCCGTAAATCCTAAGCCGCAGCCATCTAGTTCGCTGTGCTCTGTTTCCTTATTCCCAGCGAGCCGCATGCCGCCCGTCCGCTCCGTCCGCGCGCACGCAAGAAGCATTAGGCAAACCATCTCATATCCACAACAGCACCAACATTTCGCGTCAGCATTGTCCCTTGCTCGCACTTTGCGCACTTGAACACCGGCCTCGACCACGCATAGAGAACCAAAGGGAATTACAACCGCTTATCGGCCCGCCTCAAACCATAAAAGGGGTCTAGTCTAGACCCGGCTCTCAGATCTTCTTACTCAGACCCTGACCCATTGTCTGGCTGAACTCTTACCCATAGAGCTACAGACTGTTTCACGGTCTTCCACCCCGAGCACCAGTCAGCCTATGCAGAGCGCTTCAAGTAAAGTCTTCGAGACGAATCAGACAATTTTGATGCGACACGCGTCTCGTCATGCTAGGACCAGAACCAAAGGTCGGTGCACCGCCTGTCAAAGTAACAGCAAGCCTCATGTATCCCCCCGGATCTTCAGTCTTGGTGAGCTTAATGCACTATGAATGTTTCGGAGAAGCCAATGCCAAAAGTGGAATTCTGGGTAAGCATTACGATGGCATCAAGTAGTAGGTTTCGTGTAAGGTGCTACTCGTTCACCACTACCGCCCGCGGACGACTTTGTCATGCCTCACTTCAGAACCTAATCGTTATCTTGAATCGTGAGAAAACTAGTAGTCTTATCGAAAGTGTCTTGAATCGTCAGAAAAATCAATAGTCCCATTCGAAGTGTCAAGCTCAATGAGTTGCACTGCCTGCCTCGTCAAAGTATGGAAATAGTCGCCTATTGACTGACTCTTGTCGTGGTGAATGAGAACAGTCTGTCTTACGACACAATACTATAGTGAACAGCAATAATTCAAATTCTTTCATAATACATGGATTTATATACATAGCATTCGGGGCCTTTTACGACCTCCTCTCTCCAACATCAGACCTGTAGCTCAAGAAGCCATGGATGTCCTCTTCATCCATATTACCAGGTTCTCACTCAAGTCCTGAGGTCGCACCGTCGCGGCTACACTCCATGAGTGGCGGCTGTTGCTGTTGCTGTTGTTGTCCATAGTGTGCACTCCCCGATTGGATCTCGTACTACGAACCCTCGTGATGCTGCCCCATCATACTCCCCTCCAATTCTGCGACACTGCCCCTTTCCTCACCCCGCATGCGATCCCCATCATCTCCTCCCCAAATCCAACCCCTAACTACCCTCGTAAACATATCTTCCCCCTCCGATCTCCCATGATACCGCCCCTCGCTACACCCTCCCCCTCGCCACATCCCTCACAATAGCCCTCGCACGATCAAAATCCCCATCTCTCGCCAAAGCCCGAACAACCGCTATCATTGCGCCCCAACCAGGTAGGTTTTCCCGCTTGCTCATACGTGCAAGTACACTCATCATCTTGCCCACCTCGCCAAAACTCGCGTAGCCTTCAAGAAGCCGGTCGAAGAGCACGCGGTCGCTCGGCATACGGGGTGCGCTGAAGAGGCGGAGTACGACGTCGTCGACGCCAGCTATGTTGGGTGGGTCGGACTGGAAGTAATGCGTTATGATGGACGTGTAGACATGTACGCTCGGAACCAATCTCCTGCTAGTCATATGTTCCATGACAGCGCGCACAGCGTCGTCGTTAGAGTATTTTTTCAGCAGGCGATCGATGGTTGTGGAGTAGATGTAATCGTTCATTTTGATGCCGCTTGCTTCTAGGTCGTCGAGGATCTGTAGTATGCGTGAGGTTTGTTGAGCTTCGGTTAGGTTGTCGAAGACTTGATTGTCAAAGGCGGCACTGAGGAGCATTGTATGAGTTGCTGCGTCGCCTTCTAGCCCGTCCTTTTCCATTTGCGAGAGGATTCTGAAAGCGGTGCTCTTATCGCCTGCGTTTAGGTAGAGTCTCACGAGAGAGTTGTACGTGATGGCGTCGGGCTTGATTTGAAAGTTCTTCGACCATGTGAGTAGTTTCTGAATAAATTCCACCTTTTTCTCGTGGCGCATTTTTTCTGGACGGAGCTGTACAATGGCGGACAAGGCGCCATTGATGACCTCAATAGAGGGCTTTGTGCATGTATTGACTGCTTTGCTTGGGGACGATATCTTCGGACCTTTTTGCCCTTTCACAGGCTTCTGGGCGTTGCTGATGGCATTCTCCGCTGCGATCCAGCGTTTGGCCATGTCGTCCAGTGCGATAAAGGCCTGGTTGACCTGTTTCAAAGACACCAAGCCGTTGACACGGGTCGTCCAGGCGTAGTTGCTTGGTTCGAGACCAGTGTTCAGCATGCGCTGCCACATTGCATTAAAGCCATCGAGATCTCTTGCCTTTGCGCACCCTTCCAGAAGTGCAACCCAAGAATACATGTTGGGCTTGACGTTGTGAGCGATCATATGATTCCAGACCTCGACTGAGCGTTGTGGGTGGAGAACAGTCATGTACCCAGAAAGAAAGGCGTTGTATATAGAAGGGGGTATGGTAACAGTCTTGTTCTTGGTGGTATATGTTTGCTCGATTTCTTTCCAAATACCGTTCAGTGCGACTGCTGAAGTCTTGCTCTCCACCGCACGCGCTATTCTCTTCATAAGAAAAGCTTCCCAACTGGAGTACGTATCACCCGCGTTATCTGGTCCAAGAGTCTCACCCTCTTTTCCAATAGCCATTAGAGCCTTTCGCGGTACAGCATCAACCTCTTGGATGACTTGGACTTGTACATGTTCCGGTAGCTTTTTGAAATCCGGCCCTTCTGTATATAAGAAAATCGAGTCAACAAACGAGCCAGCGAGTAGTCGTTCAAGGAAGGTTAGAAAAGGCGCGGCTTGCTTGTGTGTCGTTGGATCTAGCGCGTCCGACACACTGTAGACATAGACAGCACAAAAGGCCAACGCAGGGTTTGCGATATAGTTGGGGATGTAGCCCTGTAAGCGCATATTAAACTGCCTGGTATCATGCATTTCCGGAATTGCCTCAATGAGTGGTAGATTCCATTCGGTACTAACCGACTCCATTGCACCGTTCTTCGGTCCCATGCATTGGAAGAAAAGCCGCCATACAGATAATAGCTCCTGGAGTAGTGCATGAAGGTCCCGTTTAGGTCCAGATGGTGAATTCACAGCCTGTATGATTTCAAGCGTCAACTGAGCTAGTGTCGGCCTCACCCAGTACTCAGGGCGAGCAATGCCAAGCTGCTGGTATTTGAAGAGCACCTTCGTTGGGGTAACGACCAAGTTTGGTCTGCCTACACAAAAGGCCCCCGTGACAGCTCTGAGGAGACGCCCGAATACCTGGTCCTTACTCAGCAACTGTGCATCACGATCTGTTGGCTCAACCAAGGCCTTGCAATCTTTTGCAGTGTAAATGCCCTCAAACGACTGCCAGGCTCCATTGATGTGGCCATTGTGGAGGGCGTCTAGCACAGGGTCAGCATACGCCCGCTCCATTCGTGACGACCTGGGCTGTTCTGCAGCATCGAATGTATGTTCTCCTTCGCCACCAGTATGGGTTGCGGCGTTGTCCGTCTCGTTATATATGAGTTTGGAGTATCGGCTGCGTGGCTGCCCGTCGCGTAGACTCGAGAATTGTGTATTTGGCCCATTTCGGTTCCTTTCCTGTGTAGAATCTTCTTTTTCTGTGGCTGGCGCCGATGCCTCTTCTCGTGATGCTTCGGCGTTGTCGTTTGGCTTTCGACCAGCCAGCGAAACGATCGTGGCTCTAGATTGCCATTGAGGGCTTCGGACGGGAGCGATGCGTCGGAACAGGCGTGTTCGACATTGTCGACATACGTATGCGCCTAGCATAATGCCGTAATGAGCTGAGAACGTTGGGGGGTACGAACGCTGGGGACGACGGTTAGCTTGTGAAGTCAGAACTTTTTGTCGTAAGCGTCTGTACACCTACAATAACAAATTAAGCCCTCATCTGCGCACGAGTGTCAACTCAAAGAACTCCGGTATGCTCAGTAGAGTGCTTTCCATGAATTGGCCTATGCGAGGGGTGCTGCTACAAATCGCGTACAGATGTCGCGATGCTATGCGGAATACCTCCGGCCAATAAGACGCCATGACGTCCGCACGCAGCACGTGACTGAGGCCTTCCACCAGAAACGTCTCTGGTCCGACTCAATCTAGTTGCGCATGATCTCTAAGACAGAAGACAATCTAAGCATATTTTCTTTTTCCATTCCTACGTCCAGATCCATTGACAGAGCGCACGATGACTACCTTGATACCGCGGCAGTTCTATTCGCAGGAAGAGCTCGATAAGCTTTATCCAAAAGAGCTTGAATTACAGCTCGTACAGATCGTAAGCACCAATAACGAAGCATCAATTTGTGCTACCACTGACTGAAATACCAGCTACTTCGTCATGGTGAGGTTTCTCAACGCCTCATCGGCGTGTTCGCAAGCCCCACCCGGCCAGTTACTGACGTCTACATCTAGGAGAAAGAAGTCCTGTATCACCTCGCTTCCAAAATGTAGGCGCCTGCATCTGATAATGGCAATGCAATGGTTAATCATACTACTAGACTGGACTCCCACCTTACTGGCCATACTGCAATTCTGCCCGACAACTCACCAGTATAATCCTGAATACCAAGGACTTCTCGAAATGGGATCAGCTCAAATATCGCCGCCGACTGGAAACATTTGGCATGGACGATGGTCCTGTCATTGCATCAGGCCCTCAGGGCGAATTTGATGCCATATGCCAACCTGGTGAACTTACGGATAAGGGCCGTGAGACAACGCTAGCCCTAGGAGAACGCCTTCGCCATCTTTATGTCAATCAGCTCAAGTTCATGCCTCAGCTCATTTCTGATAGCGATATGATCTACCTACGTGCGACGCCTATTCCACGTGCTCTAGAGTCTGTCCAACAGGCCTTCTGGGGCTTTTATCCACCATCAGCACGAACTGCTGACTTCCCCCCACCAACTATTATCCAAAGAACTCCGGCTGATGAGACACTGTTTCCCAACGATGCTAGCTGTAGGCGTTTCGCTCAATTGAGCCGAGCATTTGCGCAACGTGCTGCTGAGCGTTGGAATGACACTGACGACATGCGGTATTTGACCAAGGTCCTTTCGAAGTGGATGCCTGGAGAGCAAAAGGTGGCTGTAGATTCTCACCCCCGGCTTTCAGGTATCATGGACACCCTTAATGCCACCGATGCACACGGTCCAGAGACCAAGCTACCAAAGGAGTTCTATGACCCCAAGGCCCGCTCGATCATCGATAAAATCGCAGTTGAAGAATGGTACCAAGGCTACAACGAGTCGTCCGAGTACCGTATGCTCGGCATTGGCGGCCTAATGGGCGACATCACCTCCCGAATGATCGGCAGCGTCGAGCGCAACGGCAACTCCGGCATTGTAGAAGTCGGAGGCGTAGACGGCAAGTTAGGCAAAGGACGAGGCGGCGAAACCGATATCCGTTTCGCCATGTCCGGATGCCACGACACAACACTAGCCGGTGTTCTCACATCACTCGGTGCCTTTGAAGGCGAGAAATGGCCACCCTTCACCTCCCACATCGCCGTCGAAATGTTCCGCAAGCGAAACCGTACCGATATCCCACAACCACCCGCTCCCACGGAACAGAAACAGAGCCCCACCACCAAAAGCCAAAGCTGGTGGTCCTCCCTCTTCGGCAGCACAAAAACCGCGTCCAACTCGAGCCTGCATCCCGAAGGCATAGCACGCAAACCCATTACCGATCTCACTCCTGCCCAGCGCGATCAACTAAATGACTATTACGTCCGTCTCCGTTACAATGACAAAATCATGCAGATACCTGGTTGCAAAGCTCCCGGAAAACATTTAGAAGGCGACACTACTTTCTGCACGCTGGATGCATTCAAGGCTATTGTGGATAAGTATACGCCGAAGAATTGGAAGGCGGCTTGTACGAGTCGGCTGGATGAACCGGCTTTTCCGGCCAAGGTTGAGCCAGCTGGATATGAGTAGAGGAGGATGGGGATGAATGAACGGTTTGAGGAGAGTGCACGGGAAGGTAGAGATAAACTAGATTGATGAAGCTCGCATTTTCTATTCGTTGAGTGAGAAAGACATTCTTGTCTCAGGTGAAATCGCTAGATTATTCGCACAGAGCTGGTATCGCATGCGCAGGAAACATTTCGTCATACAGTTCCTTTGGGTGTTTATTATATGCCTGTTCCTTAATTGTACACATTTGCTCAAAGTCGCCGCAGATAGCCCTCGGTCTAGTTGGGCGTCACTCATTACACGACTAACCGTGACGACAGAACTCTTATCGCTGACGTACACGTCTAACAACGTGGCCTAGGCCGCCAACAGCGAACTCCAGACTCTAGATAAGTACCGTGATATTACATCTTATAAGCCCTCCTTGCTAGATTTCATCACAGTCTGATCCTCTGAAACCATGGGGAAAGCTCGCAGAGATCTAGAACGCTTGTTAGCATACACGCAACGAGATCATAGCATTCATAAGCATTCCACTAACTCGCAGAAGCCGCATCAACCACCCTATCCGACTGCCGTATGATACCTGTAAAGCGTCCTGTACCACCAGTGAGCAGACCATCAAACTCAACGGCCCGCGCTGCTTCAGCGTCTTCCCAACCAGTCCGCAAATTCCAGCCAGCGTCGAGCGCAGCAAGCTCCGAAGGATCAATCTCCTGCACAATCTCGCCCAAGTGAGTCCACTTGGTACTCAGCATAGCAGGCGAGAGAGCAATTGCTCGCTTATTGAACATGGGATTGCGCAGAATTGCAGCGAGTCCACGAGGATCAATGTCGGATTGATCGAACGACGTATGATTGAGCTTTGCATAGCCGCAAGAGATGAAGTTGATTGTTCGTAGTGAAGTGAGACGATTGCTGTCAGCCTTGGAATAATTGGAGTCAAAGTCGGACAGGTTGGTGCCAGGTGAGATCTGGTCTATAACGTCCACCCAGGAGCCGTCGCGGGGTTGTGCCTTGAGCACCGATTGGGGACTCCCTGGAGCTTGTCCAGCTGCTGGCGCGACAACAGGTGGAGGCTGAGCTTGGCCTGTAGCAATCTGAGTTTGCAACTGATGGATCTGCGTGGCCAGTTGGGCGACGTTGGCAAGGTGCTGAGCAAACGTCTGAGCCTGTTGGGGTTGTTGTGTTTGTGGTTGTGCCAGATCCTGAGCCTGGCCTTGACCCTGAGCTTGCCCTTGAGCTTGGTGGTGATGCTGTTGTCCTTGATCAGTTTGAATTTGTCCAATCTGCTGCTGCAGTTGATTCTGTAAGGCAGCTATGTTGTTGTGTTGGATACCTCCAGCATTGGCCTGTAGATGCTGAAGTTGCATTTGAAGCATCTGGAAATAAGCTTGTAGGAACTGCGGTTGGTTTGGCATGAGTTGTGGACCATGAGTACCAACAGCACCTAATAGTGCGCCCACCCCAAGTGGCGGTATTATGTTCTGGAGTGGTACCGCCTGCTGAGCTACTTGATGTTGGTTGGCGTTGGGTGGACGCAATATAGCCGTAAGTGATATGGAATCAAGTACCAAATTTCGCAGTTTGTGCTGATCATGCAATTTGACGAATTGCAGCAAAGCTAATGGTGTAATCCAACAGTTGTTCAGGACTAGCGACTCAATATGAGGGAATTGGAGCAGACATTCCTTCAGGTGAGCGGCCTCAGTGGAAACTAGCCCTGTGGGATTGAAAGAAGAAGAAGAAGGGTGTGCACGAACTCGCAGATCCATAATAGGAGCAGGAAATAACAGCTTGTTTCTCGCATAGAGTCCCTCGGCATGCTCACCTCCGGTGACAAAACCGACTTTCAAATGACGAATATTCGACCGACAAGCGATGTGATCACGAAGCAGTTCAAAAAGTATACTAATGCTTTGCGTGGGGTTGATCTTTGGCGTGTCAACGAAGCCAGCCTCGTCTTTCTGCACTGTTCGCCAGCCTGGTATCAGCATTATAGTGACGTTGTGGAGGTTGGGCAGTGCGTTCCAGAAGTCCGAGCGGTTTAGCATCGGCAGATAACGATCAGAGAGTCCTGAAATGTTGAGGGAATGTACTGGCAGAAATGTGGTCGGGTTATCGATGATAGAAAGCAAGTACGAAGACATGAAAGCTCGCTGGGCCCATTCAGTTTCTAGCAACCATTCCTTTTGTGCTTTGGTAAGACTGACGGGTATGACAGGGTTTACAAGCTGCGCACCTTCCGACGGCAGTTTGGTCGATGAGAATAGAATACCTGTGGCTGAAGGTGACGGTGTTAACACAAACTGGTCCAGAACATATGGATCATCGAAGCTGGAAGGAACAGGGATGTTGGCAGCATCATAAGGGATTGCTGCGTGTAAAAGCTGAGGATCCAGGTAGGGCATTTGCGGTTGCACGTCTGCTAGCTTATTGGCTCCCTCCAGCTCGGAAATAGACGGTTGTCCGTCAATTCTGTACAACGTGGCCAGCTTGACTTCGCTACCAGCGTTCCGATGACATGTTTCAATATGGTTCCAAAGCTCCTGCTGAGCTTGCGCTCTGCGGTCTGGAATCGCTTTGGTTGTGCCAAAGACCCGGGGAGGTCTATGCAACACACGTGCCCGTATTGATCTGTCAGGTCCATTCAGCCACCCAAGACCACTATCAATGGACAGTGCCAACTCTTTGACTTTGGTAAGCTCGGAGAACGCTGTCTTCATCCGCGGTGTCTCGTCAGCGGCAGTTTCAAGACCAGCGACAGCATCAAAGCGGCGATACTCTTCGTACGGCCAATCGTAGTTGCCCCAAAAGCTTGTCTTTTTCTCTGTAAGCGATTTGATGGGCGGCATGGAGAGTGAGTCTTCATTGACTTCGAAACTCATGCCAAACTTCCTAATGTGTCCACCGAAGCCGCGGAAGACGTCAAGGCCATGACCGTTGTACACTTCGTCTCCGTTTGCGTTCTTCCACGAGTAGCTGGGCTGCTCGCTTCTTACCCTCTTCTTGCCCTTGCAATCCGGCTTTGGCTCTTGTCCCAGCATGCCGTAAATCTCGGTATTGAAAGGAACGACGACTGTCTGGAAGATGACCTGCGAGACATGTTGGTTCAGCTCGCGGCTTACAAGGCGTAGTGCTTTTATGTCATCACGATTAAGGTGGTCCGCAATAAGCTCTACTAATTCAACAGGCAGCTTCCACTCGGGGCGACCAACTGGGATATGGGGAAGAACGTCCTGTTTAGCCTTTGCCGCCTTTTTGCCATTCTTCTTGGATGGCCATTGTTTTAGATCTGGGTCAGGTGCAGGTTGTTTGCCCTCGTCCAGTAAGAAGTATTTGGCAGGTAGTTTTGTCGAACTGCGGCATTCGGGCCAAATGTCGTTCGCTAGAGGATTTGGGCTGACACTGTTGTATAGCATAGCGGCAGTAGCACCCTTGTATTGCAAAGAGCGTGTGATATCCCTTTCGTCTGTACCCTCATAGTTGTCTCGCGAGCGCTTCGGAGGGATGGGCATGGCGCGGCGTAATGCTTGGTAGGCGGGATGGCTCGGGTCGTCTAGAAGTCTCCTGTGAGGAGTTGATGCATGAAATTGCCGGCCGAGTGGTGTGTTTGGTACTTCGTCCCAGTCGTAGTCTGCAAGGCGAATGCGCGCCGGGTGATCGCCGTACTCACTTGCAGGATGGTGAAAGTCTTCTTCAAACGTGTCTAAATCGCCCTCGCCCAACCAGTCGTGTTGCAAAGTAGCCGCGGGGCCTCGCTCGTATATGTCGCCTGAGTCTGAGCCTTCGCCCTCTTGTGTTTGGGGTGTAGTAGTATGTGATGTAGGAACCAAAAGCGAATGTCTGCCGGTTCTTGACTGTCCACGCCGAAGGTAGTTTTCTCTGTGTGCGCGTCCGCGTGAGTATAAGCCTCGGGAGGATGTCGAGGATGTCGAAGGTGTCACCTCCGGGGATGCGTAGTATGGATGAATGGCAGACTGGTAAGCGTTTGATGAGGTGCTCGCGGCTGCTGGATGTGGAGAGGGCGTGGGGCTAGCAAAGATAGTCGAAGGCTGTTACAGGTGAGTATCTAGGCGGGAGCGAAGCGGTGAACGACAGTGGTGAATGCACGTGAAGTTTGACGTACCTGACTTGACGCGTTTACTGAGGACTGAGGACTTGCACCTTTGCTGGACGCAGTTTCGTTGATGGAGCGCAACTGTATTCTCAACCCTTCTGTTTGTTCGGAATTGTTGCGCGTTCTGCCATTATTCGCCATAATATTGCAATCTAATGAGGGCGAGTCCTGGTCGGTAGAAGATGTCTCAGCAGTTCAGGTGGGCGCCGGAGGGTAGGCGAAACAGCGGTAACACAACGCTACGCCCATTAGGCTGGGACGTGAGGCTGTGGTTTGTTGACGTGATTATCTGGGTATCTGTTAGTGAGAGAAGGCGAAGAGGTCAGCAAGCATGTACGTGGTGGACGGTGAGGCTCCGCATGCGGGTGGTCGTTGCATGCTTCAATCACAAGCCCAAGTCTTAGAAGTTGTTCAAGCGGGAGCCGCAAAGCAAACATGCCCCGCGTCATCCCGCCGTGCGAACCATTCCCCAGATCTCCACATTTGCGCCTTGCGCCGCATGTGATTGCGACCCCTAGCAGCCATACCATCTAAGCACTTTCACCTCCAGCATCTCTATCGTTTACGCTTTTCTCAGCACCGCGCACAAGTTGTTATAGCGATCAAGGCTATGTATCGGGCTTGCTGTGTGCCTCCATGGGCAAAGAACAATGTGCACACCGCGACCCCTACTTTCCGAATATCTAATTGCTCCATTACAGAGAATGCGTGTCTAGAAGGCTATGTATAAAACAACAGCCCGTTGTGTGATCAGGCGTGCTGTTGCCAGCCTCACAGACCATCTCTTGATATGCGGATCGCGGAAATCCGCTCCGCAAGGCTCCAACATCACACCTATGTAAACAATCGCTACCAGTAGCATACAACACCCACAACCTCCACAACCTGTGCCCCTGCAAGTCTCAAGTCTTCCACACATATACACGATTCATTAAAACTATGACATTTCCTACTCTCCACTCGCCGATCCTAACCCTCCCGCGCGAGTTGCGCGACGAAATCCTTGGCTACCTGACCCTACCACAATACGTTTATACATCAAGCTCGACCAAAGACACCCAAAACCTTTACAAGACGCGCCAAAGTAAGATAGATACGTATATTGACACACGCATCTACTTGCCTTCCCGTCCACCTGCCAACGTCTTGGCAACGTGTCGACAGCTACGAGAGGAGTGTCTGGAACGGCATCTGCATTGTTTGAACCAAGCGACATTTGCAATATCGCTAAACCCAGAGAAGCGGCCCTTGAGCAATGTTGTGGCCGAACGATTGGGAACCGAATTTGCCGAAGAATCAGAGCGTGCCTGCGACGACGGCACTTTGCGAATTACTTTGGAGATTCAACGACAGATCCGCGGAGCCCACGGTTACTACATTCCGACACGCGAAGACATGTCGCCTCGTTTCCTTGCACTGCTGCCCATAATAGAGAAGACCAAAAAGCTCAGACTGGCCATCTGGCCTGGATACGACTGGTGGAACGGTGGCCCGCAGGTCTTTGTCGACAAGCGCGGGAATACTCGAATCAATCCTGGTGAGGCAGGGAAGCCTAACGCTGCCTCTGTTGCCACCAGTCGGGTGCTTCAATACTTCCCTAATGTCGAAGAACTCAATGTAGATGTGCTCATGCAGGCGTCTGACGGTGGCAGATGGGATCTACCAGATAAGAAATGGGAGAATGTTCAACCTTGGCTAGACGCACCAGTCACTCCTAACATGAGAGAGGCACTGAAGAAGGTTACTAGGAAGCTCACTGGCTTCTGGAAAACATCAGAACCGGAGCCCTTTTACATACAACACGAGACTCGTCAATCGAGCAACACCTGGAAGGTCGACCAGAAGGGCGATATGGGCACTGTGGGTCGTTCAGGTCACGTTCGTATGCTCGTTGCTAATAATTGCAGCCTACAATGAAGTCATTCTGCGATACCGGCAATGAAGGCGACCTGGAATTCCTTCGTTCGCTAGTAGTAGAGGAGTCTTTCGTCCGTAATAACTAGAAACTACCCGGCTGACGTCACGTCGAGACTCCACGCAGGAGCGCCGGAAAATTATTGTGGCTTCATTTCCTTAGTCCCACCGACGTTTATATTGGCTTCATCAAGCATCGGCGAAATGTTTCAGGCGCACGGAATGACTTGTGGAGAACCCTGACTTGCCGGGCAAGGATCCATCGCCTCGGAACACAACCGTCGCCACGCAGAATCGATGCACATCACGAACAGCGCCATATGCGAAGATCTCGCACCTGATCAGTTTCTGGGGTTCTTCCGTCGGTTATATCATCGCTAGAATGCTGTCAAATCCACCAATGTTCCGAATAGCCCTCCCACCTTATTTGGGTGATCGACAAGTCTGCGGCCTGACCATGGGACACCCTGGAGAGGAGTAACGGCTCGTTTCGGAATAGTCGCTTGACATGTACAGTCCTTCGAAACAACGGAGGTAGACTACCATTACAGATACTCCGTGAGCACGTTCTCCTCTTTTTATCTCCTTGGGTCGTATGTATGTTCGATGTTGTACTTAAACCTAATCAAAGCCTACCAAAATACCCAACCCCAAGTTCGACATTCAAATCAACTACTACACTCCTTACTTCTTACTTCTACCACCATCCTTCAACATGAAGTTCAGCGCACTCCTCATCGCCAGCACGGCATCTCTCGCCCTCGCCGTACCCACCGCTACCATCCAGAAGCGTGCGGACTACTGCGGCCAATGGGACAGCACCGTAACCGGTGACTACACCGTCTACAACAACCTCTGGGGACAAGCCGATGCCGACTCCGGCTCCCAGTGCACCGGCGTTGACGGCCTCAGCGGCAGGTCCCTCAAGTGGCACACCTCGTGGTCCTGGACTGGCGGGTACGTCCTCTATCCTTCTGCTACCAAACCCAATACTAACAAACTTCCCTTCCAGTCCCGGACACGTCAAGTCCTACGCCAACGTTGTAACAAAGATCACCCAGAAAGCCCTCTCCTCCATCAAATCCCTTCCCTCAGTCTGGAAGTGGACGTACGCGGGCAGCGATCTCGTCGCAAACGTCTCCTACGACCTCTTCACCTCTTCCAAGGTCGACGGCGACCCAGAGTACGAAATCATGATCTGGGTTGGTGCTCTCGGTGGCGCTGGTCCGATTTCCGCTACGGGAAGCCCCATTGCTACCGTCAACCTCGCTGGCAACAGCTGGAAGTTGTACAACGGCCAGAACGGCCAAATGAACGTCTTCAGCTTTGTCGCTGAGAAGCAGGTCAACAGCTTCAATGGTGATCTGATGACGTTTGTTAACGAGGTGACGAGCAAGCATGGTCTGCCTAAGACCCAGATCTTGACCAGTGTGGGAGCTGGAACTGAGCCTTTCTCGGGTAACAAGGCGAAGCTTACTGTTACCGAGTACAGCTTGAGCCAGAGCTAGATGTGGAGTCATTTTGAGTGCGAGCGAAGATTGAGTAGTTGCTGAGGGGCTACTTCACTGTATATACATTTCGTCTTTTACTCTGCACATACTTCCAAGATTACAATAAGTTCTTCAATACAGACTTTAATCCTACTCCTCCGTGCAATTGCGATCGTGATACCTGCCCAGCTACTGTTTCTCGATCCTGACGTCGAAGTCGCGGGTCGCTTCGAAGGACCGAGGTTCCTGCTCCACGTTACACAACGCAGCCACAATCAGTGTTGCCTAATCCTAGGCGCATTTCGACTGCATCATTGGGGGCCTAAGGGACAAGCTTCAACAAGCTTTAATCAAGCTCTTCGGCCAAGCAGCAGGTGGAAATGAAGGGTTCGTCTCAGTGCTGATCATAAGCTTTTTGTTGGAATTGAAACAAAAACGACCCACATATCAAAGCGATAAAGAGATGGCACCCAAAATCGCGATTATCGGTGCAGGTCCTGGAGGCTGCATGCTCGCACGTCTGCTACTCACTCAATGCGACTGCAGCACCACAATTTTCGAAGCCGAAACCTCAATCAACTACCGTTCGCAAGGCGGCACTTTGGACTTGCGCGCCAGTACAGGCCTCGCTGCAATTAGGTTGGCAGGCTTATGGGACGAGTTCAAAAAGTACGCTCGCTACGATGGCGAGAGCTTACTGGTCACCGACAAGCATCTTACAACATGGTTGAGAAGAGGCGGCCGGAAGACGGCAGACGCGAAAGGAGGTTCGGGAGATGCGCCAGAGATTGATCGTGCGGATATGAGGAAGATGCTAATGGATAGCTTACCTCATGATATTGTTCGCTGGGGCTACAAGCTCTCGCGTGTGGAAGAGTGCAGTACAGGGCTAAGGTTGGTTTTTGCGAATGGCGAGGTTTTGGATGGCTTCGACCTCATCGTAGGTTGCGATGGCGCATTCAGCAAGACACGCAATCTCTTGACGTCGGAGAAGCCATATTACTCTGGGCTAGGTGGCTGGACGATGTATATACCCGATGTCGAGACAGCAGCGCCAGACATCTACAAGCTCGTCAACAGAGGCAGCGTCTTCGTCTACTCGGACGGCAAAACTCTCGCCATACAACAGCTCTCTGATGACTCAATCTACGTTTCTTACTACGGTCAGCATCCAGAAAATTTCACCCAAACATGCGGGTTCGACGCTCAAAGCGACATTGAAGCAGCGAAAGCAGTGCTGAGGAAAGCATTTCATGACTGGCGACCTGAACTCCTCGACGCCATTGAGAAAGCGACAACAGGACTTGTGTGGAGGAACCTATATCAACTCCCCGTAGGCTTCACCTGGCCACACAGATCAGGCGTCACGCTCTTGGGGGACGCAGCGCATGTTATGACGCCGTTTGCGGGCATCGGTGTTAACACGGCTTTTAATGACGCTATGGTTCTCACCAAGCACATCGTGGCGTACAGCTCGTCTACTTCTTCAGATCGAGGTGTCAACCAGGTGGATTCTCTTGGCCAGTATATCGAGAGATATGAGATAGAAATGTTCAGGCATGCACATGCTGCGCAGCGACGCACCGAGGGAGCGAAGAATGCTATGCTGTTCACGCCTGGTGCTCCGCGGACAAGTATTGAGACGTGGGTACTGTGGCAAGCAGGGGATCAGGTGCCGGCATGGTGTCGACCATTACTTGCGGTAGTAGTATACGTAGGATTTTGGGTATACAAGCTCTTCGTGTAGAGGTTGTCTGCGCGAAGTGTGAGAGTTTTGAAATTGTTCGCCGTGTTGCTTCGGAACTGGTCGACAGCTTGTTCCGAAAGAAAACAATGCAGAGTCATGTATTCCGACCTTTGACACCGCTTCCGCTTCCAACCATCACTTATCCTAGATATACCTCGGTAGACACTATCTTTCACCGTTCTCGATCTACAAGTGCACCTTCTACATCGATCCAAGCCAACCCGCGAAGTATTGGCAAGCTTTTCTTACTCTAGAGCAAGGTTATCCGCTCCGGCTCAGATTGACCAATAGGCATAGAGCACCTAGACATGTGCGCCGGCGCCGTACTGCATCTCTACTGTAGCCCAGTCGCTACAGCAAATCAGAAAAGCTGTAATCCTGCTGATGACGAATGACTACCAGGTTGCGACCTCAACTTTGCTACATTGCGATGCTCGCCCCGCTACCATGAATCTCACCATCCCGTGTCTATGCTACAAGCATGGTAGCATGCTTGCTCCACGAGCTGTGATTGGGATATCGCATGCCATGAACTTCTGTTCCTGCAGGCATGACGCAGCAGAGTCGTGAGAATGCATGAGCACAGTTTACTTCGAGCCGGAGAGCTTAAAAATGGCTCAAACTTCTTGGGGGTACAAAAGGCCCGGAGAGCCGGTACATGAAGAATGGCAAGTTTGATCGGCGCCCCTACTTAGCAGCCGTTTGTCAATATGAAGCTTCAATACCTTTCGTTACTGCCGTTGGCATCAATCGCTAGCGCTAGCTGGTCGAAGAACCTCAACTACCGTTCGCCTTCAGAACACCACCCAGCTCTCGGTGTCTCAATTCACAAGGTGGTCAAGAGGAACGACCCAGCGAGCAGCTATGCCGCCTCTAGCTTGAACTTCACCCATGGTGTCGCTTCAGGCGACCCGTACCCCAACAGCGTCATTCTTTGGACCCGTGTCGCACCACAAACCGATAACTCGCAGTCCAACCTTACGGTCACTGGCTACGCACCGCTATTCGACCATGACAACGAGAAGTACGTCCGAGTCTCCAAAGCGCCGGTGTGCGTCGAATACAAGGTCTACGACAACAAGAACTGTTCTACAGTTGTCGATTCTGGAAAAGTGTTCACCAGCTCCGATGTAGACTTTACCGTCAAGGTCGAAGCCAAGAACTTGAAGGCGTACAGCACGTACTACTACCAGTTCAATGTCTGCGGTTCGGAGAACAAGAGTACGCTTGGACGCACAAAGACGACACCGAATGCCGACGACGATATTACGGATGTTAGTCTTGCTGTATACAGTTGTGCAAACTATCCCTTTGGTTTCTTTAATGCTTATGGAAATACTGTTCGAAAGGTACGCTGGGAGGCTGATCATGCTCCTTGATTTAAGCTAATCGTGTGGCTAGGACTCTGTTGACTATGTTGTTCATCTTGGTGATTACATCTATGAGTACAAAAATGGAGACTACGGGTGGGGTAACTCGATCGACCGCATTCCTCAGCCAGACCACGAAATTTTCACTCTTTACGACTACCGAAGGAGGCTTGCCACCTACCGAACTGACCTCGATCTGCTTGCCAGCCACGAGCAGTTCCCATGGATTCCTGTTTGGGATGATCATGAGGTTGCTGATAACACCTGGCGAGACGGCATGTCCGAACTCAACAACACTGAAGACTCCTTCCTCCGCGATGGCGGTGTATCAGTTGACCAGCGCAAGATGAATGCAGTCCGAGCCTACTTCGAATGGATGCCGATCCGTCAAGTCGACATGGACGACAACCTCCGCATCTGGCGTTCCTTCTCCATCGGAAAGCTCGTCGATCTAATGATGCTGGACACCCGCCAATATGACCGTTCCATCACTGATCTCTACTGGAACACAGACTACGTTCACGACATCTCCAACGACGCAGGTCGCTCCTTGATGGGCTCGCGACAAGAAAACTGGTTCTACCGCAGCCTCTCAGAGTCTGCCGAGCGCGGCGCAACATGGCGCATCGTGGGTTCTCAAATCGTCTTCTCGCGCGTCAATCAATCCGCCGCATATGGAGCAGATAACCCATTGAACTACGATGCATGGGATGGGTATCAATCAAACAAGAACCGTACACTTAATCACTTGTACAGCAACAACATCAACAACAACATCTTCCTTGCAGGCGACAGCCACGCATCCTGGGTCAGCGACCTCGTCTGGCTCGACGAAAAGAACTACAGCTCTGCCACAGGTGCGGGAAGCATTGGTGTCGAATTTGCTGGCTCAGCGGTCACATCTCCTTGTCCCTACGGTGCCAACATCAGCCTCGCTACCGCTAACAACTACTCCTCCATCATCCAGTCCGCCAACACTGAACTTCAGTGGCAGGACCTTTACTACCGTGGTTACTTTGAGTTACATTTCACGCACGAGGAGGTTACGGCGAACTTCTTCGGTATGCCGACTGTAGTGAGTCGCAATGGCTGGGAGATTCCTATTGCCAACTTCACGGTTAAGAGTGGGGAGAACCGACTGCAAAGACCTGTTGCAGGAGGAATTGTGGAGAGTGGAAGTCTGAAGGGAGGCAAGACGGTGCAGACTAATCTGACGATTGATACTAACAATGGGACGTGGTTTGTTAGTCACGCGGATTTGGAGGTCTTGTAGAAGGGAGACGTGAATTGAAAAAAAAAAGTTATCTGGGTAGCAGAATCGCACAATGTTTTGGTGACTTCATGGTCAAGTCCACTGAGAGTGCATGCCGCTAATGCAAGCCACCTTGTGTGTAGGTAATCATACGTTTCAGCCTTCCTCACCGCAGTACGTCAAGTATTGAATCGTTGATGCCATCCCTTGAAGTCCTTCAAGATGCTGAACCTTCGATCTAGATGAGCGATCGTGGCTTTTAGTGTGGCACATGCCTTCATTAGACTCGATGCTGGCTTCTGTATAACATGCCTCATCACCGCCTAAAGCGCGTACACCAGTCATGTCTACTCAACAATAACGTCCGTCAAGGAAACACCGAGTTCTTTCTGAATACTGTAGAAATCGTCTGCAGAACCCGCGGTGGTATTGGTTGTGGGATGTGCTGGGTAATTTTGGAGTGACTGTCTGCAAGCACCCTTGAGAAGAAGGCAAGAAGGCAAAGGAAAAAGAATAGATGCAGACCAGAACCATTACACAGCAAACCACCCGACATCATAGGAGCCGGAATTGAGATCTCTGTTTCAGCTGAGGTTGAAATCCCTCCTGTCTTACACTGGTCTTAATAGTCTGTCAGTAATAACATCATTTTCTCTACCCCTCAGAGTCATACTTTACCTTGTGCTCAGTACTCGCTGTATTGGCGGGTATTAGTTCAGGTACGTGTTCTAGAGTGCCATCTCACCTTCCTCCCAATCTCTGTGAGTTTGGAACTGAGCACACGCTTTGCGTGCCGGACTTAGTACTTACACTATTCGAAGAAGAAGAGTACATGTCTTCAACTGTGGCTGCTATCTGGCTTTCTTTCTTGCTTGCTGGGTATACAAGTCGTACTTAGTTTGGCAAGCCATTACAATTGTCCCGCGCGACATCCGAAAGATGCGCATGACTGAGAAATTGCTTGATCGGATGGCTCGGCTTATTCGCCCAGCATTCTCAAGCCTGAGTTTCCGCAGTTCATGTCATGCGCATATGAAAAGATACTCTCAAATGAGAAATATCGCAAACACAAAAGAACCCCAAGCCTGAGGTGCGCTCGGTGTACCACACAACAGGCACATGCACATAATTTGTTCGCCGAAGTGTTTTGACTTTTGAGGGCGCAAATGCTTAGAACTAACAAACAGTGTAGCCTGGGCAGTCAAACCGTCTTGTTGCTAACGTCCCGGTGCCCGGCTTGACGATTCGGTAGCGTGCGGGAAAACGAGTGAGAAAGGCGGAGAAGAAGCCGCCACCAGGAGATCTTGGCAGGCGCCGCCCAATTGATGATGTCATTTCATCTTGGAACCAACGTGCCTTCTTCATCTCAACATTACGAAGAAAGTCTAACAGGTCACAAAGTGCATTCAATAGTGTCGCAAACTTCGATTGTAAGCAGAGTTTGGTGCTTGACCCTGAGCAGATCAGGAGGTGAGCGGCATTCCTCCAGGGTTCCCACGTCACTGCAGCCAAGAGAAACCCAAGAAAGTTCACTAATTCTCTCCGCTGCGGGCAGCAATATCAACATCAATCGAGACCCCGGATCTATTTCAACGTTCTGAGGAAACGATAGCGGCTTACAAGTTACCTTGGGCCCGCATCGAGGGCGACATGAGATAGCGCCTTGGGCACGTCGTCCCTTTGTGTGACGCACAGCCACGCGGGTATGTGCATCATGGCCCAAAAAGGAAGTCTTGGTGAAGGGTTAAGCCTGATCGAGACCTGGGATAAGACTACGGATCTTGCTCTACCCGCACCAAGATAGCTAGGCGATATCTTGGGGGCGATCATAGGCTTGATCGATGCAAGCTCGCCTTACAAAAGCAAGGGATATTCCGTTACCAAGACAGTGGACGGCGGATTTTACGGCACGATTGAGCGTTGTAGTCATTGGACGCGCATACTAGGTTTTCATGGACCTTCACTCTCGTTGGTCGGATTAGCATAGCTGGTAGCTTCCACATCGGGCCTCGCTGCTTCTGTCTAGGCATATTGTCAGCAAATAGAGAATACCAAGGCCGCTACCTATGCTGTCAGTCACGCTTTCCGTATTCTCTGAGAGCTCGGCCATTGCGGTAATTATCTCAAATACATGCTTTAGACTTGGCAAAACCTACAGTGAGGACCTCCCCAAGGCACCAACATGCATCTCCAAGAGTTTACCACCGAGTGAGGGGTACTATGTGTCGCTCACCAATGTCATCGGGTCATGTCAAAGGGGAAATGAAGCTGAGCTTTGGGTGAGGAGTGGAGAGCCGCAAGTGTATAAAGGACCGCACACAATGGCTTCGAGTATTTTCTATCAGCAACTCGCATCTTCCTCACTTCATCCAAACCTACCCTACAACTTCTCGTACTCAAACACCAAACACCATCCACAATGCATTTCACCACTCCCGCCCTTCTCGCTCTCATCTCAACCCCCCTTGCCTTTGCCGCCCCCTCAGGCGGTAAGCGCGACTACAAGACCGACTGCAAGAAAGACTGGGACGCGAAATGGAACTCGCACGACAACTCCTGGAAGAAGAATGAGAAGCTCTTCTACTTCGACGCCGAGTATGTCGTCAAGGCCACCCCAGACCAAGTCATCGCCTCCACCGGCGCCCCTGCACCCGGTCAGCCCGGCGCCAAGGGCCTCTTCAAATACGGCATCAACATTGCTGAGAACACCATCTGCTACAACATCACTCTCAGCGGCGTGACCGGAGAGTACGCGTCCCCTGCGCTTACTGCGACACATATCCACGAAGCTGCTAAGGGCAAGGCTGGACCACCAAGACTTGTAAGTTACTTCCTTTTCCTCCTCACACACCTCAACAATTGATACCATTACTAACACATTCTCGTTCAGGCCTTCCCCAACCCCGCTGGCCCAGATGCGCGCCGTACTTCCGTTGGCTGCCTGAAGGGACCCTTCAAGGTTGGTGTCGTGAACGCGGCCACTGGAAAGGATCAGGCCGACGGCTTCCACGTGAAGCAGATTGTAGCGAACCCCAAGGGTTTCTTCACCGATTCCCACACTGCGCAGTTTTCGTCTGGTGCTGTCAGGGGTCAGCTTGGGTACTAGTGCTTATTGCGAAGCATTGGTAGTGAGAGGGAGTAATTGTTGTGACGTGTAAGACTTAATACGTTGATAGTGTGTAATTTATAAGGAATGAACATTTCTCTTGCGCAAAATTCACATAACGTAGCTCTCTCGATGGTGATTGCACCGTCGGTATTCTGCCTCCTCACATTCTAGCACTGGTGATCACTCATCCTACGTCACCAAGGAAACCGAATTGGAGCCACAATTACGACCTTACGAGCTGGCTGGGAGAGTTGATGAGGACCAATTTTTTAGACTTGGAGCAAGTTGAGATCGTGTGTTCCCCTGAATTTGGAGAAGAGGTGGAATTTGTACAGAGTTTCGAGCAGTTCAGGGTAATTCAGAAACTCAAGGCTGTTGGGGCGACAGTCGTGGTAAGGACGGGGTAGCCTCATACTGCATGACAGCGGTAAATCGCCACTTGGAGTTGGATGTGATCATCGTTAAGATGGGTACTGAAAGATGGTCTGAATTTGTTCAAAAAAATCTGGACAAGGGCTTTCCATCATGTTAAACAGCATGTACTTCCCAAGGGGGATTGTGCTAGGCATTAGACAAACCTAAGAAAGCGAGCTCGTTCGTACAGAATCTCGTGCTTGTGTTAGTATGTACGCAATCCTGATTCTTGTCGACAATTTTCGACCTGGGATGGACATTAATCATAGGTGCGGAGATGGTGGATATGCGATACCGTGCCGTCCGTAGATGAGGACGTCGATGTGGCGGTGTCGCGATGTTGTTAGCAGCTGCGGCGCAAGGCGATCGATCCGTTTCAGGTTGCCTCGTCAAGTCGTATCCGCAAGGCACCAGTATTGATTATCTCACCCTCAGCTGCGTATTCCTGCCTCGCGCATTCTTCCATCTCTTTCCACTTGCACCAACACACATCAAATCATATCGACTCATTGCGCGATCCTGTATCACGCGCGTGCGCACGATTCCACTGTACGAGCGGGCAAACGACGCGGCACCCTTCGGACTCATCCTCTGACCGATCGAGACATCACGCAATTGGACGTCGTCGTATGCGAAGGCAGGACTATTATTTCAGCATCGTGCAGCACCCGTAGACCAACGCGGTTTCGTTGTGCGAGGGAAGCCGGACAGCGCCCCTAGCCTGCTGTTCTTCCTGGGACGGTTTCCGCTAGCGCGTATTGCATACCCGATTGAACGGTACCCCACACGTTACTAGGAGCATCATCATGGCATTCACGTTGATAAAGGCGAACGAGCTGTCGCAATGGCGTACAGGGCTTACAGATCACACGGTCTCTGGCTGGATGACCCTACTCGCACTATTACTCCCCCTGCTGTTCTTTGTCGTCGTAAGGAAGTACCGCAAGATGCAATACCAAAACAAGCAGCCGTTTCCATTCTTGGAACTACCACAAGAGCTCAGGGACATGGTGTATGAATATTTCCTTGATGATCCTGCGTACCCGCCACCAGCACACAACGAATTCCAGCGCTCGAAGCTGGACTGGATGAGACCAGCACGCTGGGCATCTACATCGACGTCTTTGGGTACACGACACGAGAGTAAACGGATATTCCTAGCAAACAAGCAAGTTTACGGAGAATACATGGACATGATCTGCAGACGCAAGACCTTCCACCTCAGTGTCACCCCGCAGACGTATAGGCCTACCACCACCTCCTCTCCATCTCCATTTTCCTCCACAAATTACACCCCAGTATGGGACGTCTCCCCGACCACGCTATCAAAAGTACAAACCTGCTCCCTCAAACTCATCACAACATCCTCCATGCTCGGCGTCACAGACCCCCGCTCCATGACCTCCTGTAAGTAATGTCCCTGTTCGAACTGAATGTGAGACATGTACTAACTTTATACGCTAACTTTTAGCATCCTGGACACTTGGCCGCCGCATGCGCGAACAACTCAAACACATGTCCTCTGTCAAAACCTTCACTCTCGATGCCAAGGCCCTCGGTGATCCTCTCTGGAATCCTCTCTGGATCTGGTATCACGCTTCCCAGTCGCTCAAGCTACTCGGCACGGAGTTCTCAGACACCGTACCGCGGGGTCCACAGCTCACGCAGATTACTTTTAGCCTGGATACGTGGAGTCCAGGGGAGAATTACTTGAAGAGGGATGAGAAGGAAGGTGGGCAGTGGATGTGGTATTGTATGAAGAACCATCTTGTGGTGGCTGATATGGGAGCGGAGATGACTGTTAGGGAGTTTTGTGGGAAATTGTACCAAGAGTGTAGCATCTGTAGAGTAGATGACGAGGAGGATGGGACAGTGATTTGAAGACGATGTATTGACGAGAAGCTGATTTGGGGGTTGAAACATATTGCGGAGCTGTTCCCCTAGAGGTTTGGTGGGGAATAGGACTCCTCCTTGATTGTACTATTATCTCTAGCTTCTGTTTGTAGCATCCTTTGCCTGCGTATGGTATGCGCTCGTTCCTATTCCTAATACTATCCTCATACTATCCTCACACCAACTTTCCGAGAGCATCTCCCATCCTTATTTCTTCTCCTCAAGCATCTCCTTTGCGGGTATTGTCGCAAAACGGCTCATGACCTCGATGTTCTTCTCCTTGCTCATCTTCTCGTCCGTCTTACTTATCTCAGCCAGAATCTTGAAGTAATCAATGTAGAACGCAGGCGTAAACGTGTTGAAGAACTTGGCTTCTTCGTTTGTAGGATTCGAGAATGTATGGGGTGCGCGAATAGGTACAGTAACGTAGTCTCCGACGTGGGCATCGTGTTGGGCCCCATCGGGGGCGTGGAACTGCATTGAGCGTTAATAGTCTAATCTGGTAGAGAAGGATAGCATGGGTGAGAAGGAAGAGACGTACCCGCACCATTCCCTGTGTGACAAGGAAAGTCTCGTCGTGCATTTCGTGCCAGTGTGCTGGTGGCCCCGCCGTGTTGGGGGGTAGCGTGAACTCTGCGGAACCTATGCGGTTGTCTGTTCGTGATCCGTCTTCCATGATTCTGCAGGTAATGTGGCCTAGTTTGAGTATCTCCCCCGACTTAGCAGAAACGAAGTTTATGGGGCGGCGTGGCATCTTCATGCTTGCCATTGCTTGTCGGGCTTCGTCGTCCATGGCGGGCTGGGGTTTTGTAGCGTAAAGTGGTAAGTTTGGGGTTGCTTGTTTTCTTTGCTAGTTTATTTGAAAAGTGTAATTTGAAGTGGCTAACCTGAGAGACTCTACTGCAGATATATAAATTAATGTGGTGGATATGAAGGCGTAAGTATAAGCGCTGGACTTCACTAATGCGGAGAGCCGGCGGAAGCACAAGGGCTTTCAAGTTGCTCGGAAGTCCGCGACATTGGATGAGTGCGGGGAAGCAGGCTAAGACTACAACAAGACAGCAAATATGCATAAGGTGGATTTTAATACGTAAGTGTATAAGACGACGTTGTATCCTCTGAATCTTGATGGAATGTTGCTGCCGTCGGAAGTGAATGCCCCGCGCCTAGCTCAGGGTTGACGCGGGGACATTCCCGTCTCAACGGGCCCGGGCCTTCTCCACGTTCGGCAAGCGTCCGTCCTGCACGCCCTTCAACTCAACTGCAGCGTACCTGCGGTGGCTACTTACCACATGTGAACAGCGGCGCTAGTCGTTACGCGTCTCATCGTTGCCTGGTATCCAGCGTATTCATCAAGACTAACACTTCCGCACTTACCACCAAACACGAGCCAGCTCATCACAACCATCAGCGTCTTTGATCCTTTACAACTACCTTTAACATGGCGAAAAAAATGTTCACCGTCCTTGAAAACAATCCAGAGGTCATGAATTACCTGGCTCAAAACCTTGGTCTCAATACGAATGCGCTCTCTTTCTACGATGTCTACTCACTAACTGACCCCGACATGTTGGCCTTCATTCCGCGACCTGCCATAGCACTACTCGTCATCATACCTCTGACGCCTACGTGGGATGAGGCGCGAACGGTAGAAGACAAAGACAAGTCTGAGTATGAGGGCAAGGGTGACGCAGAACCCGTCATATGGTTCAAGCAGACCATTGGAAACGCGTGTGGTAGCATAGGTTTGGTGCACTGTCTACTCAACAGCGAAGCTGCACAGCACATCCAACCATCCTCAACGCTCGACAAGATTCGCAACGATGCGCTACCAAAACCCATCTGGGAGCGAGCCAAGGTGCTTGAAGACTCCGACGCGTTTGAGAAGGCTCACGCAGACGCAGCGAAGCTTGGAGATACAGAAGCACCTGTAGCAATAGAGGAATATCATCTTGGCCAGCACTTCGTGGCGTTTGTCAAAGCAAAAGACGGCCACTTGTGGGAACTTGAAGGTGGTCGCATGGGTCCGCTTGATCGAGGTGTGTTGAAAGAGGACGAGGATGTGCTTAGTCCTGCCGCGTTGGAAAAGGGTATTGGGCGTTTGATGAGAATTGAGTCTGAGAGAGGTGGCGACCTAAGGTTCTCTGCAATCGCGTTGGCTCCGACAATGAACTAAAGAGTGTCACACCTGCCGACGCGCGGTTGATGCTATGCATATAGGTTTCTGTTCGCATCACATCAGGACTCTTCGCAGACAGATCTGTCGGGCTGACTTATTCATAGATCTTAGGCAAAGATGTATCTTATTTCCTTGTCTTCTCGACATTCAGTCTATCCAAGAATCTACTAGCACTTAATATTCATACCCCGCTTCGCTCATAAACGGGCTCTTTCCACGTATGCTCTTCCCAAATCTCAACAGTATCAAAGGAATGCAACTCAGCGCTAAGGCAATAAAGCCCAACAGACTACTCGCCCAATTAAAGCCCAGCGTACGGTACATACTCTGTGTAGCAAGTGGTAAAAAAGCTGACATGAAGTTCTCAAGAAACGCAATGCCTGCAATAGCACTAGCAGCATACTTTGCGTACGCATCAACCACATACGTCGTCACCCCAGCGGTGCTGCAGAACATGCCGAAGCCAACGAAAGCGAGCGATATACTAGGTACAACCCACGGGATAGAAGCGTAAGACGTCCAGGCGAAAAAGAACAGTCCACCACTCAGGCCGATGAACGAAGCTGGAATACTGAGATAAAGCCGTGCTTCCGGGATCGGTTTTCCTGGAGTATCGGTGTTACGTCTCGCGGAAGCGAAGTAGATGCGATCTTGTACTAGAGATGCGACAAGGCCGATAAGCTCCCCGATGACGACTGCGGATTGCACAAGACCCGTGCCGAAGAAAGACCAATCGTACAACTCCGAGAAAACTTGTACGATGGATTGCGTGAACATGAATGCCGTGCCGATGCAGAAAGCGCTCCACATCCCAAAGGAAAGGACTACGCCTTCGGTGCAAAGCATGCGTGTGGGTCGTACAAGCGTCTCTTTAAGGACCTCGCCGAAGCTCGTATGCTCTTTTTCGGCCTGGGCGTATACCTCTTTCCCGGTCTCCGCGCGAAGACGACGTGCACGCTGAGTGAGGATGACATCGGGTCGAACCTCAGGGAGGAGGAAGAACAATACCGGTATAAGGGCGCTGTAGAAGATGATCTGACTAAGGAAGATCCTATATTCGCATTAGCTAGAGTTTCGAGCGAAAACATGGAACGTGACTTACCATCGCCAGGTCGTATACTGCACAACCAAGCTACCAAACACAGGCCCCATACTAAGTCCCGCAAGCAGTGCAAAGATGTAAAGTGAAGTACCGAAGCTCTTCGCTCTGCCATCTCTCCATATATCGCTCACAATACCTGACGTTATATTCGCAAGCACACCCGAGCACGACCCCGTAATGATTCTCGTTACAATCAATGTCGCGAAGTTCTTGGCTAGCGCTTGTGGAATGATGAAGATGATTAACACCGCGTAGATGGCCAGATAACTCCATCGTACCCCAAAGTTCTCCATCAAAGGTAGTCCTAGCAGTGGTGCCGCGGCGCCTCCCAAGTTCCAACTTAACACCGGCCAGTACGAGTGTGGAAATGCTTCGTCGCTAATGTTGAAGCTGGCGTTGATTTGTTCGGCGGCGGAGGTGAGCATCGTCCCTGAGACTTGCACGACGAACGTCATGGTACAGGCTAGAAGCGTGGTACGCCATTTCTTCGAGGAAGAGAAGTTGAAGGGATTTGAGGGATCGGTTGGTGAGGTCCAAGTGATGAACGTATGATCTGGATTTAAAGCAGGCTGTGATGGATGTGCTCCTGCGGCATCTGGACCCAATGAATGGTCTCGCTTTTCATCGACTGTCTGCGAGCTTAGACTTGTCGAAGACGTCGAAGTCGATGTTGGAGAAGCCATGGCGATGCACGGTAGGCCAAGGCGAAGATGCAGCTAGCGTTGCCGGTCCGGCTTATACGTTGGGTCGTTGGAGGCAAAGATGGCGACTAAGCAACAGTCACCCGATTGCTTACACACACCTTCACACTCTTCGCTCTAGTTACAACGTTCTCCTGTTGTAGTCTGGGTGCGACTCAAATGACTAGAAGATGGAACGATGCAGCTATCCGCAGCGCACGTGTCGAATACGGTGAAACTGGCTTCACCGTCACAATACACCAAGAATTAGCAACCCTTTAGTGAAGGCTTCTTGAGCGACAAGCTTCTGACAAGCACCAAGCCTAGAAATCGTCGCAGGTAGTAGCTGGGGTGGTTGAGTGGAGATGGAGTCGACAGAAGCTCGCCCCATTTTTGCTCGGCAGCCACCATGAGGTGCAACAAAACCTGACTCTCTGACATCACGGTTCATAAGGTACCTGACTAAAAACTGGAGGTTGCCAGGCGGCGGTGCCAACTATAACGTAAGAAAAAGTGGAAGCGAGTTAGCGTTGGCTTGGCGGGCATTTCGGTCTACTTGGTGGGGCTGGAGGGTGTAGGAATGAATGTGTAGTGCTGGAGATGAAGAATAGTGTAGGTCGAGGCCACTTTCTTGACTATGATGGAGTTGTTGACGATAGAAATGTGATGGGAAGGAACCTGTGATGAATATGTTTTGCCGGAGAACGCCACAGCCGAAGATTCTCACGCTAAACCCCATCTCGCTCGTCCCGTCTCTCCAGGCTGTCAGCATTCTTCTACTACCTCATACCCCTAGATTCAAATCTTTTTTGATAGCCTACACATAATCCTCCCTTGTCCCCTTCTCCGCACTGCGATAAATCGCCTCGATCATCTTATGCCTAACAACAGCATCCTCCCACGTAGTAACATTTCCTTTCCCCTCTCCAGCCCATGCATCCCAAGCCCTCCCCACATTGAACGATGTATCCTCAGCCTTCTCCACTTCGATTTCCTTGAGTTCTTCCTGACCTAGCGCGATCTTAACAGTAGGCTGGAACATCTGCACATGTCCACCCATCTTTGGTCCTTCCAACACAAGTGTACCCTCCGACCCAATAATCTCCCAGTAGAAATCTCGTCCACTACGCGATAAACCTGGGGCATAACTTACATCGACGTTCCCACCCCCGTTGACAAGTTTCGCGGTCATTGAAACAAAGTCGTGGGAAGTCTTGCTCTTCTTCTCACCCTGGGGTTGGTAGGTCGTCTCGTCGACCAACTCAATTTCTGGGTAATGATTTGATAGCACCGCGGAGATGGAGCGGAGTTCACTGGAGAAGACGTAGCAGAGGGCGTCGACAGCGTGACCGAAGGGAATGGTAAGGATGTTTGCGCCCGCTTCGACTGGGAGCATGTATAGATAGGAGGGGAAGATTGAGCCACCGAATATCATACCCTATTGTTGTTTTTTGCATTAGCAAGGTCATTCACGCCATCCTATTTCCTTTAATTCGTTCGAATTTGAAGGGAAAGATTGATAGGAAACTTACATGACCGAACATCGTCGTCCCTAGGATCTTTCCCAGCTTCCCCGACTCAACAATCTCCTTTGCTTTCAAAATCGATGGATTTTGACGGGCTTGCAAGCCCACCATGGTTCTAACGCCCTTCTGCTTAGCCAAGGCCGTCAATTCCTCTGCTTCTTTCAGGTTCCGGGCTAAGGGCCATTCGGAGAAAACGTCTTTCCCTGCTTCGAGAGCGGGACGGATGAGTTCGTAGTGTAGGGGCACATTGACGCTGACGGCTATGATGTCTACGTTGGGATCTTGAGCAACTGAAGTAGGGGAGTCGTGGGTGGAGACGGAGTCTAGAGAGTACCGTTTGGCGGATGCTTTTGCTGAGTCGAGAGAGCTGTTTTGGAGGGCGGTGATGGTGTAGGGGGGGGTACGTTGGAGGTGGGGGAGATGAGAGCGAGACGCCCAGGATCTAGACATCTAGGTTAGTTGACACATCACGCGATATAGCTTCTAGTTCATTCGCACCCTTTGGCAGAAAGGCCGATGAGCCCGACTCGTTTCTGTGAGCTGGTCATGATGATTCAGTAAGCAAGCGATTTCTATCACTTCTCTCAATGGGACAATTGGATACTCGAACAAAGTTAATCAAGGTAAACAGAGGGCATTGGTTCATTCTATACGTCTACCATCGGATTAACCTCTCACTCCGCTTGCTCCGCAGCCTTGCAGCTAAAGCGGGTACAGCCGACATAGTGTCTCATAAATGACTGCTGTTGTATGGATGACGTAACTCGACCCCCGCATTTCGTGCGGATACACCAACTTTCTACACTTGCAAGGCAAAACACTCGTTCTGTGTAAGCTCGCAGGTTCAGACAGCTTCTGAATCTGATTCTTTAAATGCGACTTGGACGGTATCTCTCAGTTATCATACAACCCTTAGTTATCGTGCTGCTGCTGCTGCTGCTGGTGATGGTCGGAGTGGTGGGTGGACAAGACGTTTCGCACGGCAAGATAAAGGCCATAAATACAGAATAGAACAGCGCATTGGTCTCCCTGCTTGATTTATGAAGAATCTAGCGAGACAATGTAGCACTATGCGTCAATCTTGGAATAACCTAGTTCCAACTCGTTTACCCTACCCTACACCTTAGAGCTCACTCAGAGCCCTGTTGTATCTCACTTTCATATCATATCCTCCATAGCGCTGCTCATTTACAACGGGTAATGAGCCTGACACGCATCTTCATCTTCCTCCTCATCACCTTCGTCCATCTCCTCATCCCACTCATCAGATTGACATCCATACACATGTATCTGCGCGTTCTCGTACTCTTCATCCGCGAGACGCCTATGCTCCCCACCTCTCGTATATGCCTCAGTAACAAAGTACGGTCGTGAAGTTTCTAACCCAAGGGAAGGTTCAGAGCCCACAGCAAGACGACCCAACGCCGCCGCGCCCGTCGCAGTCATACCACCTGGAGTGAATGGTTTCGCGAAGGGGGAGAGCGTGGTAGCCGAAGCCGTCGCAGTTGTAGTTGCAAGACCATACGGATTCGTAATCGCCCGGAAGTTACCTGTGTTGCCAAGTGTACCCGCCATCTCTTGCCCCGTAAACGGCATCCCTATCTCGTCCTGCACCAATTTCTTTGTGGTCCATCCGTTGGCTCGAGATAAATCCGTGTAGTGCTTCTCGTTCTGGCATTGCTCGCAGAGGTAGGTTCCGTGCCTGGCTTGCAGCTTGCCCCTGGTGCTCAGGCAGTCTTTGTGGTACCAGCGCACTTTGCAATCCTTGTTTACACATTGTGTGATCAAGACTTCGTTGGTACGGGCGGGTTTGCGGCAAGAACAAATTAGGTCGCTTTTCGAGGGGGTGTGTTGGTAGTGGGCTTCGAAAGCTGCTTGAGCGACACCGAATGGGGGTGAGTTGTCGGTAGCTGGGTCGCGTTTACGGTAGACAGGTACGTGCGATGGCTGCGCTTTCTCAATGGGCTTTGACGGCGGACTTGATGTCTTCTTCTTCGGCGACAGTGTTCTATTTTTCGGCGATACCGACTTTGACCTGGCCTTCCCCTTGTTCTTGACGGGCGTGTACTCCGCGTCTGGCGCGTCTGAATCATCAATTTCTTTCGCGATGTCAGAGACAGCGTCACTCAAATCCGATTCTCCGTAATGCACGTTCTTAGTCTTGACCGCGCGTTTGGGTGTTACTGGTCTCAGGTGGTTTACTGGCGTGAAAAAGTTACGGATATCGGAGTTGCGGGTATTGGTGTCCTTCGCTTTTGACATGTTTTCTCGCCTGATCCGGTGATTGGTGAAGAAACGACGGACAGCGTTAGTATCTATTTCGCGGCCAAATCTGTGAGTACTACTGCCAAATCTGTGAGTACTACTGCCAAAATCAGGAACACTCTCTTTCAGGAGAGTTTGTCGTGCGGATGTCGGGTCTCGATAGACGAAAGTGCTGGTTCTTGATGTTTCAGGGGTTGGCGGCCGCGAGTTGTTCAGAGGGACAGGGTAGTGAGAATAGCTACTAGACGATAGTTGGGAGTGAATACTGTCGACTCTGGTCGGACCGGATGGTGCGGTGAATGAGCGTGAAAGGCGCTGTGAACGAGATGATCCTTTGCCACCGACTGTATCCCCAACGAGGAAGAGGTTGTCCTCGGCCGTCCAAGAGCACTCCTGAACGTTCGTCTTGGTGGATGTATAGTCACGGGACTTTGCGTATGAAATCCCATCCGCGACGCCATCGAGATGTAGCGAGCCAGCAGTTGAAGAAACCAGTCCCTCAGAGCTCGAATCATCTACAAACTCGCCGCCCTCCCTCAGGTCGTAGAGTTCGCTTTTAGAAGATGGACGCTGGATAGGCTGAACGGAGTAATAGTGATTTCCAGCTCCACGAGGATAACCTACAGACCGATCGATGATGAATTGCGCCTCCGCCTGTCTGTTCATAAGTTCTTCTAGACAATTTAGGCAGTAGGTGCGTGTCTGCTTGGGCACCAGCTTTTTGACCTGCTGAGTCCACAACGGATCGTTCATCCTCGGTCCGTTGCGGCGAAAGGCGAAGATTCTATCGGAAGCCACACGCACGTCTGAAGCTGGTTTAACAGTTCCCCAATCGAGGAGCGGTTCGAGCGTAATTGCAAGAGAGCTTTCGAGTCTTTCAGCCGCCTTCGATCCTGCTCCTGGGCAGGAAAGATTGCTGCAGTATTTCTCAGAGTCATCATGAACGACGAAGATGAGATCGCCTTTGGTTTGGTATATTTTCCCGGATCCTCTACCCTCGAGCGCATGTGTGACATGCCTTATGTGCTCGGCCAGATCCTGATCATCTGTCCAGCGGTGTGCCTGGGTGACGTTTGAAGGCCCTGGAGACTCATGGTCTAGCTCGTTGACACCGGTACTTTTCCGCCAGAAAAGTGCTTGCAGCTTGAGAAATTGCTCGTATCCACCGTGGAGAACAGGGAGCTCAATACCCCAGTTTTGGAGGTGTAAGTAGAAAGCTTGGCCAGTTACCTCGCCAACTTTGGGAAACAGGAAATGGGCGCTCCAAAGATCATCCTGGCATGTGTAGAAGCCTTCCGAGGGTTTGTTGGGAGAAAGCTCGCCCGGCGAAGCCATGTTGCGCGACGAAAAACTATGCTATTAGCACAATCTGGATTATCCACAGAATGAGAACATGGATCAATATCGTGGTGGCCCTGAGTAGAAAGAAGGAGGACGTGGTGTAGACGGCTCTCGTACGCACGGCACGGCAGTAGTGCCAAGGCCTGACAAAGTCCACCCGTAGCAGAACTGGGAGTGACGGCAGAAGCTCGTACCAAGCTTTTGCAGTAATTTTCGAAGACAATCACATGGTCTGAGTGGGCGTTCAGCATCGAGAAACTGGTAGCGAGGTCCAGAGTGAACATCCATGGAACGCGTATGGAGCATGTGGAATGGGTCCCTGGAGCGACCACTCACAGTGGATACAAACACCGTAAGATGAGGGTGAAGAGAGAAAACCCCCATTTGGAATTCACGCGCCGTATCTAATTTGCTCTCATACCTACAAGAGTTGCTCAGAATATATGGCCTACAACGATGCGGTAAGCTTATGTCATCACCGAGTATTCTCTGGCGGTATTGAGCTCGACGGATAGCCAAAGGAAGCATAGACGGGAAACCACAAGTCTGCTCATGGGGTATATTCGCAGAGGATCCCGAGGGTGTGGTCGTGGACCATAATGAGAGATTGCTAAACACAAGGCCAGGATCCGTCGAGAACACGATCAAACGCGGTCACATGGTATGACCCAAAAAGTTGGCAGAGTCGTTGGTAGTTGTCAGCGCAGAAGAGCAAGGTACTTATATGTCGGAGATAGCACTGTAGTTAGTGACAGACGTACGCCTGAGTCTCACTTGATCCTCCACGTCTGCGTAAGTGAGATGATCATTCCGTGAAATCAGCGTCTTCTTCGAGCACGATATCCGCGCCAATACCATTTGCGTTGTTGGTACGCGTTTTAGAGAATGACGTTAATCTCGTTGCCGCTTACATAACCCTCTATAGTCTCTTTCAGAATCGCACCAAGGTTCTTGATCGACCTTGTCGAAAACCAGGCTAAATGAGGACTCAACGTGATATTGAGGTCCTTTATATCTTCCTCCAGCAGCGGCGTGTCTTCGGGTCCGCCGATAGGTTCCACCTGATAGACGTCCGTGGCATAGCCGGCTATGCGCCTTTCCTTCAAAGCTTGCACTACCGCTGCCTCGTGCACTATGCCGCCTCTCGCAATGTTGATCAACACGGCATAGGGGTGCATCTTCTCGAATTCCGCGGTGGAGATGAGGTTGAGAGTCTCGGCGTTTCGCGGCAGAGACAGAACAAGGACGGTGGAGTTACGCAGCACATCGTCAAATGGCATGCGGTCGTCGGAAGGATCTGGAGCTGGTAGTCCGCTGTCGACGGGAGGCGTCGCTGGTGTCTTTCGACTGGCGATAAGCACGCGCATGCCCAATGCTTGCCCTAGCGCAGCGACTCGCTTCCCTAACACTCTTCGTCAGCTCAGGATCTCGCATCCCAAATAGGCTATAAAAACCTACCAATACCCCCATATCCGATCACGCCCATGACCTCATCCTTGCAGGTTATCGGAGGCATGCCATCCGGCAGGCGCATATACTGCTTCACGCTACCCTGGGCCTTCCACTCGCTAGGCTGCGCACGAGTAACGCGGTCCAGCAACACGGTGCGCCGTCTGGCAGCAAAGTACAGGCCTATGGCATGTTCCGAAACAGCATCGATATTGGCCCCTGGGCAGTTTGTAACGCGAATATTGCGGGCCCGGCAGGCATCGAGGTCCACAGGGTCTGTTCCGGTCGCGGAGATGGCAATGTAGCGGAGGTTTGGAGTAATACTGGGGCGCAATGTTTCGGCATCAAGCTTGATCGTCGTGGTTATGATTATCGTGGCGTTGTGGATGCGGGAGTGGAGCTCTTCACGCGTCGACGTCGTCGGGTATGCTGTCAGGTTGTGGGTAGTGGTGGCGGGGAAGTTGAAGCCTTGCAGTGGAAGGGGCTGCTGATGCTCCTCAAGAGCGACAATCTCGTGATGCATGGCGGCAACGTTATACAGCTTTCAATCCAAGGCTATCCAACATGACCTATCTCCATTTTATAGAGTAGAAAAGACGCCTCTAGACGACAGGTCTGGTACCGCTATTGCCGCATTCGACATCGTAGGGCGCGCTTTCCCACCGGGAGGAACTAAGGGCAGGAGCGAAGGAACAACTCTTGGTAGTAGTAACAAACATCGACTCCACTCTTCTGTCTTGATATCTCCGCCCCCATCTGCCCCTATCTATACGCTCCGCAAACCCATCCCATGCGTTTTCAGCGCGTTATGCACACGCGACCAGTCTCCCGGACCGTATCCACGAATACGGATCCTATGCCGAGGTGGACGCGGGCGACGCACGCCAGACGCCCTCGGCGACTCCCATTGGTTGCGCAAAACTGCAATTGTCAAGTTCATGCCCAAACTTCACCCTCACCCCACACGTTCACCAGCGATTGCCCTGCAAACTTTGCGCAACCGACTGAGGCTCAGCGACGTAACAGGCTCCAGGGGCCTCCTCAGAGCCCTCCCATCACCGGAATTTCATCGGCAGACAGCGGCACAGCTTCTGGCCCACTTCTAGAAAAAAACCTCAACACCTAAGCGACGGAACGCGGATGCATTAGACCATAGTTCCCACATGATCGGTGATTTTCTCGGCGCAGTAAAACAGCCCTATCCGGTCACCTAGCATCAGCAATTGGCTGCCAAGCTCGGCGTCTGTTGCCATCTGAAATTCGGGTGGGTAGTCTAAGGGCGACTTGCCTCCAAGCTGGCTAGCGGGCCTGGACCATGCGCCGATTGACGTCCCTCTGCAGCCCTTCAAAGCCTGCGCTGATCCGCCTTGGTGACATTTCCCAGAGTTTTGCATTGCGACAATTATCACAGTCACTTTCTACCCCCGGACCCCAGACCACGGACGATAGCGACACGCCCCTCATGTCCGACTACAGGTACGGCACGCAGTCAGATGCGTATGCCGCTGAGCATGACCACCCCGTTCTTCGCAACGGCGTGTCTGACAAAGAGACCAAGTTGCGCAACACCTACTCTGGATCTGGAGATGATGTCGCTCCCGCCGATGCCGATAACCTCCTGGCTGCCATGGGCTACAAGTCCGAGTTGATTCGGTCAAGATCTACTCTCCAGGTCGCCTTCATGTCCTTCGTCCTCGCTTCTGTTCCCTATGGTTTGGCAACAACCCTCTACTACCCAGTCGTTGGTGGAGGTCCTACCAACATCATCTGGGGATGGCTCGCTGTATCCCTCATCATTCTCGCAGTCGCCGCATCTCTCGGTGAGATCACCAGTGTCTACCCGACTTCCGGTGGTGTCTACTATCAAACCTTCATGATCACGCCGCCCGCCTATAGGAAAATCGCCTCGTGGATCTGTGGATGGTGTTTCGTAGTTGGCAACATTACCATTACTCTCTCCGTCAACTTTGCTACCGCGCTCTTCCTTGTGGCATGCGTCAATGTCTACGAAAGCGAACCTGGTGTTGGTATCATGGAAGGATCAGCTTACCAGGTCTTCCTCATCTTCCTTGGCATCACACTTCTTTGCAACGCTGTGTCTGCCTTTGGAAACAAGTACCTACCATGGTTGGATGTGAGATTCCCCCCAAGCGACTACTGGATGTGTTACTTACGGACAACTAGACTTTTGCCATCTTCTGGACCTTTGCTGGTGTGATTGCCATTATCGTGTGCATCCTTGCCATTGCGAAGAATGGACGCCACAGCGCCGAATACGTCTTTACTGAATTCGACCCCTCCAACTCCGGATGGATTCCAGGATGGTCTTTCATGGTCGGACTACTGCACGCAGCCTACGCGACTTCATCGACCGGAATGATCATCTCGTGAGCCTCCCCTACTCTGCCCAAGCAACTTGCAGCAGATATCCCTTGCCCAATGCAGTTTCCCAAGCGACACTCCCATGCGACATTTCCTATGCGACCTTCCCAAGCAACCCACACACTCCATCGCGACATTTGACGTGTCTACATGCGGTAATGTCAGATGATAATTGTCCAAACGCTAACAGTTTGCAGTATGTGCGAAGAGGTCCGTGAACCTGCCACTCAGGTCCCCAAGGCCATGGTCGCTACCGTTGCCTTGAACACCATCGCTGGCCTGGTCTTCCTCATTCCCCTAGTCTTCGTTCTTCCCGACCAAGCCATGCTCGCAGGTCTGCTTTCCGGTCAGCCTACCCCCGTCATCATCAGGGAGGCTGTAGGCTCCCCTGGTGGTGCCATCGGTCTCCTCATCCCCCTCCTGGTTCTCGGTTTCCTCTGTGGTATCGGATGCACCACCGCTGCGTCCCGCGCTACCTGGGCCTTCTCCCGTGACGGTGCTATTCCTGGCTACAAGCTATGGAGGACTGTCAATACCAACCTTGATGTCCCGCTTAACGCCATGATGCTCAGTATGGTTGTTCAGATCGCTCTTGGTCTCATCTACTTCGGTGCCGCCGCTGCTTTCAACGCCTTCTCTGGTGTCGGTGTTATTTGCTTGACCCTGAGTTACGCTGCTCCCATCTTCGTCTCGCTCATCACCGGCCGCAAGCAAGTCAAGGACGGCGCGTTCCACCTCGGAATGCTCGGTACCTTCTGCAACATCGTTGCGCTTGGTATGTTTTGCAATCTTGTCATAATCGCTGCGCAATTCTAACAGACATAACAGCCTGGTCCGCACTCGCCACTCCTCTTTTCTGCATGCCCACTTTCCGCGAGGTCACACCAGCGTCGATGAACTACGCCTCCGTCGTCCTTGCCGCTGTCGTCGTGGTCTCAACCATCTGGTACTTTGTCTGGGGAAAGAAGAACTACGAGGGACCTCCCACCCATGAGGACGCTATTCTCGAGGCAAGGAGAGCCAGCATGGCAAGTCGCTAAATTGTGCTCAACCCTGCATGACATGAGAGGAGGAAGAGACAGACTGGCCAACTTCCTTTTCACTACCTCGCGATCAATATGATTAAGTCGCGCAACTCATTGTACATTCACATTTCCGCAATAGCGAATACGATACCCCCGTTGATTGAATCATCCGAGTTGTTCTTCATGTGAGCTGTGTTTCTTGAGGCATCAATTGAACGTGCTGTTTCTTGCATCTGACATAGCCGCCCCCCTCTTGGCGTCTAAGAAAAACTATGTAACAACTCACGATGCGGGAAGAACGGCACGCTCATTTCTCCACAGCCCATGCGACGATATGTCACAGCCTCCACAGCCTCCACAAAGTCCGCAATGTACAAGCGCCCGGTCAACACCCGGACTCTGCTCGGTAAAACCCGGGACAAGGGACGATAATTGATTAGTGAACATTAGCTCCATCTACTAACCATAAAAGTGCTAGTCGGTTGCGCAGCACAGCCGCACCTGCGCACCAGACTGGATGCCACTGAATGGAACCGGTGCATGCAAGTCTTCCCGCTAGTGATATCCCGCTGACCTGGAACCTTTTTAGATGCATTACTTAGCGTACTCGATAGTTGGAAGCAGCTATGACGTATGAGTCGGGAACAATCTCGACAATTGTATTTGTGTTAGGTAGACGACGTTGTTGCATGTGTCTAGATGCTGAAGTCGAAGTTCATCAAAGGTCTTCTTCAAAAAGGATTTCTAAACACCACACCCATACATACCAACACCGGCTAGACCTGTCATCCCAACACCACGCCCCTTCGTCTTCTTCTTCATTCCACTCACATCAAAAACCCCATCGAATAATTTAGCCTTGGGATACCTCCCCTTGATCAAAATACTCTTTCTCTTGGTACCATCTCTCTTCAGCGTAGAATGCAGACTAAGACTGTTCTTGAAATCCTCATCTTTTCTCCTTCTATGTTGGTGGTGATCACCGGGGTCTGAGCCGTTGCTAAAAGGACTCGGTGCATCTGTACCCCTCACCCTTCCAGAGTCATTTCGCGACGTACCATCCACTTTGACGGACGATGTAGTATAAATTGTCTTAATCGACTCGGCAGCAATAGATTGCGTGATAATGGGTCGTTGATGCACAATGGCCTCATCTTCTATAGGCAAAGGCACTGTAAGACCAACATCATAATCGATCCAAGGTGCTACCTCGCGGATGTTGATACCAGGGAACGTGCTAACAGATGTATGTGCACTGCTTGCGTTTGAACCAGCTGGGCTGGCCTTTCCATGCTGTTCGCTGCCCAGGGCAGAGATATCGGCTTTTCCATGTCCGTGATAATGTGTGTTTATGCGGATGGGTGGTGCGGGAACGGCGAGGGTGTTGCTTTTACCTGCTGTTGCCGTAGCGACGGTGAGGAGATCGGTGCCTGAGATGAATTTGGGGGAGACGACTTCTTCTTTCTCAGGTATGTGGACGTGAGCTTCATCGTCGAAGTGGAGGTGTTTGAATAGGTCTTTGCGTCGGGTATTCAAGGAGGTATCGCCATCAATTGGTAGAGGTTTGAGGAATGAGGGAGCAGGTATGACTGGGGGAGCTGTTTTGAGGCGTGTTGAGAAATCAGGTTTGATAGGTGGTGCGCTTGGTTCTTTGTGTTTCCCGTCTCGATTCACCTTGCGAAGGCGCTTGTATTCGGCGAAGTCGTCAACTTCGGTCGCAGTGGGTCGCTTGGTGACTACTTCCATGGGCACAGAGTCTGTACGCGCGAACCTGACGTCGAATAGAATGTCGCCTTCCTTCCATTGACCGCCGGCGACATCGCTACTCGGCGCTTGTTTTATGGACCAGCCTTTAATGCTGTACAGACCTTCGTATCTTACGCCAGCCCTTGGGCTCCATACACTATTGATACTGTGGCTGCGAAGTACCCTTACAGGATCACGGCTTTTGGGAGTCGCAGAAGTAAGACGAAACTTGCCTTTATCGTTTTGTGGAACGCGATAGGTAAAACACTCTTCGGATGCAGCTTCAATCTCGCCTGTGTCTTTAAGTAATAGAGCGTAGGCACCGTGCTTGTCGTACGTTGTACCACCATCACATGCTTCAAGCCCGATGATGCCAGCATGGTGTGCGAACAATGGGTTGATCCACCACCTTCATCAACGATCAGCACAGCCCACCGCGGACGCAATATGAAAGTCGACTTACTGTCCAGCAACAAAGCCCAGATCACCCAGCTTGTGTGAATGTTTAGGATGGATCTTCTCAGGACATGTTTCAGCCCATCGCTTGAGCAAAGCCTGCCACCGACAACGATCAGTCGAGCATCAAAAGTGATGAGAAAATAGCGACTACTTACTTCCCGAGAGTACTCAGATACACTCGCAATGCCCTCGAGCCTTCCACCCCTCCCATACAGAAACGGATGTATCTCACTGAATGGCCCAAACTTCGCAGTTCAGATATCGATTATCTTGTCGCAGTCGTCGCACAATCTGCCGGGCCACCGCGTCGCCACACCCGCAATGTCCTGGACAGCTTTGTGTATACCAGTAGCTCGTAAGACCGAAACCGTCATGTTTGGGGCGTGTCGGAGGGCGACGAGTGTTTCGTGGAGAGTCAACACATCATCGGGTTGTAGAACATCGGGGCCATCACAGGCGATGCGCAGGTCCAGCTCGTCGCGAATCCATCTGGCTATTTGTTTTAACCTCGGGCGGGAGAGGTCGGGTTGCACTGGAGGCGTGATTGGGAAGGTAGTAGTAGTAGACACAGTTCGTGGGCTGGACAAACTGGAATGAACGGCTTGCGTCATGGTGGTGGTAGGCAAGTCAAACTATAGGGTTGTGTTACATCGAATGCGTTAGAAAGGGCTTGGTAAAGGGGAAATGGGTATGACTGCTCTATTGAATAGCGCAGCTAAAAGAAGTTGTTGATAGGAGTGCAGGGTCCAAAGCTACTATCCGGCTGGGTGTCCTGGCACGAGCTGCTCTTTCCACAGGTCCCAGCGACTGCCTGATTGATTCCTCAGTGTTTGCGCTTCTTCTTCTTCCGTTTCTCCGACCCTTCCGCTGTCGCCGTCTTTACAGGTTCTACCACCTCTTCAACCTTTTCATCACCACTAAACCCATTCCATTCCTCATCTTCAGCAACCACAGTTTCGGTAACTCGTGTCGACTCCCCACTGCCATCTCGAACAAAGGCCGCAACGAAGAAACCCATCGTACCTTCCTCAGTACCTTTATCGCACCGAATGCAAGCTTCTAGTACATCACGCTTCGAGGGTTCATCGACATCGTTTGCCAGTTTTCCATCCTCCCAAACTCCTCGTCTATGCCACCTCTTCATTCCATCAACTTGAGCATCTCTTTTGAGGATCGACCACCCCTGTTCTTTTGCCACAGAAGATGCCAATGCTCGGAAGACAACACCCTCGTTTTCTTCGAAGTGAATTGAGCAGGTGGAGTAGGTGATTTTGTGTGCACTCTCAAACTGCATAGCATGGGTGAGTATGTGGAGTTGGAAGGACGATAGAGCTGCCAGCCGCTCAGGAAGCTTGCCCTGCATTGATGTGTCTGTCTCTTCGGGTGTTGAGTCATCCATGTCCAAGTTCAGGGTTGCCGAAGCTTCAGCTTTACTGTGTTCATCATCTCGCTTCCGCTTTTTATCTTTCTTCTCGGGCTTTGGCGCGGCTGGCCGACTGGTTGGTGCTTCCGGTAGATGCATTTTGATGGCGTCGTCACGCCCAACTATACCGGTACCGGAACAGCTAGGATCGAGCAGTATAGCACCCACATTGGCATATTCGTCAGACCCAGGCTTAGCAGCGATAAAATCACTACTGCCCTTGACCCGGACGATGCTGTCTGCTGATGCGAGCTTGACCATCTTCTGCAATGTAAATGTTCTGCCCTTGTCGCGCTCGAACGCTATAACCTTCTGCTCTTCACCGGGTCGCCTTCGGTCGGATACAATTGCCGCTAGATGTGTTGTCTTGTTTCCTGGTGCTGCCGTGGCATCGATGACATCGCCATCATCAGGCTGCGGGTCTAGCAGATAGGCGGGGAAGCACGAAGCTTTATCCTGAAATATAATCTGGCCCTTGGTATATGCGATTGACCTGCTCAGATCAATTCTAGAGGGTAAAGCGAGTAAGTTGGGTATGTTCGGGTCTTCGTAGTATATTTTCGACTTCTTAGGCGCGGACAGTACTTCGCTCAGGTCTTCCGTCTTCACAAATCCAGCAAACGTCGTCGACAGCTGGTGCTGTAAAGTCGTCTTTACGGTGTTGACGCGTACCCAGCGTGGATGGCGGCTCTTGGGCGCATCGCCTTCGTCCTTTTCAAGCTCGCCGTCGTTTATAGCCTCTCTGAAAGCCTCTATAGTCGCGTATCCGTATCGTATGCGGGATTTTGTAAGCTCGGCGCTTAGACGAGCTTTGTGTCGAGTGATGGCGAGTTTAAGAACATGGTTGGCGGCTGCGGCAACGCCATTCTTCGCAAGCAATAGGTCGTGTGTAAGAAGGAGAGCGAGTATTGGAGTAAGCTGCACCGGGAGAGATTAGCAAAAGAACTCAACAGAATATCCTTGACAGCAGAATTACCTTCCTCTCCTCTGAAAGCAACTTGGTCTTCTCAATCACATCCTTGAGCACAATGGACCATTTTGAAGTTTCCGCAATGAGCGCAAATAATTGGCCTGGTGTGCTTTTCAGATCCTTCTTATTGTATATTCGCGACTTCAAAGATCCGCCCGTGTTCTCTGAATTCGCGAGGACCGCCGCGGCTTCGTAGTAGAGTGACATGGAAGCTGTCGCATGCGACAGAAGAGTCGCGAACTTTTTGGCGTTAAGACCGAGCTCCGACTATTTCCCCACACAATTCCGCAAGCCTAGACCACACGCGACATGGACGTGGGTTCAGACATGCTTTCTATTACATTTACATCTAGATGAACAATTGCAAACAAATCATAATTGTTCATGGTTCCAAGACAATAGATAGCTATAGGTTATCATGTTGGTGGCACAAATTGTATTCCAAACTCGCATCCATGTACGATGAATTGGCATTCTCATACATGGACCAGCAATCGTAACGCCGTAGTATGCCTTTTCATGTTATTCAAAAAGACCTCCAACGCCATAAATGAGGCATCATCTGGTATTTTTGTATTTGCAATCGCACAAAAGTGTGCAAATGCTGCAGGCAGAATATCATAACTGTGAATTGCAAGGGTATATATCAACTATTGTGGGCCTTGTAGACGAACCGTCTATGCCTTCTTGGTCCTCTCCTCGTAGGCTGACCAAGCGGCCTTTCGGTATCGCTCTGCTTCCGACTTGCGATCTTGCGCACGTACGATGCCTCGCCCGACAATGATTACGTCACATCCTTGCTCGAAGATCAACTTGCGGGGAGTGTTGTACTGTTGGCCTAGAGCGTCGCCCAGCTTCTTGCCTTCCTGACCTGGTGGCGGGAGCTGGCAGCCCGGTGTCATAGTAATGAAGTTGTCCTCTGGCTCTGTGTTCAAGCTGTGTTGAGCAATGAAGCCCATGACGAACTCTCGACGGCTGCGTGCGATCTCGACGGTCCTCTTCTGGTATTCGGGTGTCATGAGGTGGCCTTCAGAGCTCATCTCAGCAAGCAACAAAAGTGATCGGAGGAAGGGTGGCGGGCCGAGACGAATGAGCTCGGTAGCTACGTCTAGGTTGAAGACTTCTTCTCCATTGGCGTTAGGCTCCGGACGAGGCGATATGCTCTCCGTCCGCATAGATATCGAGGTCGTCACGCTCACGACGCTGTGCTTCCTATCGGCAGCCTTGATGCTTAGCCGTCTCTCTTCGCCCTCCATCTCAATGGGCGACTCAATCGCCGAATCGCGTGGCGCAGGTTCTGCCTCTTCTTCTTCTTCTTCGTCGTCATCATCGTCGGTGCCATTGGATTGCCGCGTGGCAGAAATCTCGGTGTTTACGGATGTATTGTATTTTGCGATGGTCGTTTCGGCAGCTTTCTCGAGGGCTGTAACGATGGCTGGACCGGGGATGATGTGGGCATTAGTGATCTCGGCCCAGAGGGCGATACGGTGGTGTCCAGAAGTGTACTGCTTCTGTACGGTTTCTATGCGTGTATTAGGGACAATTGCCCAGTAGAAACTGTGTGTTCCAGCATGACATACCACCAATATCGGCAAACTTTCGGTCTTCGAAGATGAGGAAGCATTTCCGCTTTGCAATCTCTCTCAGTGCCTGGGCTGTCCTGTCCGACCAGTCGGTGACAATGTCGCAGTGCGTCTTGAGCAGGCAGATTGAGTCACCAACATCTTCTGCCAATTGGATGAGTTCGGCTGACGTCTCGACGTCGGCGGAGAGGCAGAGATTTGTCTGCTTGACTGATATCAGGCTCAGGAGGTACGAGGCCAAGGGTCCCGTCGTGGGTAGTTGGGCGCGCGCACGGTACGTGCTGGTGAGGCTCGGGTGGGAAGACATGACGACGATCGTTGACGGTTGAGGGACGAACGCCGGATTTTGGCTTGTGTGTTTGAAAAGGGCCGATATGTGTTCAGCAGGTGTGAAGTAATCGACCGACAGTGCGTGGTGGTTGTTTGGCGAGTGTCTCCGCGGGGATGGTGAGGGGCAGAGCCGTTAACGAGGAAGGAGCGGAGGAGATGTTTGGCAGGTGCGATGAGCCGTGTTGTACAGAAAAAGGAGCGACGGGAACAACAGCCTAGCAGGAGATATAGCAATTAGAAAGCTAATGTCGACGGTCCAGTCGTAAAGTACGCGAGCCCCGGGAGAGACACTGAGCACAAAAATTGCGCCTGTTCCTGGCACGGCCCGCTCAACGCTCGTCGCAGATCCTGTCTAGACGCGCATTTGAACCGAAACCGACGTGCACTGCAGCCAACTCATCCCCCAGGGCAGTCATTAGACGCGCCAGCACTGCCACCCAAGCTGCGGCCTGCCCACTGACCGGATGCGCCTCCACTTGCTGGACGTCGAGACTCGACGACCCAGTGTCACCGGCTTCCTCGACTGCCACATTATTAGCCTACATACCGCTTCAACCGCTTCCCCCGCTCCATCTAGACCTCGTCTCCCCATCCTGCGCCTCTGACCGCTGCTGTCCAGGGCTCGTCGGCCACATTCCTTGGCGTTCCCAGCGTTCCAGCTGACTGCCCATGTTGCTTCCTCCTGTCATTACCCCAGCCACCATCCCACTGTAAACTGCATCATGCAGTGGCCTGCGCTACGAGCGCCACTGTAATGCTGCTGCCAGGCACCCCGCAGTAACCCTACCTCCTATCACAGCTGATTGTGCTTCACTCTTGCCGGCTTGCTCAACCTCAATTGCGCCGCACCGAAATATGAATATGTCGACTCAGCACCTTGGCAGCAACGTCTGGACACCTGCAGCTCGCCAGGACTGCCTATTCGTGTGCCGTATCGGAAAGTGGGGCCCCAGAGGCGACCTCGTACCATGCCTGCATCGCGAACCCCGACAATGTGATGAGTAGGTCGGTCCGTAACTTGATTGTTGATATCGCTTCCCGTCACTCTGGTACTACGCCCGGCTCGGAAGGATATCCCGTTGCTATTCCAATCCAGGAAACCTTCTTGCTCCGCTTCGGTAGAGTTTGTTCCATACCTTCGGGACATTTCCAGAGTACACGCGTCAAGTGAGCATTATTGGACATGTTTTCTGAATTTCATATAGTAGCGGGTCGACTTATCTGTATTATGCTGTCTCGATACTCGTAATACGAGAGACCTCATGTTTTTCCCTCGTGCCGTAAAAGGTACTATAAAGGCATGCACTTGTAGCAATCTATGAGTACTGTGATGAGAAGTACAAGCATTAGATGCAGCTCAGAAATAACGAGATGCTTTGTACGCCGTTTCATCAACTTCACGTATCAAATTTCTGGATACTTTGAGGCAATTTGATGCCGTCTTGAGTATGCTTCCTCACCTTGCTTCTTTTTCCATAAGAGTCAGAACCAGATCCTCATACAAGGAGAAGCCACCTTACCAACGTCCGCAAAATTTCCGATGCGGGCGATATGTTGGTGGTATCTGTACCCTGTAACAGTCTCTGAATTTTTCCTCTTCCAATATCCCGTTATGTGTTCTTTTGTTGCGTGGTGGTCTTGGAGAGGACTCCACATTGCAGCTATTTCGCCGCTTGACACTGTTATCATGGAACACAAGGACTTATCAACCCGTTGACATATACCACGAAAGGCAGAAGGCTTATATTATAGTAAGAGGCTTAGTTACCGAAGCATGTGCCGCGTCTTAGACCACAGCATGCGCGTGCATTCTGCATCTCTGCTTGGACGAAACTTCCAGATTGGGAATTCACCATGCGAAGCGATGGATGTATGACATTCTCACCCTCACCTCGAATAGGTGAGAGCAGAGGAAGGATGATGCTTCAGCGAATGAGAGCGCTGAAACTCGAACATGACAGCCTAGATGCAATTTCCCGTTCGTCGCGTGCGCGAATTCCGACTTCACTGTGTCGTCTTCCACACATAACAACCCTGCTTCTGATCCCTCACAACAACCTCCTTCTTCTCTACTTCTATCCACAGTCCCTGACGTCTTTATTTTATATTCGCGGCTTCATAGCTCTTCTCTTCTGCTCTGAGCATTTGCAACCAACACCTACATCTTCGCAATGCCGCCCAAGAAGGACACTGCTGGTGCTGAGTCCAATGCCCTTCTAGTCGGCTTTACGGACAAGGAGACCAAACTCTTGGCCGCTGCCTTTGTCAGCTCAACTGCTCCCGACAAGGTATGTTGTTAAGCACACAGACTACGAAGAAGCTCGTCTTTTATGAGTTATACTTCGACATACAGCACACTAACACTCGATAGTACGACTACGACATCATGGCTGCGTTGACCGGCAACACCGCTGGCTCCCTCAAGAAGATGTGTAAGTAACCTTCTACTAATGGCACGCGAAGATCATGCTAACATCATTTCTCAACGTTCAGGGCCTCAGGTCAAGAAGAAGACCCTTGAGGGTCATGCTTCCTTCGCTGCCTTCCTTGGACAAGCTGGTGTCTCCGCAGCCACCGCTCCTGCTACTAGTGAGCCCAAGCCTGCCGCCCGTGCCAAGGTCGTCAGGAAGCGCAAGGCTGTCGATGAGGTCCCTGAGGACGCTGAAGACTCTGCCAAAGATCTTGATCCTCCCTCCGTCGCCGACAAGTCTGAGGGTGATAAGTCAGACTCCAAGAAGAAGGCCCCTGCTGTGAAGAAGGAGAAGAAAGCCCCAACTCAGAAGAAGGAGCCAATCAAGGGCAAGGGACGTCCTAAGAAGGTGGTTAAGAAGGAGGAGTCTGCATCTGAGGAAGAAGTGAAAGGCGAGTCCGCCGAAAACTCCGCTGATGGCGGTGACGGCCTTGGTGAGTTTTCCTTCCACAAGAACATCAAAAAGTGGCTGGACCATACTGACGGTCAGTTAGGCGGTGAGGTTGAAGACGATATCTAGAGTCTGTATCCTTACGTCAACCAGAGTTCTAGAACCGCTGCGCTTGAGACTGCATCGCATGTCCTTCGGATGTATGATGGTTTGTCTCTTAGCGTGAGGAATTTGTGGACGGCGTGGCGTGGAATGATTTGATACCTCTGGTCTGAAGCCATGATAGCTCTTGATAACTTGCATTGGGTATGGCACGCATTCTTCGCGTAGTCCAACGATAATACCCTCTACTTCTGTGCATTCCTGATGTGCTGTGACTGCTGCACTATGGACTTTGCGCATGCATCCGTGACTGCCCCAGCCTCGCAAGCGTGCTCCCGGACAAAGTGTACCTACAATTTTAAACATCACATACTACAGAAGGAAACACCTTGGAACTCCGGACGCCAAAACACGTCGTCACGTTCCCACGTGATCGAGTAGCCGTATTCCGATACGCCGTAATGCCTCAACGGCACAATTCCGCGCTCTCAAACCACATCTTACAAACCCTCCAATATGCCATACACACACCCTGGTGCCAGACCCTAACAATACAAATGCCGAACGCCACAATGCCCTCCCCCTTTCCAGGAATGCATATATGCTGCGTCAGGTCTCTACAGCAGCTAGGAACATGAAGATCGCTCGTACCTCATCATTCCTCGCAACATTCTTCAGCCTTCAACGAACAACATCCGCGGAGCTCTCGTCCAGCAACACGACCTTCAATCCTCTCCAGGGCATTCAGCAGTTCCCAATATCCTCCTACAGCGGCAACATGACACGTCTCGCACCCGTCATCTCGCTCTCGCACGGCGGAGGTCCCATGCCATTACTCGGCGACCCATCGCACGCCGCCATCACCAAGTCGCTCAAGACCAAGGTGCCCAAGATACTCAAGCTGGGGAAACCTGAAGCTCCAAAAGCTATTGTGCTAGTAACTGCGCATTGGAGTACAAGCAAGGTGACCGTTTCTAGCGGCTCCAAGCACGAGTTGTTGTACGACTACTACGGCTTTCCACCAGAGTCGTATGAGATCAAGCACGATGCGCCTGGTAGTCCCGAGGTCGCAGAGCAAGTAGCACAAGCACTCAAGGAAGCCGGTATCGAGTGTGAGAAAGATGCTACAAGAGGTATGCCCTTCCAGACCCCCCCTCTTCTTCGCAAATACTAACATGCCTTCTTTAGCATGGGACCACGGCGTCTTCGTACCTATGAAACTCATCGACCCCTCGGCCACAACCCCGATAGTCCAACTCTCGGTCCTTTCCTCCGAATCCCCCACGCAATCCTACGCCATTGGCCGCGCCCTTTCCACTCTCCGCGCCCAAAACATCGCCGTCATCGGAAGCGGCTTTGCTACCTTTCACAACCTGCGTCTCATGTTTGACGGAACATCGCGAAACCCAGAGTTCAAGGCTTTGAACAAGGAGTGGAGTAAGGCGGTTACCGACGCAGCTATGACGGAGAGCGACAAAGAGAGGGAAACCAAGTTTGAGCATTGGAGAAAGTGGCCGGGAGCTTATACTATGCACCCCAGGGGTGGTGCGGAACATTTCTTGCCGCTGGTTGTTTGTGCGGGGGCGGCTGCAGGGACGAAGGGGAGGAGTTATGCTGATGATTTTGCGGGGACGGATATGTGGAGTTATTATTGGGAGGAAGGGAACTCGCTGGGCTGGTTGTGATTGTTGTAAGGTCGGAATATCTGAATGGTGTTGGTGTGTGTGGAAGCTCTGTAGTGAAACGTGTTGCGAGGTTATTCAAGCTGACGTCCCGCTACATTACGAAGATGGGACTACTGGGTATATTCGATAAACGCTGCTTTACATGAACATATCTTTGATTCTGCAGATAGGTTGTTGGCTTCCACCTCTTCTCCAGACTGGTATCATAACTTCATCACGGCCTGCCCTCGCCCATACGCATCCGATTTCCTCTCCTTCCCCATTACCCACTACTGATGGGTCTCAATCCATACCACCCGATAACCCCCATCCCACCAAACGCACTTAGACAACTAAACACCAACGCTACGATTCCCTTCGCCGTAAACCCTTCTGGTAGTCTTCCAGGACTCTTATTCTCGCCTTTGAGATTAGAGTAGTCTACCGTGTTTCCTGCTGCGTTACCGCGGGTGGGTACGTGTCCGGCTTCGCAAACGTCCCAGTGCGATTGTGGAATAGGGTTGGAGGAGGAAGAGGAGAACTGGTCCTGGATAGCGAGCGGTGCTTCGATCATCGTGGCAGTCAACCCGGAGGCTACGTGCCATTCTATGTGGCAGTGGAAGAGCCATACTCCTAAACAAAGCCAGATCAGTTTATCAGTCCTTTTTTAAACCAGTAATCGACAGCCTCAAGTTTCTTGCAATGTAATGTCATGTCATGTGTACGTCGTATCGGCATGAGGATGCAGAAATTTGGATTCTTGGATAAAAAAGGGTAGGTACTTACCAGGATTATCAGATCGGAAACGCAGAACGATGTGTCCGTTTGGTCGAACGAGGATAGTATCGCGTCGCATGGGTGTTGGGTGTGGAGTTGGTGCGTTGTTTGGGTCGTAAAAACCTGCGTCGTCGTCGCTGCGGGTTACGACTTGGAAGGCATGACCGTGGAGATGGAAGGGATGTCTGTATTTCTCATATTAGTACATGTCATATCATATGCTCTTCTCCGATATGGGCACAGGGAAGAGATGATGGTGATGGGGAAAGGGGGAAAGACGCACTTCCCAGGGTCGTCGTTGTTCAATACGATTTCCACAACTTCGTTCTGAGCAAGGACGAAAGCGTTTGTGTTACTGCCGTAGATGACAGGGTCTGTAGCGTTGGGGCCGGTGGAAAGGACGGTGTACAAGGTGGGTACTTTGGGGCTGACATAAGTAATATCGTTGAAGAAGGCACTGGTTTACATTAGTTCCGATAGCTAGCCCAGGGAACTACGAATAGTATAGGAAACTGGAAGCTTACTAGTTCGCGCCATCGTTGAGGTTATCCATCTTCAAGTCTAGTGTGATTGAACGATCAACATGGTCCAAGAGTTCTTCCTTGTCGTACGGCACCAGATCGAAATCGTCGAAAGGCTCAAACTCCGCAACCTCTTTTGGCGCTGGTAGTTCCTTGGTATCGTTGTAGACAAGCCAGCCTGTGGCATTCGGGTTCAGTCCTTCGGGTACGGCATCAAATAGATCCTGATCCATGCTTCCCACGAAAGCGAAGTTGGAATTGGTGTCGTTTTTAGCGGTGACGAGGACGCTGTATCGCTGTGCCGCAGTGAGGTAGATCATATCCGCGTCCATTGGTTCAGTGTACACGCCATCAACTTCAACAACGCGCATTGTATGCTCTTCAAACCATACGTACTGTGCAGCGAAAGCGCCCATGTTGACCATTCGGAAGAGATATGTTTTCCCAGGTTGAATGTTAACAGTCAAGTTTTGTGTGTCGTTGAGCAGTGCCGCTTGAGGCACGGGTTCCGCACCGGATGGGTTGGCAATGTTGATGAATTCTGCTAGTAGATTATGCATAAGTTCATGATACCAATCGGAAAGCGTTATAACGACTTCTTCGTCATAGAGATCTTTGTATGGGTCTTCGGGATCATGTACGATAAAAGGACCTCGAAGACCATCTGGATATTGACCGCGCTCATGGGTGTGATACCAATACGTGCCCGGTTGGCTGACCTGTTCCTATCAGAATTTGCGACTAATTTCACTCAAACCCTGCGAAACTCACGGTAAAGTTGTATGTGAAGGAGTTACCTGGAAGAATCCCACATTGTGTAACAGCGACTGGGCCGTCCATGTGAGTAGTACCGTTCATATACAAGCCATGGAAGTGCAGACTTGTAGACTCGTTTCCTAAAGAATTCTTGACATTGACAATGACCTGGTCACCTTTCGTGACTACAATGGGTGGTACAGGCCATTGCCCGTTGATGCCGATGACTGGACGTGTTTGCTGACCGTCGGGATTCGCGTAAGTCCATCCTATGTCGAAGTCATATGTGACAGTCGCGCAGGTAGCGATTTTTAGTAGCAGTAAGAGCGGGAGGAGGAAGTTTGATAATGAGATTGCCATGATGGCGTATGATATGGGTGCTGAAGACTGGAGTCAATCAGCTCTTGTTACGGGTGGTAAAGCTGCTCAGAGTAAGACTGAACTAACGAAATTCAAGTGCTACCATTCAAGTTAGTGCCGATGGCAAGAACACATCCGTCAAACATACGACGTAAGATCCGACGTGCGGAGATCAGATAAGACCGTCCAAGTATCCAGCCCCCACCCCCTCAAAGCCTCCCAGTTTCGGAGCTGATTTATCAGATCATCCGCCCATGTTCTCGACGGTCTGAAGGCGGCCACAAGAGTGTCACTAAGTGGGGCACTTGTGCTTACTCCTAACAGACTAGGCTTACATGGGTTTGACACGATTAATTCTCCCAGCAGATTGTCAAATTTTCCTCATCTCAAGCAGCGGCAAGCGAGTTTGTCGACCCTGATTTGCTTGTGGAGTGACATTCGCGGGCTATTATCGGACCATCTGATAATCTGGACCATGATCGACCCAGGTTTTAGGGTAAGCGAGGCGCCGAAGGACCAATAAGCCTGTTTAGCCTGCGCTACAAAGCCTTGAATTGATTTGGCGTGCTGGGCATGCGGGGATGATGATCGCTCGCATGTAGAGAAGTTGGGCGTCACAGATGACACTGTAGGAGTTGTCAAGACCTACAGAGTGAGATGGGTTGATATTTAAGATTGTTATGGTGGTCAAACGCCAACGACGTCGAAAATTCACAGCTAAAGACTTCGCAGTCGCAGCCGCGGCAGCACAACATCATCCCGAAGCATGATCGGTCCGTCGTGATGCCTCGGAGTAAACTCAAATTGAGAGGTAGGGCCGTCGTGCATGCCCGATTCTCGCCTCTTGACTAGCGCTCAGTGCCACGAACGGCAGGCACATGTTAGCACACCCTCTTCTTCGGAGTCTTCGCGTGTCCCTTCATCTGATTAGATCCTGTCTTTTGCTCATTATCAGATCTCCAGTGTGAGTAACAAGTCGAGCAAATTTGGTACTTCTCCCAAGATGCCAAACGTCTTCGCTGTACCAGGTGCGTATGCTAGAACAGCAGCTCTCTAGTCCACGACATGTGTCACGTCTTCTTTGCTAACATCGATTAAGTCTTTTTCATCTGCTTCCGAGAGTGTCTGGAAACGAGCATCATTGTCTCCGTGCTCCTTGCCTTCCTCAAGCAGACCCTCGGCCCCGAACATGACGCGACAGTCCACAAGCGACTTGTACGCCAGGTCTGGTACGGTGTCGGCGCAGGTGTTCTGATCTGTCTGATCATTTGTGCTGGTGTCATTGGTACTTTCTACACCGCCGGACGGAATTCCTTTGAAAAAGCAGAAAACATCTGGGAAGGCGCTTTTGCGATCCTAGCGAGTGCCATCATCACTCTCATGGGAGCTGCACTACTCCGTGTTAGCAAACTACAGGATAAGTGGCGTGTCAAGATTTCCAAGGTGCTCGAGCAGAAAGACTCGAGACTACCCATCAAGGGTAGGCTGAAGCGATGGACTGAGAAGTACGCGATGTTCATCTTGCCCTTCGTTACTGTGCTTCGCGAGGGTATTGAAGCGGTGTTGTAAGTGATTCTGATCTTCTTCTTGAACCGCAGATGCTGAGCAGACAACCAGGTTCATTGCAGGTGTAGGGCTCGGCGCGCCGGCGACCAGCTTTCCTCTTGCCGTTCTTTGCGGTCTTGGTGCAGGTGCTCTGGTGGGATTCCTCATCTACAAAGGCGGCAACAAAACGTCTCTGCAGATCTTCCTCGTTATTTCGACGTGCTTCCTCTACCTCGTGGCTGCCGGCCTGTTTTCGAAAGGCGTCTGGAACCTCGAACAGAATGCTTGGGTCAAGCTCGCGGGAGAAGGTGCAGCAGAAGCAGGCGCAGGGCCAGGTAGCTACGACATCAGGAAGAGCGTTTGGCATGTCAACGTAAGATTTTGTTACAGCAATCTCCCAAAACTTGTGTGCTGACTGCTACGACAGTGTTGTTCGCCATTAGACAATGGTGATGGTGGGTAAGTAAATGCCTTAATCTGGCTTGGGTGTTCTCTCGCTAACGGCATCGATTCAGTTGGGGCATCTTCAACTCCCTCTTCGGCTGGCAGAACAGCGCGACGTACGGCTCGGTCATCTCATACAACCTGTACTGGCTCGTCGTCATTGTCGGTTTCGCTTTTCTTGGTTGGAGAGAGGGCAAGAACGTTCCCTCAAAGCATGCCCAAGTCGAGAGCGATGCTTCTAGCGAGGAACGCGAAACCACTGGAAAGAAGACCAGCGATGAAGGCGTCATGACTACCACTGCTGTAAGAAAAGTGCAGTAGGTGAGGTGAGAAAAGCTCAATTCGGATTTCCTGGCTGTGCAATGGTGGATCCGAGTATTTATGGACATGGTGGGAGGCCTCACTGTCAGCAACGGGCCAGCAAGAAAGCTTGTCTGGGACAAGAACGCGCTAATGCAATCCACTCTGAACGAGACTAACGCGGCGCGCCCCCATGGCCCCCCCAAGAAAACCGCCCCTGAATATTATTCCGAAACCCCTCAGATTGTCTCTTGGTGGTCTGCGCATCGAACGCGTGTCGTTGATCTTGGGTGTGGGCCCCGATTGATGGTTTGCGTGGAAGTGATGATCATGGGGACACCTTGGGTAGGTTTCCAGATTACTGTACTAGTCAGCCTTTCCCAACGGTCGCGTTGCTTTAAAAGAAATACGATGCACGACAGCGCAGCGGCAAGATGACGGGCTGACATGAGTACCCATGCTCGGGAACCGAGTTTCGTGGCGGAGTATTCGTGTTCTGTGTTGATGCACAATATTGGAGTATACATAAGTGGAGGCCAGCTGCTCTCCCACGCATTTGCTTACTCCCACACCCTCGGTCTCGCCTTCTGTCAATCATCTGCTCTTTCTGTATCCTTCAATCCACTTTAACTTCAGACGACTTTTCTTCCAACGTCTCTCGCTACGTATTAGCCAACTTCGCACTACCGTCAAGATGCAGTTCAAGAATCTCGCCGTCCTCGCTGCCGCTGGCAGTGCCGTGGCCGAGTTCGCCATCATCACCACACCAGTCCCTACCAACCTTGGCGACATTCTCACAAACGTACGTCCCCCGATCTGCTCACCCCACCCCGTGATATATCGTGCTAACCCACATTATGCAGGCCGATGGTTACGCGTCCTCCGTTCTCAACGAAGTCTCAATGGGCCTCGCTTCCCTCACCCAAGGCTCCGCTCTCCAGGCTGCCGCCTCTGCCCACAAAGGCCTTGCTTCCTTCGTCGCCACAGCCTCGTACTCCATTCCCAGCGAAGTCACCAAAGTCGGTGCACTTGAGACCTTCTCCGAGACACCAGCGTGGTACAGTGCGCTCCCAAGCGACATCAAGAGTTACTACGACAGCTACAACGCCGAGGTGCAGAGGCTGCTCAACCAGGCTATTCTGGGCAACAATGGTACTACTGCGTCGACGACTAGGTCTGGTTCTAGTGGTGCGACAGGTGCCAGTGGAACCGCGGGCCCGGCTGAGACTGGTGCGGCTATGGGTAACATGGTCGGCATGATGGGTGCCGGTGTCGCTGCGGCGTTTGCAGGTGTCATGGCCTTGTAAGCGTTGGAATGATACGACGAGGTTTGGCGAACAAGGAAGGATTTACAGGGCATGTCGTTACAACTTCTTGATTGGCTGCCCTAGCCTGGGGACGTGATTTTTTTCCGAGAAGAAGCATGATGTCCATGTTTGTAGTTGAGTTTTAGTATGATACCTCTGATTCGTTTCTTTAGATGCCTGAGTTGCGAATGGCAAGGGACGTTCCCACGTGAAGTCAAATCTATTGTTCGCTGTCTAGTTCTTGTGTCTATCCCATCAGTACCGTCGCCTTCCCAAGGACCATAGAAGTCAGAAATCTATCAAGCAGGCCTTGACTCAACTACAACTGACTCTCACCCTTTGGCTGCGCCAACTTCGCAACCTCAGGATCCTTGGTAACCTCCTCATAATCAGGTCTCGGCAGCTCAAACGCCTCGGTCGACCTCGCATACGTAATTCCTCCCATTCTTGAAATGGGCTTCAGCACAGCAGGATCAATCAGCACACCTTGCTGATCAATAGCGTCCTCCCGAACCCAAAAGTTGACTCCCTCAACAAACGCTGTGACACCCGTCTTTTTATCCGGTGTAGCAGGATTCTTACTCGTCCATTCTACCGTATCAACCAGTTTCCCTTCAATACTAAACACCGCCTCTTTAACCCGATCAGGCTTAACATACTTGCTTTTCTCCGCATGCAATCCGCTAAATGCCCACTCGCTCACACCTACCGGCGCATTTATACTCGTGAAATTCGCTGCTTCAATGTATTCTTCCGTAATGATGTTGATGACAGCTTCCTTGGTATCAATCAGGTTCTTAAGCGTGTCCTTGGCTTTGTCCATGCCGCCAGCGAATCCTAGGACGAACATTGGTGGATCATGGTTTACGAGGTTGAAGTAGCTGAAAGGAGCGAGATTTGTGGATTTGCCATCTGCACTGACTGTTGAGACGAAGCCGATGGGGCGGGGGACAATGGCTGAGATGAGTAGCTTGTAGTTGTGTACTACGGGCCGACCTTCTTCGTAGGGGTTGATGGAGCGATGGGATTTTTCCAAACTGGAGGGCTCATTGGGACCAGATCCGGGTTTCCAGTTGGGCTTGGGGGTTTGCGTGTAGTGGAATAAGGAGGTTGTGTCAAAGGGTGGGCGCGAGGCTTCGACAGCTTTGAAGTCGCCGTGGGGGTTGCGCTTTATTTCTTTTTCCGCGTCTGCTCGTCCGGATGCCATTGTGGAGGAGGGGCGTAGAAAAAACCTGTGATGAAACGTTGTAATGGGTCTGGAGATCGGGTGGTGGTAGGTAACTCTAGCTCTACTAGTGATCACGGGGAAGATGCTCTTATATGTCGACATTGCAACTGCCGTTTAGTCAAAGATGATCAATGGCGCAAGAAAAGTGCTCTACGGCAAATGGCGGATATAATTCCGGGCTTTCAATGTGATCAAGCCGCCCGCGGAACGTGAGCCGAGGCGTTTGAACAGCCATTATACGCTCCTTGAGATGTTCGCTGGATATCAGAAACTTCCATCTGTACGGAAAGTTGTTCGCAGATGAGTAACCTTGGCCCGTACGAGACCCTTAATGGTTGTCATTTCAACGGCTACACGCGGCGAGTTTTAGCAAGGGACGCGGTCAACAACGTCATGCACCCCGCCATACCTCTCAATTACCCCGCCATGAACGATAACAACCACCAGCGCTTAGTGGTAGCCCTATCACGGAAGCTGGAACTGGTGAGAATGAAGTTTATAGATAGGCTACGGGACCGTGCACGTTTCTGACCACACTATCTAACATCTGCACTTCTATAGCTTGTTACATTTCCATCTCTGATCCAACTGCAACATGTCCTCAAATGACGATTATCAGACCTACAAGCTTGGGAACTTCAAGCTCAAGTCTGGTGGGGAGATACCAGATGCTTTCATCGCTTACAAAACGCTAGGTGACCCATCACTCCCCGCTGTCATATATCCAACATGGTACAGTGGGAGTACGTACAGTCCAATCGAACCCTGAATGGAGCGCTGCTGATTGCACAATGTAGCGATATCCGACAACATCTGGCTCACGGGCGAGGGCAAAACACTCAACCCTTCCGAGTACTACATCATCATGCCTGCATTGTTCGGCAATGGCCAATCGTCGTCACCATCAAACATGCCAGATTTGCGCCCTTTCCCAGAAGTGCTGTTTTACGACAACGTACGAGCCCAGCATGAGCTTGTCACCAAACATCTGGGTGTCAAGCATGCTCGTGCTGTTCTTGGTTGGTCCATGGGTGCAGGACAGACATACCAATGGGCTACGCAATTTCCAGACTTCATGGACCTTGCGGTACCGTTCTGTGGAAGTGCGAAAACGAGCCTGCATAACCAGGTCTTCCTAGAAGGCGTCAAGAGCGCCTTGTATTCCGCTCTACGGACAAGTTCCGCAGGCGTCGCAAAGCCAGACCTTCAAACTGCTCAGGGCCAAAAAGTGACTTTTTCCTCAGAGACTCGAGAAGCTGGGTTGAAGGCTCTTGGTCGCGTTTATGCTGGCTGGGGCTTCTCTCAAGCATTCTATCGCGAGAAACTGTACGAGACAGCGCCTATGCTTGGATTCAAGAATCTGGACGACTTTCTTGTCAACTTCTGGGAGGCATGGGCACTTTCGAAAGACCCGGAGAATATGCTGGTCATGGCGCATACGTGGCAGACTGGTGACTGCTCGCAGCAAGAGCCGTACGATGGTGACTTCGAGAAAGCGATGAAGGGTATCAAAGCAAAGACACTAGTCCTACCGGCGAAGACAGATCTTTACTTTCCGCCAGAGGATTCCGAAATTGAAGTTCAGAACATGACGCCAGGGGTGGGAACATTGAAAGTATTCCCTTCCATCTGGGGTCATTGGTATGTCCTTTTCTCCATAATTATTGTATGTCTGGAGCTGACTTTCAACGTAGGGCTGGTGGGCCGGGACAATCGACGGAAGACGTCAAATGGCTCGATGCGCAGATCAAGGAGTTCTTTGCTAAGAACTAATCCCTCGAGTGATGCTACTGTTCCCCTAGGTTGATAATCTCGACTACTTTGAAGCGATCTTTCTTGCCAAAGCGTTCAATGACACATACTTGATCAACATGCCAATCTAGAGCTACAGGTTTAGCTTCTTCAAGTGAGCTACACTCTGAATGCTCCAATATTCCCTTGCTGAGAAGTGTATGTTCGAATACTCTTTTTCTGATTATTGTTTTGAGTTTATCCACGAGAACCTGACCCTTTGTCTGTCCCACAGAAAGGTGAGGCGTAAAAGGCCGTCGGTCTGCGTATACTTCAGAGAATTCTATTTGTAGGGCCGCTTGAAGCTGTTGGACATTCTGCGTAGTAGGACCTAACCAGACAGTTTTGTTGTCGTGTAGGTGGTCGAAGACTCCAGGTGGATCCGCCTTGAGTGTTATCTGGAACGGTTGTATGTCTTTTACTGCTCTTACGATACGTGCACGTATGTCAGACTTGAGGAGTAAGCGCGACTTGTCGCCTTGTCTGCTAGACTGGGAAGGCTCTGATAAAAATGGGTACAGCAGATTGATATGTGCAGGCCATCGTTCGAAATTCCTGTCGTATGCGCGACGAACTCCTTCAATTGGCGCAGCGATACTAGACGGAGGTAGTAAGACTAGCGCACTTGTGTGAGAGAGGTGTGCCGGTATATATCTCGCCATATCTGATGCTGGATGAGTGAGGCTTGGTGAAATTGCGATGGCGACGCGTTGTCAGCCACAGTGGCACACTAGCGCCTTGGCAATGGGTTGCTCCCAGGACGGATGCATCCTCGACTTCTGATGTCGCACTCACTTTCCAGACTGCAACTCGGGAAAGGTCGCGTCGCCATGTGGGAGCGCTGAATCTTTCATTACACTCATTTCCCAGCCGCCTCTCACGACAATCCTCTTCGACACGCGCATTGATTGCGACTTCCTCCGCGCCAGCTCGCCGCAGCACCCCCGAAGTTGCGCGACTCTTCAACCCCGACTCTCGACTTTCACTATGGACGGCCAGAAGAAGCCCACGCGGCAGTTTGGTGTCACCAGCGCCATTTCTGAGGCCGCACCTACTGAACACGACATCAAGCTAAACGACAAGCTCATCGAGACGCTCAAGGCGGAGAATGTCTTTGAGACTCCCGAAGGCAACCGCAGGAGGTAAGATAACTGCTAAGCACGTAGTCGCGCCAAGCTAATCTTCGCAGAGAGGAGGTGATTGAGCATATACAGAAGGTTGTCGAAGAGTTCGTCCGTCGCGTCGGCAAACAGAAAGGTGTACAGCAGTCTATCCTCGATGCTGCCGGCGGCAAGATCTTCACCTTCGGTAGTTATGCTCTCGGCGTCCACGGTCCCACGTCGGATATCGATACACTCGTCGTCGCCCCCAAGTTCGTGACAATCGATGAATTCTTCAAAAACTTTCCTCCGACGTTCAAAGAGATGTCCAACACCGAAGACATCACCGAATTCGTGCCCGTCGAGGATGCATTTGTACCTATTATCAAGATGGAATATCGCGGTGTGAGCATAGATTTACTGTTTGCATCCCTGCCGAAGAGATCGTCAATACCGAGGACTATGGAGACGATTGAGAAGAAGGATCTGGAGGGTCTTAGCGAGTCAGCAACACGGAGTGTCAACGGTACACGAGTGACCAACGAACTCCTGGACGCGGTACCGCAGAAGGTCAGCTTTCGACATGCGCTGAGGGCCATCAAGCTCTGGTCGAATCGCCGCGGCATCTACGGAGCAGTCTTTGGATATCCCGGTGGAGTTGCTTGGGCCATCATGGTTGCGCGCATCTGCCAGCTCTACCCGATGGCCAACGGTGCTACTATCGTTTCCAAGTTCTTTAGCTTGATGTACAAGTGGACCTGGCCGCGACCCGTTATGCTGAAACACATCGAAGAGGGTGACTTGGGTCTCCGTGTATGGAATCCCCAGGTCTACGGCGGTGACCGAGCCCACCTCATGCCCATAATTACACCTGCGTTTCCCTCCATGTGCGCTACCCATACCGTAATGCCATCGACACTGCGCATCATGAAGGAAGAGTTCGGACGAGCGGACAAGATCTTACAACATATCTTCTCAGGCACCAAGGACTGGGATTCACTCTTTGAGCGTCACTCCTTCTTTACAAAAGACCACAAATACTACCTCAGTGTTGTTGCCGCGAGTCGAAACAAGGAGGCTAACTCGACGTTTTCTGGACTTGTGCAATCGAAGATTCGTCATATCGTTAAAGGCATCGACGATGGACAGACAGGCATCCATACAGCGCGCCCTTACATCAAGTATTTCGAACGGTACCATCGCTGCAAAGACGAACAGTTTCATGAGGTCACGCAGGGTTCGCTTGATTATATGATACCGGCATCTGAAGTACCTGCTGAGGGCACCGACCCAGCTAATGGAGAGACCCACATTATCTATACAACGACTTTCTACATCGGTCTTACTTTACCCCCAGGTAAGTGCATCTCGTCTGCCAAACTTCTTACACATCTTTGACTGATCGTCTAGACGCTACGAAGTCGCTCGACATCTCCTATCCAGTGAGTCAGTTCAGGAACTACATCACCGACTCCGATCTCTACGATGACAAGACTATGTCGGTAAAAGTGGTTCATACTCGGAAGTAAGAAACCTTCTCATCCGTATCCAAACATCTGCTAACTTGCCAGCACCGCGCTTCCCGATGACGTTTTCGAGAAGGGAGAGACCCGGCCGAAAAAGCCCAGCAAAGACAAGAAGAAGAAGGATGCGAAAAGTGCTAAGCGCCACTTCGCCGATACAGGCCTTGACGTGCGTGACTCGCGCCTCACTAAATCCTCTCGACGCTCGCCAGAGCCCGAGAGTAGTCTTACATCATCATGCTGACGATTGTGCTAATACAGGACAGCGAGCATTCAGCAGCAAAGCGTCGACAGTCCGAGCTTGCTACCAACGGAGTACCTACTCCGACGGCAGCATAAGTTCCCTTTCAGCTAAGCTAGCACATGTTCGCTATTTCTCTACTCTATCATTCACTTGGTATTTCTTGGGGTTTCTGACATTCTTGTTAATTTCAGTTCCGGTTGCATCCTTATGTACCGCCGAGGGTACGGCTCGTTGACAACCTGTGCCTGATCGCGCAGGTCTTATCGACGACTAGAGACGCCTCCGGACTTGCGATCCGACGCCGCATCAGGTGCGTATCAGTACTTCCGAGGGCCTCTAACAAACAAAACCAGAAAAAAAAAGTAGGAAAAGACTGCTTCAAAGCGAGTCATACACACACAGAAAACACTACAAGAAGGTTTGATCACCCACACTTCACATAATGCATCACTCCCATTTTCCAGTTGGCGTTGGCTGGCGTTCAAAATGCATCACATGGCGTTTGCGAATAAGCGGGACAGGTGGTATTCGTCCGCGCAATGGAGTCACAAACAGCAAGGGAAGCGATGAATTTGCTTTACACCACACAAGGAAAGAAGGGAATTCGTGGCAGCGAATTAGGATTCCGTAACTAATACGCAAACTCTGTATACCAAAATCTACACCATTTGGAGCCTAGGGGCTCCGGCAAAGCCGTAAACAGTGTCGTTCATGTAGTAGGAATTGTGATGTGACAAATGTCTTGTACCATGTTATTTGATGCAGACACCATAAACTCAAGCCCAATCCAGCCCATACCTGGGCACTTCATACGCGTGCCGCGATTCCAAAACAGCAACATATATCCCATTGTAATCATATCAGTCATAACCTCGTTCCTTCAACACTGAGCTCATCAGGGCTCTATGTCGCCACCGCAATACCATCAGTGGTATCGCCCAGTCCAAGGATACCGTCCATCTCGCAGGCAACAGTACCGACATTTTGCCAGTACGGCATATCACGAATGTAAGGAGCTTCGGCTTTTTTAGCGCCGGCCAAGGCTGAGGCGGCACTAGCCCAGTTGAAGTACTTGTGACAGCCTACACAGAACTGACCAACAAGTTAACAGAGTTCCACATGCGTGGGAGACGTGTTGAGAACTTACCATGCTATCACATCCCCCATCCTTCTCAATAACCAACTGACAATTCGGACACCTCTTCCCATCCTTGTCCTGCATGTACTTGAGCGTGTCCCTCTCCGCCTCACTCATCTTCGCATCAACATGTTTCGCCGCGTATTCGGCACATGTAACGTCTTTATGCCAAGGCACAAGACACTGAGCGCAAGACCGGAACGCACACTCGTTACAAGTAACCTGCGGGTACCCCGCCGCCGTCGTATCTGGTAGACCGACAGCAGTACACGTAGGCGAGGGACAAGTAAGAGGCGCCGGACTCGCAGTTTCTTTCCACACTTCGAGCATTTCGAGGTTGAATTTCTCGAGCGCGGCTCCTGGAGGCATGTACCGTATGATGAAGTTGTGAGACCAGGGTTCCGAGCAACCGGGATCCAGACAGCCGGTGTTGATTGCTCGTACGCCTACTGTGTCCATTTTTGCGGCAAGGAAGTGTCCGATACATGTTTTGCAGACGGGGTCGATCTTCCGCTTGCTGGGGTTACGCGCTAGATGAGCGACACAGTGGAAGGGGACGTCTGTTGGCAGCCAGCGACCGCGCTTTGGTGGTACCCATGTTACAAACTGGTCAATTGGTTGTTCTTCGATGCAAATTCGGCATGTAAAGTGGGTTGGTGGTGGCTTGCGAGGTTTGGGGTTGGGGTTCAGCTTGCGCTTCTTCGCCCAAGGATCTGCACGTGGGCGACGTTTCTTGGTGACCCTGATCGGACGGGCTCCTGCAGCTGCTTGTCTAGTATGGGAGCGTAGAACTCGGCTGTTTGTTGAGAGTCGCGTGGCGGTTGTCGCTCTTGCCGGTGCTGTACGCATGGTGGGTTGCTGTGATTAGTCAGGTGGTGTGGTCTCAGTTGGTGGTCGTGTCTGATGCGACTGAATAGAGCAGAGTGTAACAGTGAATGGATACAGAGCGAGGGCGTGAGTGACAAGGCTAGATATATCAGGCTGAGGCTGCAGCTGACGTCGGTTGGCGGTACCGAACTGGAAGGCAGCATGGGTGCCTGATACTTACCATGGATTAGCAGGCAGTGACTCACGAGAAGCTCTCCAGCCGTTTGTAGGAAGTTGTCGGCCTCGACTCTGAGATCCTAAGTATCTCCAATCTAACAGATGGGGCAATTGCTCACCAGGCCGGCTACTAGACGCCAGTCAGCAATATTAGTATCCGTCTACAAGCAACTTTGGGATACACTATCAAACGAGAGAGCGACCTCAAGTCATTGCGACACTAAGCGCCATCAAATGGCATATATTGTCAGTTGTCATTGGACCATGTTCGTTTGTCACAAACGTCTCTGGTGCCTGGTAGGCAGTCAACGCGCTAGTCACAACTTGGAGAGCTCCAGATCGGATCGTCTTTACATGTGAGCGACCGCATATAGGATTGATATTCTTAACGAATGCACCATCCAATTAGAAAGGGTGCGATTGCCTTCAAGACGCAGTATGGTGTTCACTACAGCTTCGAGACCCACCTCATCGTGGTGGTTGCGGCGACCCCACTTGGCGTGACAGGGATGTGCTGAGCACAGATCCCCCGAGCCCGAACTTTTTTTGCGACGCTTGTAAATGCTGAACTTTCATAGACGCGACGATACAAATTGTTATCACGCAATTATGGCGCCAAATCTTGAAGACGACTTCATCTTCACCATCTCCGACCACGACGATGTCTCAGACGACGGTGGCGCCGACGAGGCCGCTGCGGCGGCGACTAAACTAGCTGGAGCTGGAAAGAAGAGGAAATACACCGAAGATCCAGACCTCAACGTCAAGCCTAAAGAGGTCGCGTCGAAGAAAGCAAAGAAGGATAAGAAAAAGGGAAAGAAAGGAAAACAAGCCGACCCCGAACCAGAACTCGAAGAAGATGACGATGCGATGCCTACACCAGGCGAAGATGTCGAACAGAACGACGACATTGCTAGCGACTTCGAGTTCGCAGTCGGCGATATAGACACTGGTTTTGTGGAGGAGTTCGATGGCTGGGGCAACGACAATGGCACAGTGGCGCAAGAATCCCAGAAGAAGGGCAATGCAGTCGACGTTGACGACATCATTGAGCGGAGACGGAACAAGAAGAGCGCACAAGCAGCTATAGAAGCGGAGTCGTCGCCAGAGGCCTCTGTCAATGGCGATTTTGAAGGCTTTGGCGAGGACGATGAGCTCATGGCCGAAGACGGGTTTGGCATGGGCGCAGCAAGCGACTCGGAGGATGAGGAGGATCAAGACGAGGAAGCTTCTGGAGATGAGGGCAGTGAAGGCAGTGCCCAAGAAGACGACTCAGATGATGAAGCAGAAGTGCCGCATGTACCACATCCCATGGACCTTGAGGGCGCCGAAACCGAAGATGAAGTCGAGAGCGAGCAAGAGGACGCCGTCGAGGCTAAGAAGGCAGCCGCTTTCTTCGCACCAGAAGACAGTGTTCCTATCAAGAAGAAGAAAGGCGCGAAAGCTGGCACAGGTTCCTTCCAAGCAATGTCACTTTCACGACCCATCTTACGAGGTTTGGCGAATGTGGGTTTCACTGAGCCCACGCCTATTCAGAACAAAGCAGTCCCCATTGCGATGCAAGGCAAAGACGTTGTTGGAGGAGCCGAGACTGGTTCTGGTAAAACGGCGGCTTTCCTCATCCCTATCCTCGAACGTCTTCTCTATCGACCAAAGAAGGTTCCAACGACCCGTGTTGCCATCTTCATGCCTACGCGTGAGTTGGCGGTACAATGTTTCAACGTCGCCACCAAGCTTGCGTCGTTCACTGACATTACTTTCGCACTAATGGCTGGTGGTTTCTCAACACGCGACCAAGAGGCTGTACTGAAGACAAGGCCAGATGTTGTTATTGCGACACCCGGCCGTTTTATTGATCACATGCACAACACGGCTGCTTTTCAGGTTGAACATCTCGAGATTCTCGTTCTCGATGAGGCCGATCGTATGCTCGAAGAGGGTTTCGAAAGCCAACTGACTGAGATTCTGAACACTATTCCAAAGTCGCGACAGACCATGCTCTTCTCCGCCACCATGACGAGTTCAGTCGACAAGCTGATTCGAATTGGTATGGACAAGCCAGTACGCCTGATGGTTGATGCCAAGAAGCATACTGTAGCCGGTTTGACACAAGAGTTTGTGCGATTGAGGCAAGGCAAAGAAGACAAGAGGCTTGCATACCTCATGTACATCTGCGAAAAGATCTACACTGAGAAAGTCATTGTCTTCTTCAGACAGAAAAAGGAAGCGCATAGGGTGCGGGTAGTGTTCGCTCTTTGTGGGCTCAAAGCTAGTGAGCTCCATGGTAATATGAGCCAAGAGCAGGTAAGAAGTCTTCCAATATCCGAGACCCTACAAGATGCTAACGGTTACAGCGTATTCAATCCGTCGAAGCTTTCCGTTCGGGCAAATCAGCCTACCTCCTAGCTACCGACGTTGCCTCGCGTGGTCTCGACATCAAGAACGTCTCGACAGTCATCAACTACGAAGCACCACAGAGTCACGAGATCTACCTACATCGTGTCGGTCGTACCGCCCGTGCTGGACGAAGTGGTCGAGCCTGTACGCTCGCCGCAGAACCTGACCGCAAAGTCGTCAAGCAAGCTGTGAAGGCTTCCCGCGACCAAGGTGCCAAGGTGGTCAGTCGACAAGTCCCAGTTGAGGAAACCGACAGGTGGATGAAGAAAATCAAGGACCTCGAAGGCGAGATTGAAGAGGTCCTTGCCGAAGAGAAGGAGGAGCGTGCCATGAGCATCACAGAACGTGACCTCAAGCGAGGTGAGAACCTGATTCAGCACGAAGACGAGATCAAGGCCCGGCCAAGGCGCACATGGTTCGAGTCGGAGAAGGACAAGATGGCGGAAAGGGAAAAGGGTGCTACTGCGCTCAACGGATCCGCCGGAGGATCAGTCAAGGGCAATGGAAAGAAGAAGAAGCTCAGCGGCAAGGACCGGAAGAAGCTTGAAATGAAGGATGTCCGAACAGAGGGTAAGCTTTTCAAGAAGGGTAAGGCGGATCGAGGCCTCAGTACCGGTAAAGCGAAGGAGAAGCAAGCTCATGCGAAGAGCAAGTCCAAGAAGATTGCGGCCAAGACCGGCTCATTCAAGGGCTTCAAGGACTAGACGCGTTCATTCAGTAGTTGGTTTTGTGGATGAAAGTTCATGTATAACTTAATGATACCTTTGAGCACCAAAATGCAGCATTTCCTCACAACCATCATTGTCAGTCTTTTGATGCTGCTGCACATTTTAAATAGTGTTTCGCTACCTACTCTGCCGTGAGTTTCACTGCCAAACCTTAGGTATGTATACAGTAAAACAAACGTATTATTATGTAACTTTATGGAGTACATGTCCATCTCGCGCCGCACAGCCTATCCATAGAGGCAAAGATGCAATCGTACAAGAAAAAATGAAGCTAAAAAAGCAAATGAAGAAAGAGTAAAGCAAACAAGTGTGAAGTCGCGGATCACTACAATATGAGTAGATGGACGAAAAAAGTGAAAGTGAAATGTGCAAAACGTGCATGCAGCATGTTTGCACACAAGCTTGCCGCCAAAATACCAGCAGGTGAGCAGCCTATCGCTCCAACCAGCGAACCCTTCCTGTTACCAGCTCCAGGCAATAATATCCGCCAGTGTCATGCCCTATCATATGAAGTAAGCCATCTATTGACTCTTCTTCGCACCACCCCTCCTAGGCAGACCCGCCTTCCTCCTCGCCTCCCTATCACCCTCAGCAAGCCACTGGCTCGCTTTGACCATTTGCACAACATTTATCCATTGCTTAATAGCCATAAAAGGGGCCGAGGTAAGCATGCAGATCCACGGAACCGTGGAATCCATCTTGTTGGCACGAGCCATCTCCATGGCTGCCGCAGAGAACGGGCTAGCGAAGAACATGGAGGGTTTGGGAGCGGCAGGCGAGCCAGGTTGGATGGAGGATGGGTTGTTGAGGTCGGAGAAGAGGGTGGGCGAGAGGAGAGGAGAACTGAAGGAGAGGAGGTAGAGGGCGATGAAGAACATTTCGTTCATGAAGCACAGGGTGAAAAGAACCTTCTGTTGGAGTTGTTAGCGTATGCTTTGCGGCGCGAAATTTCAGCGGACAAACGTACGTTGTTGGAGTAATATTGCTTCATCAACCAACTCCTGCTCTCGTCCACATTCTTGTGACTCTGGCCGCTGCCACCCATGCTCAAAGTCGCGTACATGTGCATATAGTGACTGGCCAGATCCAGCGAAATGAGGCCCTGGAACACGATGCTGAAGCGAGGGAAAGCTTGCGCCAAGAAGACGAGCAAGCATGTTGTCGTACACCTGTCCGTCACCATGTCCAGCACCGCACCAAACTTGGTGCTCTGTTCGTATGAGCGGGCTGCGTATCCGTCGAGCGCGTCAAGTAGACACGATATGCTGTAGAGGAGCGTGCATGTGCGTGGGTGGAGGGGCATGTAGTAGAGCGAGATCAGGGCGAGGAAGACGCGCGAGTAACCTGGCGTTTGTTAGCTGGATTGTAGTGATATGGCAGGGACAGGCATACCAATCAGGTTTGGAATGAATAGGAAGATGTTCTCTTTTGCGCCTTCCTGCTCGGCTTGTGCTGGCCGCACTGGGGTGCCATTGCCGTTGGCTTGCGTTTGTACTGATGCCATAATGGTAGAGGTCGTATATGTTCCACTATCTTCTCACGGATCTGCAATGTGAATCTTCGCCGAGGCTGTGTGTCTTTGTATACAGGTGTGCCCCGCTGCGCTTATTCGAAGGAGTGGAGGCTCGTATGCGCGCTCTGCTTATGCTTGAAGCACGAGGCTGTAGAGAATCGTCCAACGATGACGTGGAGCGACACGAATTCGGACACTGTTTGTATACCCACAGCGTGGTATGAGGCGAGTGTGCTAGAAACCAACAACCGCTTTGCTGAGCTTGCAGTAGCTGTTGAAGCTGAGCGGGTCTAGACTAGAAAGTTGTCGAATAAGCCGCCGATAAGCCGAGCTGATAACGAACCCTGTCGCGAATGCAGGAGTAGGAAGCGCGGTTGCGAAAAAGTAAGGCCGAGTTGTAGAAGCAGGTCAAGTGAGGTTTGTTGAAAGGAGTGTACGTGTCAAGAACCAGGTGGAAGCAAAGCAAGTGGTGCCTGGAAATTGAAGTAGCCCATAAATCTGCCATGTTCGTCCGCCAGCTCCGGGTTATCCGCCTAGACCAAAAAGGGGCTTGCTTGGCATATGAGGTCAATCAGACATTAGACCCATCACCAGACCGAACAAACCATGTCCACCCATCAAGGGCATAAACATACCGTATCTGCAAACATCACTGAGAGAAGCATCGGAAGTAACAAAGTCAATAACTAGTGAAGCTAAAAAAGGCGTTTTTCATTGCGCTATGAATAATCTGTGTTCCTCCACTCCCTTTCTCCATCTCGTTCCTGTCAATACAACAACAATACGCAACTCATGCAACCATCTCAAATCCACTTCAATTCATGCATCCATCCAAATTCTCTCTTTCTTACAGGGGGACACTGATGCTCGCGTCGTCGAACTCGTTCCACGACTACTACGAACCCGTCTTCCCCGGGCCCCTTTTGATATGATAGCCTCTTTCTCTCCTATATCCATAATGATGCTAGCTGCGTGGACTGGACGAGTTTGAGGAATCCTATTTCCCCGAAACGCGTCCCGCCCGTACCAAATCCTGAAATGCTGATTCTAGAGCCCGCTTTACTTCACGGTAGCTTACTATCAACACGTTTTGCTCGTCTCGGCTGATGAGTGCTATCTTCTCATCGGTTCCGGCGTCTAGCTTGTTCAAGCAATCCAAAACATGCGCTAAGTCTGTGACTGGGTGTCCGTTGGCGTCCACTTGGTGGAAGACATAGTCGCGGAACAACTTGAGGTAGTAGCGCTCTCCAGTCTCTGCCCATACTGAAGATGGGTTCGGGCCGCTGTTGCCTGGCATGTTCTGCGAGGCGTCTAGTTCCGGTCGCTCGTTGATCATGTTGAGCTTGACAAGCAGACGGACCAATCTGGAAGATTCCAGCTCTTTTCCAAGGTTGACTGTCAGTGTATCCTGAGCATGTAGCTCACTGTCAAAGACTGATGCAAACTGGTCGGCGATGCCGCCCAGGAAGGTATCGATGTCCTTCTGCATCGGCGCTGGCGTGGTAGGAGAAGATGGTGCTCCTGGTGCTGGTTGAGGATTGAGCAACCATTGCACACATTCTTTGAGGCGGGCTGTATAACTTCTGGTGATATAGTCCATGGATTTCTGCATCTGCAAATGGGCTGTAGCGTTGTTGTTGGCAATGCAAAGTATCAGTCGTCCCAGCTGGACGAGATCGTCGGCTTGAAGTTCGGGCACAGGACGAGCATTGTCGAACTGGACGATGTCCATGATACTGCATGCGTTCAGTCGTACCCGGTTTTTCGAAGTCAGTAGTATCTTGGAGGGTGTGATGAGGCGCGCTGCCAGACCCGAACCGTGTATGGCTTTTAGGGCCGACGCGATCTGAACAATATAACCCCATAATACTTGCTCTGGTACATGCGATGATGCCGGTTGTCTGCCGTGGAACCGCTGCACCGGTTTGAAATGCTCATCAGCAAGTGACTTCGAGTTTGGATGATAGTCTGTGACTAAGATCAAAGAGCTATCGCCGAACGCTCGAGTGGTGAACGCTTCGTGGATCGTGACCACATTGCCATTCAAGACGCGTTTCCACGGCTGAGCGGAGCGAATAGCAGTCTCACTGGTAAGGCGGAAGTTTTCGAGACGGCGTAATGCGTAGGTCTTGCCGTCTTTGCTGGACACAGCTTTGTAGATCCAGCTAGCGTATCCGAAAGGTGCCGTGTTTTTCTGTGGTGACATGTCCAGGCAGAACAAGGAGTGAAACTGCTCAATGACCGGTAAAGTACTGTTGGGCGCGACCTGCCGTGCAATGTCTGCCTTCTTCTGCAACTCTTCCCGTAGTCCATCAGGTATGAAAAAGTCATGAGCAGTGCGCTGGTACGCGAGCAGTCCTGTTGGCTGCGGTCCTACTGGCCAGTACAAATGATATGCTGGGGTCTGAAAGGCATTGGCATTCTGGAAATACGTCGTCGAAGCATCTTGTGCATAGGGGTTAATGGTAGCAGCTTGGTGGGTTGCGCCAGTCAGCGTAGAGATGCTAGACGGAGTACTGAATGGATCGTAGCCAAGATTAGAGTCGACCTAGGGCGTTGTAAGTCGAGAACTAGACGTGGAAACATGCTCTGATGTCACAATATCAGAACAAATATGTCTAAATAAAGTCACGCACCATCTGCTGACCCTCAAAAGACTGTGGGACGAACTCTTGAAAGTCTTGCGAATGCCAATCAATGGCGGGCTCTTTCGCGTGCATATGCGGGGTAGTGACGGCTGAGATGATCAGCATGCAAAGAAGAAACGGTATCGGCGAATGCTCAGAACTCACTGGAGCGTTGGGATTTGGGGGTGAAGACGGCAGCATTGGCCGCCTTGGGTGAGATGGCGGCGCTGCGAGAGGATGGAGTCATAGATCCATTGGTACTTGCCTGAAGCGGCGTGAAGGAGGGAGAGTCGACGTTGAACCTTTTTTTGGCGTTTTCGTTCTGGCCCAACTTGAGGTTGTCGTGGATGTAGGGGCAGGCTAGACAGGATCACTACAAGATTCGGCGGGGGCGGCCACCATCACTTACTGTTTTCGTACCGGCAGTGTCCATAGATGGTGACATTGCGGCAGAGGGTGTTCTTCGCTTCTGAATAGGCCAGTCAGACTTGCCGAGTAGTATAGGAGTGCAACTGCGTCATACCGCGTCCCTTAGGGCGAGGAGAGACTACTCCCCGTCGCGAATCACCCGAAGGACCTCCAAAGGTTGTTGCCATGAATCGCGTCTGGCTCGTCGAACCGCTATTGGTAACAAGAGAGGGTTGCTGGCGTGTCTTAGACGCAGTCTGGGGTGAGCGAGCGGCGCTCTGCGCGGACTCTACAGGCTGCGAGGTGGGCGGTTTGCGGTCGGAGCCGGTATCATCTGAAGAGCCTCCTCCCCTACTCCATCGGCCGGTGGACTTGTTCGAGTGTTTCCGCCTATTGTTGCGCGCCGGCTTCTGGGGCGTGGTAGGGCCGTTGCGCCCTGGGGGGGTGGGGAGTGAATCCCGTGATGAGGACGACGTCAACTCGGATATAGATTCAGTTGTCGAGGACCCAGAGCTTGCAATGGCTGTCGCATGTGGATGCGCCCTGGCTATGGGAAAGAATGCAGGGCGACTAGGCGTAGGTGAAGCGTGCGGCGCGCCTTTGTTCGGCGGCGATGCAGGCTGAATGATGGGCAACCTGTTGCCGGGCTGGTGAGAAGTTCCTGCAAGCACATTAGAGAGCGAGCCCATCAACGGCGATAAGTCGTAGAGCGCAGAGGCAGACGGCTCCTGGATATGTCCAGGGCCGCCGGGAGACATAGCGGGCGGGATGTTTCGCGATAGCGGACGAGTGGCATGGAGCGGGCGGGACAATTGGATGAGTACCTTTCGGAATTGCGGGCTATGAGCCACCCCCAGCGAGTCCAGCGTCCTGTAGGAGCAGCAGCCGCGTCTCCATGAGCAGGCACAGTCCAAGAATCGAAGCAGACTAGACGAGCAGGAACGCTGGATGAGTGAGGTGTGATAACTGAGACCTATCCTATCAGCTTCCAGCCGCCTTCCCTGCAGTGGGTGTTTGCCATGTTTGCAGTCTGATGGCTTAGTCACCATCTTTCCTATCGGCACCTCGGCACGGTTCTATTGTTGAGTGACAACCACATCTTTGACTTCCTACTCAAACCCTCTCAGTATTCGTCTCCTCTTGCGATGGCCTTCTCCATAATAATTAGAGCTGATAAACGAGTGTTGACAAGGGCTGTTGACGACAGTTGGGCAAACTGCTATGCTGACTGCTGTGCGAGTTGATCCAGGACAGCAAGCAGTGCTTGTGGAGATCATGGTCACAACGGCAGGCTTGGTCAATGTTCTGGCCTGATTGGAGCTTATGGACTCAGATCGTACACTCCAACAGTAGGTCGTCTATGTTCGTGATTGCGCACAAGTGGGCGAGGACAAGGTCTTTCTGATTCGCTGCCATTTTGACTTCCAGTGGTGTCGAAGAGTCGGTCAAGGGTCATTGCAAGACGGAACTTTAGAAAGATCGTTCTTCGGTCAGCTCAGACTTTCTGCACAAGCTTTCAATTCTTTGACTCACTTTCACGTTCACCGCGATACTATAGGTGTTCGCACCACGTGGCCGGTCAGTGTTCAAGGCAATGGCCTTCACGAGAACTCTCCAGGGTCGTTATTGCGACAAGCACATCGGAAGTTAGCTCGGGATAGTTCTTGGATACAATGCTCAACGACAGCAATAACTCCCTTCATTTTAACATCCCACTATTCGTCCATCAGCCCGAGGCTCAATCTGAGATGGAGCCTGAGATCCGGGACTTACCACACCGCCGTTATGAGGGATCGGCGGGTAATCAGCACACTCCAAACACGATTGAGCCTTGCACCACTATACTCCACGGCAATGGCGGCTCCGGACCTGGCAGGTTCCATCTACTCCAATGCGGCCATATCGTCGCTATTGACGGAGAGGATACACGCTGTGGCATCAACTGTCAAGAAACTGTAAACATCGCCCAAAGCTCTACCTTGTATGATATCCATAGAGCCTATAAGTCCCCTCAACCAGTAATTGAATATTTTAGCCTGACGACTAACGATCTCCTATCTTTACCCGCGGTGCAGCGTCCCGATTTCCTCTACTGCGAGATCTGCCAGGGCATTCCTTGGGACAACTACAGAAGAATGCAACCGCCTTCGGACGACCCCTCACGCACTGCCATACCCATGCCCCGACGCTGTCTCGCCCTTACACGTGGGGAGATAGCAGCGGCTGTTCGAGTTCCAGACGTTGGAGTTGAGATCTTGTTGGCCAGCCCGTTCCCCAATCCAAACTACGATGCGCACAATCTGTGCTGTGGTCACAGGGTCTGGTGTGCATCTCCACGAAACTGCGCTCGGAACTGCCACCATGATCGGCCTTGTATCGGAGACAGCGTTAGACACCTTTTGATGAAGCAGGCTGATGTCATCTTCTGTGAGGAGTGCATCTTCAGAGCAGAGCGGATGCATACGAGGTGGGAGGAGGCGGCAGCTGGAGGGTCATTGGGTCTCACATATAACCATCGGCAGTATGGTTGAGATGACCTGTAGGTATCTGATCATCCTTCTCGATTCATACATGAGTTACCCAGCAGTATAGTCGTCGTTTGGTCTTCTCGATTTTTTGGGTGTGGTCTGGAATACTTACATACACTCTCGTCACTTTATCAATGGCTTTGGACTTCATGTCGGAATCCTCTCCAGGTTATAAAGCTAAGTCCCAGTCTAATTTCCCATTATTACATTATCTGTCTGCTGTGAATGCGCACCGCCAGCTTCTCGGATGACGTATCTGGTGAAGGTGAAACCCTCGCTCTCACCTCGACATAGTCCAGGCTTTTCTATTGTAGGCCGCTATCCACCATACCAGCAGGGTCTATACTATTTTGGTTTCTACTCTCTTTCTAGCTGTTTGCTCGCTCTTTTACTACCCACTTGCGACCTCACCGTACCATAGCGACAACCTATCGTAGCTAGATTCATCGAGCAACAATCACCCACATTCACTACGACTCAGCGCAATCACTCACGAGGAGTTCTCTCAGAGTCTCATCTACGATAGAGACCCTTCGACTGCAACGCAACTATCGCCTCATCTCCAATCACAACCAAGTCTCGATCACAGTGACTCACTTACCTTCTCGCGGACTGACCCCATTCACGCTACCAGCAACCGCCTAATGGGAAGACAGAAGCTCGTCACAACGAGGAGAAGACCGGGACGTCCCTGTGGCGGCGTTCAGAATGGCGGCGGTGGACGCGGTGGACCAAAAGGCAAATCGTCGAAGTCAGCGACACCGACGCCTGGGATTTTGCAGGATGGAGCAACGCCCAAGTTCAAACTCAAGGTTAACATGGGACGAGATCTTTCAGATTCACATCCGCACACGACCGTAATCAACGACAAGGACAGAGATCAAGACAACGACCTTCCTCAGGACCTAGCACAGCCAACGCTGGTCACGACTCGCACTGGACGAGCAATACATAAGCCACAGCAGTACGATACTGTGCAAGGTAGTGATATTGACTACTTCATTGATCAGAACTCAGAGGATCATAGAGAGGACGATGGACGCGTCCTGTCAAGCGATCCACGTAAGTATCAAATATTAGATATAAATAGAAAATGGATGTATTGACACATACCTAGCATACCTCTCACACAAGGCACAAGAGCATTTCAGGCAGCTGCCAAAGCCAAGAGGTCGCCCACCTAAGAGCCACCCGTCGTTTGGTGCTACCGTGGAGGAGGTGGACGAAGAAGACGAGTCTCCATCCTCGCAGACCCTGCAAGTACAATCTCCACCAGCAGATCCCGCACACTACGTAGCCGATGCAGACGTATACGCCATCCTAGATGCCCTCCGTAGTACCACAAAAATCCTTCTCGACCTCCCCGGCCTCAGTAACGCCTCCGACCCTGGTCGCGCTCAACCCTATAGCGCCAAAGCCCTCACCCAACTTTACATCCTCTGCTACCAGAAAAAGCGCTGGGATCTCTGCGACATGATATCCGATACCTGGATCCGCGCCTTCCACGCCTTGCGTGAGAAGGGCCAGCGCAAACCCAAATACCAATCCTGGCGCCCGAACCCCGCTCTCGACCGGCGCAAGCGGAAAGCACAAGAAGCCTGGAGGAAAGGCCTGTCCATCCCGTCGGAATTCGACCCTAATCCGAAAGATTATGGACTCGCTGTTACAGATCCAGAGCTCGAGGAAGACGTTACATGCATCAACACCGACTTGCTAAATGCCCTATACAATCATACATCACCTAAATGTGGAGCAAGATCCCTCTGGGCCGACGCTTTGGCTCTGTACGGCGATAAAGCTGAAGAGGTCATCGAGGGTGTGACGAGGGAGGGGTTCAATTTACATCCGGAACTTCTATTCAACATTATGCAGACTAGTCTGCGAATGTGTCGGAGGAACCTCACACTGAAGATTGAGGAGAGCACCGAGGGTGTATGGTGTAAGCGATATCACGAACATGGAAAGAACGGACAGCGTTGTTACCGCGAGTTGGCGTCGAAGGACGGGGAATTCAAAGGAAACGAGGAAGACACGAGTAGGAGTGTTCTTGACCAGGTCGGTGATTTGATAGATCAGGATTTGCTAGATCAACTTGAGGTAGGATTGGTGGACAAGGAGGGCAGTGTTAAGGCGATGAGAAGGCAGAAGCGGGGCCTTGAAGGCGATAGCGAGGCCGGTCCAAACAAGCGGATTAGGTGGAACGGGGATATTGAGGATGCAGAGGGGGACTCCGAGGAAGACTGAGCTTGTCGGATGAGTCGCTTGATGGTGATCTCATACTGGCCACTGTCGGCCTTCAATCACTGGATTGGTCTTCTGGCGTCCGATCATACGACCATGTCACCGAAGTCGGAGCTGTCGCTTGCATAGCTCCCCAATGGATACAAATGTTTCAATACTAGGACCTTTACCACAGCCACGACATAAGAGATAGAGGATAGTAATGAGTGTGATGAATTAATGGAAACAACTGCTTGATTGGACTTGCTAAGCATCGCTCCTGTGGGTATAGAATTTACCATTGTTACTTGTCAAAACGAACGTGTTTTCACAACTTTCCTCCTGAATGATTGTCGTTGCGTAAGCCGTCATTCCTTCCTCTCAGTGGCATTCATTACGCACTATACCCAGCGAACGTAGTTCTCACTCTTTCTATTCGCGCATACCATGAATCAGTCCCATAGCAAACTTGTTTTCATCAGGGTGCGATGCGTATTGTACCTCGGTAGCGTAGGATTGGTTGCGAGCTCTTTCCCAGTCAACAGCTCGCCATATTATTTGCTGTCAACACACCGACACTTCCAGGAATCCCCAGTTTTATCACCTACTCACTGTCCCTTTACATGAATAACATCCGAATAACCGTGCAAGACCCTCGGGCGTCCTGTCCAAGTAGCACGCCCACCTCGTACCCCGGGATCCATTTCTCCGCACGGTTTGACTCATTTGCCGTGTGTCCAAGGCGTATAAATGGGTCCATCCCCAACATTGGCGTCTTGGAATTTATCCACTATGAGCTTGTAAGTGCGTGCTTCGCACCTCAGATACGATTCGAGGCCACTAATCAATTGTGAAGCGTTTGTCAGCGTCCGTATCCACCCGATGGCTCAACACTACCGCTGCAGACATTCGCACACAATGTTCGAACGCATTGTACGAAGCAATACTTGTTGAACACGATCTAGCCGATAATAGGGCCTGGAAGATAGGATCGCATGAACATGCGTCTTGTTCATGTTGACTTCCGACACCGAAATGACGATGGATCCTCAACTGTACCCATTTGTATACAGCATGCATAAGAGGAAGGATTAGACCCACGGGCAGCGCCGACCACCCGATTCATCTCGCCCGTTGTGGATCAGAAGGAATGCCACATGACGCTCGATTTTATCGCAACGGTCATGCGAAGAGGACATGATCTTGACGATACAAGCAAAAGTTGTGATGCACCAGGACAATTACTTCGCTGACGTCTTGGTCAAGCACTTCCGGGTGTTTTGGCATAACGGCTTACGCTGTTTGCAAGCACTTGGTAAAGGCATGGCGAGCTTGGTCTTCACTAACCAACCGACGCACGCTTGGTGTGTGTGGAGACATTGAGTCAAAGCGCCTGCGTTCGTACCGATAGCCCTCGGAGCCCCGACTGAGGTGGACGTATCATGGCTCTAGCCTTGCGTCGTTCTTTGCATGGCATGACAAGATGCACTACGGGTGCAAAGATTTGCGGAGAAAGATGCCCCGGTGGTCTGGGCTTTCATTCAGACCGTCTAACCAGAGCGCTTGGAGATGTCAGGCTATTGTGGGTTTGACGAGTCAGCGTCAGCCGCTACGATGAAAGAACGGTCTTGCTAGACTTTGGGGTACAGAGCCAAGAGTCACATCATTATGTTACACGATCCATTAGGGGCACCGGCAACCAGGACTCGTATTTGGCACCAGAGCGACCGAAGAAGCAGCGGACCCTACATCTGCGGATCGTCAGCTTTACCAGATGTCCACTTGCATCGTATCTTCGTCTAAGAATGCACTCAACGCTGCAAGAGCCTTCGCAGGACGGTATACCGTATGAGGAAGTCGGAAAACGGGCGCTAGCAGAGGCTGAAGGAGTTGCAGCCGCATCGCTTGTCGACGCACCGCCGCGAGACGAGGTCTCGCCCATATGAGACTAGCCTCAGAAGCTGAAATCCTGCTCCAAACCCTTTTTGCCTCGGGGACAATTCTACCGGCGAGGGTCTTCGTCGCGAGGCATCATCAGGATAGTGCAGCAATTTATCCCGCGTGCGAGAATTTCCCGCCGCACTAACAGCCAATTAGACGGTATGTTTTACCGGCGTTTCTCCGGGCGCTACCAGGAGCTTGACAAGCTTCGCTTTCTGAACTGACACCCAACGTGGGAAATCCAGGACACGAGAGCGTTTGGGGGATAATGCGGGGTTGCAATCGTGTGGTGGCCAGGTTGCTGACTCGTTCTTAGCTCGGCCCCAAGCTCCACTAGACGTATGAACAAGGAAGCTTTCTCCACTCAAGCCTGCCAACCTTTCCGCCTCTTTGCTGGGCATGTAACCTTCGTGCAGATGGTGTTACGGTGATAGGTACGGAGGCGACGCCGCTTGATCGATTTTTGATCAGGCGATCAGCGGTCCGCTTTCTGTGAAAGGTCTAGTTCCAACGTCTGCTATGGCCGACAAGACGGGTCGGCCTATTGAACGTTGAGGAAACTGCGATTGGGAAGGTCATCCGGGACTGTTTTTTCGGAAGACCGACACCGACCACTACTGGCGACGAACGAATGTGGAGTAGAGGCTTCCGGGGTAGGCTCTGGGGTGTGTCATGGATGGCATGGTTTGACAGTACTCGCACCTAGGATCTCCGCATGCCATACCCCACCATCACATCCAAGATTCAGTATAAGAGGCGTGCACATCTGCCTGGAAATTTGAGCTCTACTGCATTTCCTCCCTGTTTCACAGACGTAGGTTGAGCAGCTCAATATCACATCCAACCCGACCGATCACTGCAAATCTTGCCCATCATGGTCGTTTTGAACCCATGGAAGGAGAACTTGAAGGACACTCCCAAGGAGAGCCTTAACTGGCGTCTCTGGTACGGTGTCTTTGGTGAGTAGTTGTATCGTCCAATGTGCTCTGCCAAACTAACAACTGTAGTTTTCGGTCTCATGGGCGCTGCTCGTGGTATCGACGAAGGTCTCATCGGTACCACAGCTGAACTAGATCCTTTCAGACGCAAGTTCGGACTTGATGACCCCAACAAGAGCGAGCACGAGATTGCGGAGCTTCTATCAAACATCACATCCATGGTGCAGATGGGCTCTATCCTAGGTTCTCTGATTGCTTTCTTCATCACCGACAAGATTGGACGTCTTTGGGCTACTCGACAACTCTGCCTCATCTGGGTTATCGGTATCGTCATCTTCCTTACCAGCTCTCTTACCGGTTCCGTCGGACAGATCTACGCAGGCCGCTTCATTGCTGGTATTGGTATTGGACAGACCACCGTCGTTGCACCGACTTATCTGGCTGAGACCGCACCGAGGGCCATTCGAGGTCTTTGTGTCTGCGCTTTTGCTGGTTCAGTCTACATTGGTATCATGCTTGCCTACTTCGCATCTTGGGGATCGTCCATTCACATCTCGTCTGCCACGGACGCCCAATGGCTCGTACCAAACAGCATGCACCTCATGTTCGCTGGTATCATCTTCTCGCTCTCATGGTTTGCCCGTGAGAGTTCTCGTTGGTTGATTAAGGTCGGTCGTCATGAGGAGGCGCTTGACAACCTTGCTCTGCTCCGCAAGCTTCCCGCCGACCACCCCTACGTCGTCTCGGAGATCATGGACATCAACGACCAGCTCAACCGCGAGCGTGAAGCTACCATGGGCACGACATGGCTCGGACCGATCCGTGAGCTTTTCTCCAGCAAGGCCAACCTCTACCGCATTCAGTTGTCGGTCATGTCGCAGTTGCTTGCCCAGTGGTCTGGCGCGAACAGCATCACTATCTACGCTCCCCAGTACTTCGCCATGATGGGTACGACCGGCCAAAACGAGAAGCTCTTCGCGACAGCCATCTTCGGTGTCGTCAAGTTTGTCAGTTCCATGCTCTGCGCATTCTTCCTTATCGACTTCCTCGGCCGTAAGCGCTCCCTCGCCACTGGTATCACACTACAACTCGTATCCATGCTTTACATGGCCATCTTCCTTCTCATCGACACTGGCGTCTCCGACGGCGAGCCGCAATCATCAAGCCAGAAACACGCGGCCATGGGCGCCATCGTCATGGTCTACTTCTCTGGTTTCGGTTGGGCTCTAGGATGGAACTCGATCCAATACCTCATCAACTCCGAGATCTACCCTCTCCGTCTGCGTGCGCTGGGTGGTTCCATCGCCATGACATTCCACTTCGTCAACCAGTACGGTAACTCCAAGGCTGTGCCCCTCATGTTCATTTCCATGACTCATGGTGGTACTATGATGTTCTTCTCTTGCGTTACTGCTGTTGGTCTTATTTGGGTTTACTTCTTCCTTCCCGAGACTTCTGGAAAGTCGCTCGAGTCGCTCGACGAGATGTTCAACCTTCCCTGGCACCTTATTGGTCGCAAGGGTGCGGAGCTTACAAAGGGATCTGGTGGCATGGCCGATATGCTGGATGAGGCTGGTGAGAAGGCTGTTACATACGAGATGGAGAACGCTGGTGGTGCTGAGACGCAGCATCACCGCATTGAGCAGAAAGTTTGAGCTATAAGCGTATAGAAATAAAGAACACTCTATAGCATCGCACATATCTAGTATTGTTGGATGAATATCAATGAAGTTATAAACATAAATAATGTTTTTGTCCCAAACATACGCACGTCTGAACCGTGAGCGGTATTACACCAAGTAAAGTCTACAATACATGAATACGATTGATACCATTTGGATTGGATTGGAAAAGATCTATGGATTAGCATTGGATTGCTGACTACCTCTCCTCTATTCGATAGTTTCATCCTCACAGACACCACCAGCCCCTCAACATAAGCAGACAGTCATCCCACAGCAGGAGCGATAAGCCAGCTCGAACCCGGTGCCAGATGAGTCAAAGCCCAAAGCTCAACCGACGTAGAAAACTTGCTTCAATACTAAGTGATGCTGGCAGTGACATGATAACGAGCAAATAACGAAAAGAAGAATCGCAAACGGTCAAATGATCCAACGGTCTGTCTTATGTCATGCACGCCTGACACTGGAGCCCTATAATTAATGTTAAGGCGACCTATGCCCCCACCCGTCCAAGCTTGCTGACAAGAGAAGCACGCTGCGAGCGCCGAACCCGTTGACTATTCTCATCCTGAGACGACTCTGCAAGCCACAAGGCAACGTCTAGATTGGAAGAGGCCGACTCATAACCAGCCGCCTTGTTAAAGATTTTCATGACCTTACCGACGATCGTCACTTCATCGTCGTCGAAGTCTAGTTGATGAAGAAAGCCGTAAAGTGAAGTGCCGCCTAGCTTGATCTTGCGTTGGATCTTGACAGAGTCCAAGCCGGCGGTGGGACGACCAGCAAGAGAAGCAAAGGCCTCACAGATATCATCCTTGGTCGTCGTGCCGTCGCATAGCTCGAAGTCGAGTGTGTTTACAAATGTCTCTAATGAAGTCTTTCCAAGGAAAGTGGTGCGCGCCTTTTCAGCTTTGCGACGGACGGACTCTCTGCTAGACTCTACGGAGGAGCGACGAGAAGTCGCTGATGACTTTGGTCTATCTGAGTCCGAGAATTAGAGGTCGGGATCAGACGCGGGCGGGGTGGCGGAGGTAGTGTGGCCGGGAATCACCACAGTCTGCTTGTCAGTGGTGTCCTCGATATCCACGTCCACCTGCAGCAAATCATCCTTGGCCTCACCAGAAGGAGGAGGACCAAGCTCAGAGACGTCCTCGATGAGAGTCTCCTCGTCGTGTGTGAAATAATCCGTGTTCAGCTCATCCCCAGTGAATGTGTGGTTTTCGGCAATGATGGACACCTTTTGAGCCGCTGAGATGTCAACGACAACAAGCTCATGATTAGGCTCAAGAGCGAGAGTAACAGCAGACTTCCTGGCCTTGTTGGTCTTATTGTTTTGTTTGAAGGATGGTGGAAGCTCGGGTGGTACGACATACATCTCCACAAGGTTATTGCGAAGATTGCGAGATTCTTTGGTCTCACCTGGGCCATTGGGCTTGGAGAGAAGAGAAGTGACAAAGTCGGGCTCGTTCCTCTCAACAGCGACAGACTTCTTTCGGTCAGTTTTGGCGGCCTTCCGCTCGGCGTTTGAAGTCCTTTGCTGCTTGGGCGCAGTGATTGGCAACCAGAGAGGAGAGACATGCATCGCAACGAGCTTCTCGTGAAGGTTGCGGAACCCCTGAGTTATGCCAGGGCCATTAGACATCTTAGTAAGTGTCGCAACATATCTGTCGCCCGCTGTGTTACTGGGCTCTGTAAGGCCAGTAGTAGTCTTCGCAGAGTCGAGCTCGGTTTGCCTCTGAGGCACTTCAGGCTCAACCATAGTCACCTCCTTGGAGAACTCAATAGCCTTAACGGCCTTTTTCTTGGAATTTTAGGATTCCGCTGGTTGAATAGAGTGGCTGGTAACACGACTGAAGCAACGTGCATGGCGACTAGTGATGCCTGCTCATCGCGAGATAGGCGCGGAGGGTAGAGAGTCGCGTTAGGCATGGATAGAATCGCCGAAGGGCCACAAGAAGACACTTCAGAAACGGCCTCCTTGACGAAATTAGGGGCCTTGTAGACCGCCCCATCCAAAGAGCCAGGAAGCGACGTCTCGTCATCTGCATCGGTCATCGGAACATGGACATAGAAATGTGACAATGTGGTGGCGCTGGCAGCCTCAATAGAGTCAACACTGTCCTTCGACAAACAGGCATCCTGCCCATGGGTAGAAGGTCCGCGGACTAGTTGATTGACATCTTCATCTGTATTGTTGTCGGATTCAGCGGCCAGATCTGAGTCGGTGTCGATATTAGAGGTGGCAATTTGAGGCACGTCACTGGACTGTGGAATGCGCTCAGCGACGCCGTTGATTACGCACTGCTCGATGATATGTCTGTGGTCATAGACAGGACGAGAGCCGTTCCCCACAGAGGTATACTGGGAGGACATGGGCTGGAGAATGGCAGGCTGGGTGACACGCTCAATAATGCCGTTCACCACACGCTGCTCGATGATTTCGTCAAAGTTGAGGCTAGAACGAGAAATTGACAGAGCAGCGAGCTGCTTCTTCTCCTGAGTGGCATCGTTGGTCTCCGCCGTAGCCATTCGGGTGTTGTGCTCCTTGTTGCTAGGAGGAGGAAGCGGCTTGCGATGCTTCTTGACGGGTCGGTGTGCAGGTCGGCTAGGCTTGTGCTTAAGAATTGCGTTCTTGCCCTTGGATGATAACTCTTCTTCAAACTTCTTCTTAGCAAAATCGAGCTTCTTCCTCTGGATCGCAACACTAGCATTGCGCCTGGCCTCGTCCTCCTCAGCCATCTTTTGGAGAGCCTCCTCTTTGGTGAACTTGACGGAAGTGCCGGTTTTGGTATCCTTCACAGAGACGGTAGAGCCGGAAACGGTGGTGGCGATAGTAGAAGACATCTTGTTTGTTGCGTACGTGACTGGCTGGAGGTGCTTCATGTTTGTCCGATGGAAAATAGAGTTGAAACCGAAGTCGTTATCGGTTGAAGTGTTGGATGAATGTATCTAAGATTAATCTGTAAACGATTTGAAACACACTTTTTGGCAATGAGACGAGCCGTTTGAACTGTGATGGTAGAATTCAATGAGATCTTCAGGTTTTTGGTAAGGTGTGCAATGGTGCTTTTGGGTTCAGGAATGAGGGACTTGGAGCTTGCAGCAGTTGAAAGTAGACGGAAATTCCGGTGTGTTGAGCGTTCATCACCAGAAAAGGGGGCTTTATATGCAGACGAGCGTGCGAAGCTCCACCGGAAGCTCCGACCAGGCGTGAATAGAGCTCGTGCTCGAACTACTGACAGGGCGCTACCTAGTGATCTAGCTGCACCTTGTGATGATGAGAGTTTCTAAAGGCCCTTAGCATTCATTTGGAAGGTGATGTACAGTCTGTGAAATGGCGGATCGGTATGCAATTTCTGAACACACTTAGAGAAGGGCGGACAACTTGCACTACTATTTCGCTACGCACCAGAGAGAAAAGAGCACCTTCATAGAACCGGGCGGCAACAATGGTAGATTAGGCAGAACTTGACATCGATACTCACTTATGAGCATAGACCTGGAAACCAAGAGGACATGCGTACTTGATCTCCGTTCTCATCAGGAGGTCTAAGAAATGCTGAATGTGTAAATAGATGACAACTATGCGATCTCGCTGGCTTTAGATCAGCGTGCCTAGAGATTATTTGGATGCCTAGTAGTCGAAGCATTCGCGAACAGCTTTGCAACTGCTTTCTGGATCTATATCTAATCTACCATAACACTGGTTCGCTCGGTCCTCTTCACTCATGGTTTCCACGTCCGCGAATCTACCAATTTGGAAGGTAATGCATGCACGGTAGATCCTCGACGCCGTACGCATCGCACCTGTACTTCTACTTCTGCTCAAGAAGAGTACACATCGAAAATATACACATAATGGTAGTAATCCTATGTATTGATACGGACATACGCCAGCACTTGACGAGTTTCCTGCGTCTAGAATCCCTGCTCTTTTGGTACATCGTCGCACGATCGATGGAGATTCCCGGAAATGTGTGATAGGCCGGTCTTCATGAGGCAAGTAGGACATATTTCAGCGCGGAACTGCTGAAAATACTTAATCCCTCGCCATACCATGCTTGCTTCGCTAAACGTCTAGTCAGGCGCGGAACAGGCCGTACAACAGCATTCAACTGTGTTGTGATGTATAAACGAATACTGTCAGGCCATCAACGCGAATTTCGCTTTCCGTAGGGGAGTCGAACAGGTGTTGTTCGTCGCAGGCCATACGAAATTGCGAAACGCAGCCACGATATGTCGTGCTTTTAGCTGCATCGATATCCGTGGTTCAGAGTCGTCAGAAAGAAACGCCTAAGAAGGCGTAAAAATACCATCCAACGATATGCCGCGTAAGGCGCAAACAGCACTGGAAAAGGGAAGGAGTTTGGCGAGGACCCGTCGGCACCTCGGGCTTAGCCATGCTAGTGAGGGGCACAGCGCACCCCACCAAGCCACCTTCCATCCACAAGTCCCGCCAGTGACATCATGTGTGCTCCAAGAAAACACCTCACAAACCCATCTCGGCCACTTCCCTGTCCACGTCGAATCAGGGCAACTGCATCACCTGCAGCCCCACGCTACGAGTGCGGCTGTGGTTGCCGGCACGCCTGGCACATCTATCCGGACCCTCTGATTGAAGCTGCCACCACTGCAAGGTTAAGTCCACTAGTACCTGTTAACCCGTGTTGCCGGTAGGGTTTGCTGCTCAACCAACAGCAATTGTGGGTTCCATCTCATAATGCTTGATCGGCGGCAGTCTCTGTTTGGGTCTCAGGTATAAGAGTCTGCTAGTGCCCCATTTACTTTTCGCGGTAGGTGCACGCTGTTCAGCTTGGAATATATCTGGACTTCTTCTTCACCATCCCTACCGACTGAATATCTCAGTCACTTCTCCCCAGGATACTTGGAATACAGATCCTATCAGAGTCGACAAGCCGCGACCATGACGAGCAAGCCCATCTTTGTGGCTACTCATCCAAGGGCCTGCTCGACGGCCTTTGAGAGGGTATGCTTGGTTCCGCCATTTCTCGCCCAATTCGGGTTCTTACCATCCTCTAGGTCTTCATGACCCGCCACGACACACTCCAATGTGTTCACGAGCCTTTCGGCGATGCCTACTATTTCGGACCTGAGCGCCTTGCTGAGCGTTACGAGAATGACGCGAAGGCTAGGAAAGAGTCCGGTTACGAAGACAGCACATACAAGACCATCTTTGATCGCATTGCGAGAGAAAACTCGGAGGTTCGTTCACTAATACATTTCATGTTTCTGCAGTTCTCTCGCCTTCCTATCCTTCCCTGTCATCTTCTCATCTCTTTATATCAGTCAAGATCTTATTTTCGCATTCTCGCCAAATTCGTCGCAATTGCGTGTCGTGTGCTCTCAGCCACCCACCCGCCAGTCAGATCTCTATCCACTCCAATTTGTCACGACCATCTCTTACTCTCGTAATTTCAATTTGCGCAATACCTCAGCCCTTTGACTTGAGCGCACCAAATCCATCAACGTCTCAGACAGACTCTATGAGCGGACACGTCAAACACCGAGATCTCCAATTTTCCTGATCTACCACCCAGCCACTACGATTTGCCCAGCTCTCTATCACCTCGACTCTAGCCTCATGATAACACATGCGATGGAGATCGCACTAGCGCACGATGTAGCCTCGCGAAAGAATAGCATACTCACCTTCTACAGGGCAAACGCGCTTTCATCAAGGACATGGCCCAATACTGGATTCCTCCCGCAGGCAAGCCTGCTACTATCGCCCCGTCTCTATCCAATTATCGTCGCGGCGTAGGAACAGACACCACCCAACTTTCGCCTGTCACCACCCGTAATGACCGTGCCGGACCTCCTTACCCATACGACACCAAGGGCGAACCCAACAACCCCACGGTCATTCCTGCGGATTTGTTGGCAACCTACCACTTCGCTTTCCTCATTCGTCACCCCAAATTCTCCATCCCATCATATTACCGCTGCACCATCCCTCCGCTAGACAAGATGACGGGTTTCTACAACTTCCGGCCCGACGAAGCTGGCTACGAGGAACTCCGTCGCCTGTTCGACTACCTACGTTCTGAAGGCCAGATTGGTCCCAAGTTTGCTGGTCAAAAGGAGCACGACTCCAACGACCAGGCAAACGGTCATACTGGAGGTGTCGAGATCTGCGTCATCGATGCAGACGATTTGCTGGACAACCCATCTGGCATTGTTGAAGCATTCTGCAAAACCACCGGAATCGAGTGGGACCCGAACATGCTCATATGGAACACGGAGAAGGATCAAGGTATCGCCAAGGAGGCGTTTGAGAAATGGAAGGGCTTCCATGAGGACGCTTTGGATAGTGATCGCTTGAGGGAGAGGACGCACGTAAGTCAAAATTCCAACTAGGTTGATTGGAGTTGTGGACTGACCATCTTTGCAGAAGAAGGAACCCAAGTCAGACGAGCAGCTTTTCGCTGAGTGGAAGGAGAAATATGGTGAAGAGGGTGCGAAGCAAATCCGCGATACTGTTGCTGCTAATGTTGAGCATTACGAGTACCTGAAGCAGTTTGCTATCAAGCTATAGAGGACTGCAAGAGTAAACAATAAAGAACAGCAATAACGAATTTTATTAGTAAGACACGAGCGTTAAGATACTACTACCGTCGCCTTTCTCTAACTCGACGTTTCGCATCCCTTGTTTCAATTTTAAATATTACAGGGCCTAAGCATACAAACAAGTTACCATATGCTTACGCTCGCCTTGTCAGCCAACCACTACGCGCTCGTTTGGGCAACTCAAATCTTCCGCTTAGGCGTCAGCTGACCCGCACAGCCTGCATACAGCATGCATGCTTATGCTTACAGTACGCGTCTAGAACCTTGAAATTTTCCAGACATTGGAAAAAAGACGTTACCGCAACGTGAGCAGAATCTTTCGTTACGAAGTTTTTCGAGCTGATTGGATTGACTCAAGTCAAGATACCAAGCAAGGAAAAGGGTGTGTGAAGGTTGCAGGATAGGCCGCCCCGGGAGTACTGAGTATTCTCCTAATGGCTGCTGAAGCGGCCGCCTCAAGAATGTGGCGAGGTTCCTTGGGATTCTCCTCATGGTTACAGAAGTGGTCGCCCCATCGTGATGGAGTTTGGCAATGGAGGAAGGCTGTTTCAGGTCGATGCGTTGCTGCCTGTTACCAAGTCCGAGGCATCAGACCATGACTGTGTGGCAATTGATGGGTGGGGGCCATCAACGAATGCAAGTCGACATTATGAGTATTGACGTTTGAGTATTCCTGCCTGAATGTAGACGAAGTGACGGGATGCAGAAGGTATGGTGGTCGCAGACGTGGTAATATTGGTATTTGACTCAATAGATGTTAAAACACAAAGACAAGAATCTAGTCCACCAAAATAATGCCGTAATAACCATGCAACATATACATCATTCCAATACAACCTCAGATATATCCAAAGCGATGGATGGACGTAAAAAGGTATCAATCCCGAAGCACCCAAGGACGCCGAGCCCAGAACACCGACGCTATCCGTGTGCGTAGAGAATGCGTAGTTTTGCCGTAGACAACATGGAAGAAGGAGAAAGCAGAGCAACACAAATTATACGTTCATCTGACCAAGCTCAATCTCTCTTCTCCTCTCTTCCCGGCTTAGGTTTCTCGAGTGACTGCTGTGTCTTCCATCCGTACTTGGCGGCCGGTTCGCCGTCCTTCCACGGCCCTGCCATTGTTGCCATGCCTGATGTTCACTGAGACTATCCGGTCTACTGTCCGATCGATCGCGGTTCCAATCGACATGTGTTTGTGCAGGCGTGCCCACCAACTCCTGACTGTGCAGGTGTCTTTCCTGCTGCTCCCTGTCTTCAGGGAGGTCTATTCTGAAAGTGCTGTTCGCGTCGGGACTGGGTCGTGGGTCGCCCTTTGCGAGGAGCAAGGCCATTTGCTGGTTTACGCGATCGTCTTCGGAGTAGACGGCGGCGGGTGGTGGGTTAGAGGGCGAGCGCATTGCGGTGGGGTACATGTTCGGGATGAAGTTGTTGTAGTAGGATTGTTCGGACCAAAGGTTTGCGCGGGTATCTGTTTGGCGTTTGGACTTGACTATCCGGCGGTAAGTCCATAGGAGGAGGGAACTGTAGAGGAGGGTTCCTGCGGCGCTGATTACGGTGCCGCTTATGGCGGCATTGCCCCAGTGATAGTTGTGGGAGGAGAGGAAGTTGTAGGCTATTGAGATGAGACCTAGGGCGGAGGATGTGAGTGCGGGACTATATGCGTCAGTATTGCGCCGGTGGTATAACGTATAGACTTGAAGTCTTACAGGAAGACACCGTCGGCTTGGAAGCGCTCATTGCGACAGGCGAAGCAGAGCAGTGCTGTGAAGGAGTAGCCGGCAGTGAGAAGTGCGACAACAAAAACAGATAGGACTGCTTCACTGAATCTAAGCCTGGGATCGTTTGCGTAGAGGCCCGGCAGTATCAGGTAGCTGCGAGGCATCAGTATGTATTTCTCAGAACCGACTTGGTATGCATCGCGCGCACTCACCCTCCCAATATCATCCACGACGCAGCCAGGGCTATAAGGCGCCAATACCACGGCGTACCCTCTCTCCTCTCGTTGCCCGAATCGTTGATGTTGACATAGCTCTTGTTGCTAGAGCGCATTGGATCGATGGTTCGCGCGTTCCGCAGCGGGGTGGTGCCTTGTTCGCGATTCAGGTGGTGGTTGGCCTCGAAGCCGTCGTTTCTCGCGCAGTCCCAGCGAGCGACTCAAAAGATGCCGGCATGCAGACCAGAGGAGCGTGATTAAACGAGTGACTTTGGCAAAGGCCTCTGTTGTCGAGATTCGAAATGGGATATGAGGCTCACTTGCACCTGGTTCACTTGTATTCAGCCTGACGCGGTGCAGATCGCTTCGGTCCGTCGATTGCAGATGGAGCCGAGGCGAGGCGACTGGTGCACGGCGCAATGGTTTCTAGACGATGGGAAAAGCAACAACAACAACGAGCGACCAGAACGAGACGCCGTTTGTATTGAGTATGAATAAGAGCAAAGAAGTAGCGAGCGAAGATGTGGGCTGAACGGGCGGTGGGAGAAGAGGGCGCCAACGTGTTGCTCGTACTTCGCTGAGGCGGAGGACGCCTGCATATTCGCTCAGCCACTCGACGACCTGCTGAGCATTGCTGCCACCCCTGCCATATCTTCCCTGTTGATCAAGATGATCGTGAGCGTCTTCAATGCGTGTTGTTCAAAATCGCGATCGCAGCTACTCGTTGATCAGCGATCGAGCGCTTTCATCTTCAACATCGGGATTTCTCCCATCGCTCCTGGAAACACCACCAAGCAAGAGACCCACGATCCTATCTTGTGTCTCTTTGTTCTTCTGGCCTGCCCAGGGCGACCCCAGATTCCAAAACGCGTCATCACCAGTTCCTAGCCAAGCCTTCTGCCCATGTCTGCTCAATCTCGCTGACCGCGCCGCACCTTGGGTGGTGCAGCTTACTCCACGAGCCACCGCTCCCATTCGGATCTGCCAATGTCCATCATTCACTCTCCCATTGTAGCGCTAGCGACTTCGTGTTCTCCGGTAGAGACAGTTACCGGTCAGACATGACGTCGTGGCTCTTATTGCATAGCGAGATGTCGCAAATTCGTCATGAACCTCTTGTCATGGCGTTGCGAAGTGTTGGTATGGCATCGCAGCCGGTACGCATTCTGGCACACCAGACTGCCTCGTGTTGCTGCTTTGCCAACAGTGCCGTTCCGCCCACAATAGAACTCGCATGGTACAGCGCATGACAGCAATCCTTCGCGCGGAGAAATACCACACGCGAAAATAAGCGATCCTTCAGTACTTGGTTCTTTGACTTTACAAACTCAAATACACCGGGCGCGTCGCATGTTCAGACCTACAGCGCGATGCGCTGCCTTGCGTGCGTAGGACCATGGTACAACATCACAAGCTATGAGACCGTTTTCCACGCTGATAGGGCATGGCACGAACCGACCGTCAGTCTCGTTCGACTGCTAAATCATCATGACCAACATACGCGACTGGGCGTTAACACTAGTTTTCCTAGCAAACGTACTGTGCGCGCTCGTCATGGTCGAGATTCATGTCCATCTATGAATGCTTTGTTACCATTAGAAGACTACGCCTTCCAAGCCTGGAAATCAATAGATAACTTAATTGTGCACTTGCTGAATCCGCATCTTCTCGATGCCCCCTTTCAACCATACAAACATACGTATAAGACGAGATAGCGGTGTCTGTTACGATGTCGACCCGTGCACCTGGTTCACGTTGCAGGGAATGCTTCCAGTGCCTCGCACATGCGTTTCATCCACACAACCACACCGCATCTCACTTTACGAACCAGCCATAATTATCGTTATTAATCCTACGACCTTGCTCCTTGAGACTTCGGCGTCGCCTCTTCCGGAGTCTATCGTACGAAACCCGCTGGCGCTATCTACTCAGGGGTACGAGGCGTCATGTTGTCGGGTATACCGAAATTTACTCAGTAAGATGATAACACGGCAGATGTAGCGGTCGCCGACCTTGTGGTCGTTGCTTCGAGTTCAATGTCGTTTACTACAGTAAGTGTTCGCAGACGCCGGGAGTTCGTCGCTAGAGACGCGGGCACTACTTCGGCTCATGACCCACAAACAAGCGAAAACCACAGTCCGTTTTCCTAACCTCGTAGGCTACGCGCTTGAAAGGCATTGCACTGGTCTGAGCTCGTGCTACGTGTTTCATGAATATTATATTTCTCAATTGAAGTTCTTACATCGATCATCTACTCAGCCTTCTAGGTTGGTCAATCTTCAGTAGTATAGTGGTCAGTATTTCCGCTTGTCACCATCACAGGCAACTCGCGGGAGACCGGGGTTCAATTCCCCGCTGGAGAGTTCTCTTTTTGCAGTCCTTTTTGCAGTTTTTTTTGCAGTTTTTTTACCTAGTCCGGTGAAAGTGTGGCGGGAGATGATAGTCTGTGCACCTGGCCCCCACCTCCCAACCTTCGGGCCTCACGACTACCAGTCTTGCCAAACAACATATAGCAATAGACATATTCTTTTTGAACCTTATAGCCTTCTACTGATATGTGAGGAGAGCCTACATGCGCCTAGCGTGACTCATGGAGCGAGCACGACGTCGCGAGATGCTACAATGCTCTAATGCTTCAGCCTCTAATTACTATCATCAAATGACCATGGAACGTTCTCATGATCTGTTTATGTTAACGCTAGTAAATAGCCATACTTTACAAAAAAGGGCCGGGCGCTCCGGAACTTTCGATACCACGATCTAGATATAGAATGACCCGGCGAAACACACAACAGAATACACAAAGACCAACATGGTCAAATGATCGCTTGGCTTTCCCATGTTTTCTCTCCTAGGGCGAGAGTACTCCTGCTTTGGGTATCGTACCCCACTCTTCTCATCCAGTCGTAAGGCTTCGTCTGCGGTAACTTCGTTTGGTGGCCAGAAAAGGTAGCTCACTGGAATCCAACAGCTTACCAGCTGTCCGAGCCACCACACTGGTGGCCATCCGATCCTGGTCAGCAGAAATATCCATCGGTCGTGACCTGAGAGCACGACCTCAGCTGCCGAGTACGCAGTGCGAATATGAGCTGTCGGATCAAAGCAGCGTACGATGTTTAGTACGACACCGAGGACGCAAGCCAGAATGAAGCAGACGTGTACCCAAACCATCTGTTGCACGAAGATGGCTCGAAAGCGGCCGAGAAACCCCGAAGGCTTCGGCCCACGCTCTTTGATCTTCGAGGACAAACTTCCACTTGGGGTGAATCCAGGCTTTGTCCCACCGAAACGATTGGGAAGTATCATACCGCGAACAAGGGACAGCGCGTAGTATGGAACAAGCCAAACATCGGCTTGGTCCCAGCGCATCGCATCTCGATACCCCACAAATAGCGCCAAACTTACCTTGTGTGCCGTATCGGCAAAGATCCAGATGCAAACGAGTCGCAGAAGCCAGGCAAGTTGCCAACGCTCGTAGTAAACCACGAAGGGATACCCAGCCAGTAGAGCGAGTGGAAGACCGATATAGCCGAGCCAGTTTAGAGCGCTATTTATAACAGATCCCGCGCCGAAAACGAATCCGGCAAGGCGTTGGCGGGCGCTACAGAAAGGGGCTGTCGGGCCCCAAAGACGGAAGTTGATCTATCGACGGTAAGTCTTAGTCACCAATGTGATGGTCAGACACTTACCTTGGACGCCGTCTGCACGTTGCCAATGGTCCACCTGGTCCGCTGTTTGATATGGCCGGAAAGGGTATCCGGCATCTCACCGCACTGCAAGTACTCGTCAATATAAGCTACCGACCAGCCCTTCCCGAGGAGCATGGAGCTACACGCCGTGTCCTCACTAATCGAATACGTAGGAAAGCCACCAATGTCTTCTATCGCTTCCCTGCGTGCCAGATACCCAGATCCAACGCAGTCGCCTGCGCCTAGTCCGTCGTGGATGAGCTCCGTCACGGCATAGAAGTAATCGAGATCTTGCCGGACCGGATCATTGCGTGGGATGTTCCAAAAATACTGTGGCGGGCATGTCATGCCCATCTTGGAATTGTTGAGAAGATGCGGCATCATGGCGCGTAGCCAATTTGGTTGGACTATCATGTCAACGTCCAAGCCTGCGACGAATGGTGAGGGAAGCTCTGTGAGCTTTGCGCTGAACCTCAATCCGTTGTTCAGATTACCCGCTTTCTGGCGATGATGTCAGTAAGAGCTAGTGTGTAGGGGAAGCGGACAGCGCACATAGTCGGGCACTTCTGGTTCCTCACGGCTCGTATAGTGTGCGTGTGGATACTTTCGCGATACATACAACATTCTCTCCTCTAACTCTCTAGACCGACCATCATCGCACAAGACCACACTAAGGCGATCCGCTGGCCAATCCGTCTCGCATGCAGCCCTGACAACATTGAGGATGGTGTCATTGTCCTCTCCACACGCAGTAATGAGAACGGCTACCACTGGAACATCATCGCCTTCAGGATGGAGCTTTGGACGCCTAGGTCGCTGTAGGATAAAAACGCGGTTAAAGTAGAGCAAGATAGTAGGGAGATATTGGAACAGTTCTACAACAACGAAGAACCAGGCTAGGCCTAGCTGATATCGTCCGACTACTTGCATGTACGCAAGACAGTAAACTCGGAAACAGAAGTAGGCCAGTAGACAGATTGGTGCTAGGAGACCTGTGGCAGATACGAGGGGCCAGGCGGAGTCTGGCGCGACAGCCATGTTGTGAGTTGGAATGAAGAGATGAAGCCACAAGAGAGTCGTTGGTAATGGGTTGTAGTCAACGATGAGACTTTTAGTACCTTTTTGAGTTTACGCCATTTCGAGAATAGCATGAATATAGCCTTCTATTGCATTGGTTGGCTGAGTATGCTCCGGAGCTCGAGGATCTTTTTACCGGGGATTGCCGTAGAAGAGACGGGAGGATCGTTAGGTCGGCGCGCATCCAATTTTGGAACGTCGTGGGAAGCAGGTTCTCTACGTGTTGATCTTGCGTGCGAGGACGAAATCGTCATAGGTGGGTACAGCACATACAAGATCATTGCGCAGAAGTACACGCTTGCATCAATTGGACGTCAGCTACTAACGATTTCCAAGGAGGTGGACACCATCATTCGCTTTGTACGAATAAGATGATATACACGTGTATCGGGCATGTGTTTGCTTATTTCTCGAACCACGCTTCTCCCACAACGCACTTGCTTTTGAACATGAAACAAAATCTCCGTCGACGTACCTATCTGACGTACTCACTCAATGTTCTAATCACATCTAGACCTATGCATCGACAGCCAACCTCATCTTCAACAAATCCCCCTCAACAATCTCTTTCCTCAATTCTTCCAACTCCTCCATATCCCAACACGCACTAACATATCTCCCACCCAACCACTCCCTCCTCTCACTCCCCAACCAAACTAAAGTATCCCCAGCCAACTCGGGTGTATCAACAAGCCATCCGTGCATATGTCCAGGCATGTTCAGTGCAAGTTCTGTCTGCACACCCCCAGGGTGCACGGCAATAGCCACCATCCCATCCCTCCCCTCTCCAACTCCATGGTCCTGGTTAATGAAATCTGTAAAGCGGAGCGACGCCAGTTTCGCTGGTCCATAGGAAGAGGATTGCGGGACTATCATGAGAGCGCCGATAGATGTGATGTTTATGATGATTTTCGAACCGGCGAGGAGTAAGGCCCAGAATGCCCGGGTCATGAGAAAAGGGCCTTTGACGCTGACTTCGTAGTCGCGCCACCAGGCTTCGGGGTCGGTGTCTGGGATACCAGCGAAGGGAGCGAGACTTCCAGCGTTGTTGATAAGTACATCGAGTTTGCCCTCGAACTTCTCTGTTACGTCTTTCACTGCGGCATCTACGCTGTCTTTACTGGTGACGTCGAGGTCTAGGGCTAGGACCTGTGGTTCGGGATGACCTGCATTCTTGGCTGCAGATTGGACATCTGAGACGACGTCGGAGAGCGAGGAGCGTGCGCCGAGGGCTATACGGGATGCACCTGCTTTTGCGTAGCTGATGGCTGTAGCGCGACCGACGCCTTTGGAAGCGCCCGTGATGAGGATGTGTTTACCCGAGAGGTTCAACTTGGTGGGGGTTATGTAAGCATAAGTGTCGTGTCGGTCTGTCGGAGTGAAGTTCGTGCCTAGCGTTTGTTGGTAAGGTTGTCTTCGTGGGAAATTAGAGTTCGGGTAAAGTACCGTTTGAGGCGCGCTTTTCGCCAAGGTCTTTAGACATGTTGATGCTTAGTTTTTGCTGTACAGACTACAAGTACTTGTAGATGTTCTGAAATTGAATTCGACAACGGCAAAGTAACATTTGTGAACGCATGGTTAGTAATGTAAGGCCGGCTGTGACATGACGTAACCGGACCCACACTCGTTATGGGGAGGACTTGGTACTAGGATCAGGCAGTATGCAAGGGGCTTATCGGAAGTACCTGTTCGGCAGTTGCAGCGAGACAAGATGCGTGGTCCAAAGATCATTAGTAGATTGTGAACCAAATCGAGACTATTACTATAAGCAACGCGCTTACTTGCTCAACGCTAATATTCTCTCCACCGCCCTCTCTGCCACGATCATAACACCCATGACTGGGTTGGTAGTAAGAGGCGGCACGATACTTGCATCAATCACGAACAAGTTCTGCATGCCCATTACCTTCGTATCCGCATCAACGCAAGATTCCATCCGGCAACTGCTGCTCCAATGCTGGACATTGCCAAGTGTATATGCACTTGGCGTGGTCAACCAAGTTGTAAGTTGCGCGACCGTCGAGTTCTTTGCAACGTTAAGCGGAGTGAGGGTGGGAGGAAGAGCTTGGAAGATGTTGTGGACGAATGTGGCGATTGCCGTTGCGTCGCGGGGATCAGAGTAGAAGTTTGACGATGGTAAGGCGATACCCCTAGCATCGAGGTTTACACGACCGACGGATCGAAGACCAGATGTGCCGTAGACATTGAGTGTGATGGTTCCGTTTTCCATGAGGCCCATTGCACCAGAAGAGTCGATGGTACCCTGGCAGCCTACTACGTCGTCGCCTTGCTCTATGTAGTCCCAGAATGCGCTTGTTTGCGAAGCGAATGTGTAAGGTCCTGACCGGTTGTTGAGGTAAAGATCAATGTCGGGCACAGGTGGGTTGGAGTAGTTGTAACTGTACGACGCGACCTCGTCGGAGTATAGCTCGATGAAGGTGTTTGGATTATCAAAGACACTGTTACCAACAGCGGTGTTATTGATCCAGTCTTGAGAAGGGACGCTAACGTGACCTTTTATAGAGAGGTTCTTCAAGGTCTCTGCCTCACCGATACCTGACCACATCAGCAGTTGGGGACTGAGAAGCGCGCCGGCTGAAGAGATGACCATTCCGCCCTCCTTGATGCAGATACTGTGAGAGCCAGTTGCGCCATTGGTTTGAACGTCAACACCAGTCGCTACATCGCCTTCTCGACGGACACGCAGCACCTTGGTACCGGTCTGGAAGGAAAAGTTCGTTCGATTAAGCGCGGACTGAAGGTAGGTCTTCACTGGTCCGCTCCTTTGGCCGTTCTCATAGTACCAGATGGGGTGACCAAAGGCCTTGCTCTTGTTGTGGTTTTCAATACCATCATTGAGACCGACCTCCGCATAACCAGCGCCATCGACTAGCCATTGCTTCGCGGCTTCGTAGCCGCTCTGCAGATACCGCTTGCCATCCATTGAAGGGCTGTCTGTGTTCGGCTGTTTCGTCCTAACCTTATTGATAGCTGATTGCATGTCGGCATCCTTCCAGCCTTCTGGGAAGTAGCGGTTCCAATCGCTCGCGGGCGGCTGGAAGAACAGTCCAGCGTTGATTGCCGAGTTACCACCGACAGTGCATCCTTGGAACGCGTTGACGACGTCTGATGCGCAGGTCAGGTTGCCTTCTCCCGAGTTCGAAAAGATGGACTTGTACAGCCCTGGAACGTCAACGCGGCTCAGTTCAGTCCCGTTTAGCCATTCTGGTCGAGCACGACCGCCGGTTACGTAGTATGACGGGCCGCCCTGCTCTAGGAGTAGAGTCTTCTTGCCAGCTTCGCTCATGCGGTCTGCTGTAACGATACCTGCTGGGCCAGAGCCTAGAAATGTCAGTTCTAATGCCGGGCGTTGAGTACGGATGTTCGAACTTACCGACGACGATCACGTCCCAATCACCACCAGCACAGGCCTCTGCTGAAGCATAGCTCGCGACAGCTGCGACTGGCAGCAAAGCCTTCCACATATAAGATGCAACCATGATGTCTTGTTAGTTGGACTTCCAGAGGTGCCGTTTGTCCTTTGTTGGGAGGCTGCGGCTCCTTACGGCCAGGCTGAAGGGCTTGCTTTAAGCATCTCATGTCACTTCCATCTAGCATGTACGCTTACTCTAGCCGCGAGCTCTAAAGCACGGTGATGCACAAGTACCACCATGCTAAGCAAATTTGCAGATTGAAGCTGGAAGCCGCCATCATCGAACACGAAGAGGTATGACGCCGCTTACGAGATGGTGCGTGCGCAGGGCTAATCCATCGCTCAGACGCGGGTACTTTTCCTCATCGCACGCACTACAGGGGCTTGGATCGTACGCCGGTGGATATCAGTGGGACTTATAAAAATCCGAACATTGGTGCTGCGGCTGCGTGGCGGTCGTTGCGTGGTTATTTTGGGATATGAGGTGAGTTGGAGATGTGGCGATGGTGAGGGGTCGAGGAGGAGCCAAACCTTAGCGGAAGGCGCCGCTGAAGTCTTGACTTTTTGCGTCAGTCATCCAGATCTTGACTATAGTATTTTGTTCTTGCGACTCTCCTACAAATCGCATCACAGATGACGAAATTATGTGAGAAAGCTTGGGAAGCTTGTTGCGCGATCTCATGCAGCTTCTCCGCTCGGGCCGACCGGAAGGATTGCTAGTGGGACGATGGTATAGGGCGAGGGCCAGAAAGCGGCACGCGCATGGCATCCTGATGGAGATGTGGATTCTGAATTCGTGTGGGATATATTGACAGGTTGCTAGGGTCATTCCTGAATCTTAACTGGATCACGAACAGGGTCAGGCATACAAGAGTTATGCCGCACGCGATACATGTTTTCGTGCCAGCAACGACGTGTACTTGGTGGACACTGAGGGCCGCGACCAGATGTCTCTCGTATTACCGTTCCGTTTTGGATCCATAGTTACTACTCAACACGTTGTCCAGTAGACATGACTAAAGTTTGACACTCCAAGCCCCAGAACGACGATTGTGAAATGGGCACTCACGTCCGTCATATCAGATGGAGCAAGGCAACGAAAGAAGACACTTTCGCATCCGGTGAGATCAAGCGGAAAGTGTTGTGAGAGTTACACATTGGCTACAATTTGATCGTTGACATATACAGGAGGTGTGACTATTGGTCTAAGGAGTGCACTCACCCGTGGCGTTATCAGAATCAGAACTGGTAGTGCGATTTGATCCTTCACCAAGAGACCATGCTTCGTACAGCACGCATGCGTTGTACAAAGCAGTACTACAACCAGCATCTCATCGTGGAAGTAACTTCACCCTTATAGAAATGAACCCACCATGTCCAGACGGTGCAGATAACCAAAACGATGTTCGCTTGAAATTCCGGTCTCCACGCATCGGCTCCAACTTTTCTGAGGAATTAGGGAAGCTCTGCAGGAAGTGCACCTCAGTTAGTCGTAATATGCTTAGCCGCTGTGCAGCAGGTCTTGCGCAACAAATGGATCTCAATCCCGCCAGCCATACCGTCTGCGTACAGAGCGTCAGAGATCCAGATCATATCTGGTATGACAAAATGGTCCACGAGCACTGCACATCGATTTTGACTAGAGGGAGTGTCCTAGCGCGGAGTCCAAAGGACGCCTTGGAGCAGCTGATTCGCGCACTTGACGTTCAGACCTTCTGCCGAAGCACTGCTCGACATCTGACGCAACTTCGACCTGTGACGTAATCAGTGAAGTCGAATTCGCAGTGCTTGGTCTTCAGAATACCTACTCCAACGAAACTTTCGACTGGCTTGACGTCACCTTCAAGAAGCGCTTGGTGCCTGTGAAAGAAGCTCAAGCCTGCTACTATTCGATTTCTCCAATTGTCGCGGATCTTGCCTTCAGTTCTGTCATCAACCAGAAATGCCGAAGCTACAGCTAAGCAACCTTTAAGGACTATATCACGTTTGGACAATCTTTCGGCTGTGGGTATGAAAAAAAAGTTCTCAGCCTGCCCTTGTTGTCCAAGGTCTCGAAGACGTCGCAGTACTGCCTCCGGTTGTGGAATCAACATACAACGCGAGTTGCCAGGCTGCTAGTGAGATTCGCCTTCAACTATATCCTGGACTAGACCACGACCCTGTAGTTCCAGCTGCAGCACCCAAATTTCTCAAGTGGATGAATGATCGCTTTACCAGTAAACCTACGTTAGGTGAATGCACGAAAACAACGGTCGAGCCTTTTGATGCTGCCAACATGTATGCACTTGAGGAATCGAGTTGAGTAACTCTAAGGCTCTGAATTGCTTGTTCCTAGTTCAATTTATCTAATGTGGTTCACCACTACGCAGTGCTCCCCATGAACATCGTAGCTTGTACTTGACCAATATCTTATCAACACAAGAACTCAGTACCATTCATGAGGGACGAATCACATAGTGTGATTTCCTGTATGGCGCCTGCTGTAAGGGTGCGATGGGTTGACCATAAGTGCAAGGTATAACAGTAATGAATTCGATAGAGAAGCTACACTACGCTTGCGCTGAGTCTATGTATCACGTAGTGCTAGGTTCGAGAAACTTCTAAGGGTCCGTGGAGCGCCGATGAAGCCCCGACAACGCTCCGAGGGTTGCAGCCTATCCCAACCAGCTATAACGAAGGCCACAGGCTAAGTACTACTAACCAAGGCTTCAGCCTCTTACAGTACCCCCCTTCTTAGGCTTAGATCCCTCCTATGTAGCGTGTTTCTAATCTTTAAGAGCATTAGTCTCTTTTAGATTTACGGCTGGTTCCTAAGTTAGATCGGGATAGCCTTCCTATTTTACTAGGTACTGCTTTCTGTGCCCCTGGCCTCTCTCCTCTAGGATCTCCTCTACTAGATACATCTCTTCTCTATCTACCTTAATAGGCTCTAGCTCGTTATTATCTTGTGGCTAACTAGGTAACGGGTCCGATGAAGCGAGCCTTAGCATGTTGACGTTGAATACTGGATGAACTCGTCTAGGAGTGTTTAGCTTGACTGCGCTTAGTCCTACAATCTTAAGTACTGTATACTTTAAGTTCTTCTAGTTAAGTTTTCTGCTTGGCCTCTTAGTCTTAAAGTAGTCGCTTAGCTTTAACTATACTTTGTTACTAACTTGCAATTGAGGAGCTTGTTTCCGTCTCTTATTAGCCTGCAGTTCTTGGTCTTATTAGGCCTCTCCTATGATCGCTTGAGCTAGCTGAATGCTCTGCCTTAATCTTTCTACGATGTTCTTAGCCTTTTTATGCTCGTCTTGCACTCTCTTTCCCTTAGGCTTGTTTTCTAGGCCGTACTTAATAGTAATCTGAACAGGGTCTACTTCGCATCTGTGCTGCATAAAGAATAGTAACATCCTTGTAGACCGCGCTTCCCTTGCTGTAATTGCGATTTTAGCTATTCCTAGGTTGGATTTCTAATTGCTCTAATTCTAGTCGCAGAAAGCGCGGAGGTAGGCTTGTACTGTCGCGTTCATTCTCTCCGTAGATCTATCGGTCTCTAGGTAGTATCCTAACAATAGTCTTCGCTTAATACTTATTAGTTCACAAAGCCTAGCCTACATGTAGCTTACAAACTGTAAGCCTTGGTCTAAAGTAATGTAGTCTGGTAGCTAGTGGTATGCAACGACGTGATTTATGTACGCCTTAGCTACACTCTCTGTCGTAATTTCTGCTAAGCCCATAAGTACTACGTCCTTACTAAGGCGGTCTGTTACTACTATTAGGTTAGTACAGCCCTCACTTTCAGGCAAGCCTGTTATAAAGTCCATAGAGACTTCCTTCTAGATGCGTTTAGGAATTGGTAAAGGCCGTAGTAACCCTTGGAGGCCATCTCTCTAAGGCTTCACTTATCTGTAAATAGAACAGTTCCGTACATACTAGCGAACTGAGTTGCTTAATAAAGGCTAGAAATACTCCCGTGCAACAGCTTAGTATGTAAGGTTTCTTCCTAGGTGTCCTAAGGCCCTTAAAGAGTGCATTTTGTGTATGATGCTAGTCCTTAGAGGTTTACTGTCTGGTACCCATTTTCGATCTCGATATAATAGGTTACTAGAGTCGTCTAAGCGACACTCTGAGATTGATAGCTTGAGGTCTAAGGCTGTTAGAAACTTGCGTTCACTGTCCCTAACCGCTTTCTAGGCCGATTAGTACACCTAATCTTTTTCTCTAGCTTCCTCTTATAGTTGCTCTAACCTGTGTTGAGCTAGTAGGGTTGGGGGTGCAGACACTAGGTAGGAGAAAACTGTCGGTCTCTCAACACTACACTAAAAGATCTTCAGTGCTTCGTCGTCAGCTAGGTCTTTGTCTATCGTAGCAGTAGCGGGTTTAAAGACCTGCAGGAAACGTTAAGAGATCCGTGCATCTAAACTATTAGCTGGCATATCCTAATGTCTTCTTAAAAGAGCATCAGCTCTAACATTGTCAGCTCCAGGCCGGTAGGCGATCTCTATATTTAGGAACTTTCTAAGAAACTAGGCCTATCTTATTTGGCGTTCGCTGAGCTGCTGAGGCTTCCTAAAGTACTCTAGGTTCTTGTAGTCAGTAATTACCGTGAACTTCTTTAAAGACCTTAGCATTCCGTCCTATTTAGCTATACAGCAGATTACTGCAAGTAATTCTTTATCGTGGATTTCGTAATTGCTCTGAGCGCTAGTTATCTTTTTTAAGTAGTAGGCGACTGGTCGTAGCAGCCCTTGGTCATTGTACTAAGATAGTACTCTAGCAACTACGTAACTAGACGAGTTAGTCTCTAAGATAGTCTCTTAATCTAGGTCCTATTAAGCGAGTACTAGTTTGGTAATAAAGATCTCTTTTAGCTTGTTGAACGCCTATTACTCTACTTCTCCCTATTAGAAGGTAACATCTCTAGTTAACCTTGTAAGTGGAGCTGCTATCTCTGAGTAGTTCTTGATAAAACGTTAGTAGAAGTTTGCAAATCCTAGAAAGCTGCGCACTCCCTTTACGTTCACTGGGGGTTCCTATTCCTTAATAGCCTTAACCTTGTTAGGGTCTATTTTTAGTCCTTTGCTA